TCCCTATTATTACTACTACTAAAACTTCTATTAATTTACGCCTGTATACTTTAAGAAACTTATTAGAAATCTAATCGCTCCCTAGCGCTTTATTAGGTACCATCCGCCGTATTGTCTTTATTATATTATTAATATTAATTATATAGTTTATTATTAATTAGGTTTCTTATTCTATATATTAATCCGGTAGGTAATCCGTTAGTACGTTAACCATCGGGAAGAACTTCTCCGCTAAAATTTTTACCTTATTTTCGTAACTCTTTAATTCTTTATTATTATTTTCGCAATATAGTACCGGCATTTTGGGTAGTTCGGATGGTAAGTAGCTACGTATCCTTCCCTATCGTTCTAATACTTATAACTTTCTTAAATCCTTAAATATATTTTTTATAAATATACGCTACCGCTTTATTTACATAAACTATATAGCTTCGTCCTATTTCCGTTTCGCCTCGTTTAACTCTTATCTCCTTATTAATATTCTCCTCAACCTCTACGCGCAAGCCGCCCTTCTTATATATTTAATTACTTCCCTTATATCCTTATCCTATTAATTAATTCTTCTATTAACGCTTCTCTTTTATTTCGGAACCGCTTCGTTTACAATTTTAATTAATTAAAATATTAATTAATTTACCGCTCCCTTTAATTCCTCTATTATTAAAACTATTTATAGGATTATAATATATTTATTAGTGAATTCTTTAACTTTTCCGGCATTTATAAATATTTAATTATATTCTATATTGCCCTCCTTTAATTCCTCTACGATTTTAATATAGATAATTACTAATTATACCTAATAATTTAACCCGATAAACGCTCTATCTTCTATTGTTTAATATATAGTATATAGTAATTCTATAATTTAAATATAATCGATTGTACTATAGAGTTCGCTTTTTATTATATTTCTTAATTTTATCAATTCGCTACGTAATATTATAAAAATTAATTAGTAATTAACCGCTAATATTAAGAATACTTTACTACTTTAACTCTCCCTCCTATAAATATCCTAACTCGAGTAATAAAAATTTATATTACCTACTATAATATCTCTTCCCCTTAATTTCAATACAATTTCTTTAAAAGGGGTCTACTAATATATTTCGAATCTAGCGTCCTAAATTAGTAAGTACATTAACTATACTCGTATTTCCTTAGTACTTTTTTTTAACTATATTATTATTTAATTATTTCCCTATTTATAATCCTACTATTTGGTTGTAAATTATTTACTAATATATATTATTATATATTCCTAATTAGTACTATTTAATACCTAATAATAAAATACTTTAATATTAAATATATTACCTATAATTATGTTTCAGCCCGACTCCTATATCGCTATAATATTATAATAGTCTTCTATTTTAAATATAATTTTTATTCTATTATATAATTTTGCTATATTCTAATAAAAGATCTTCAAATTTATTAAATAAATGGACGGAATTTAATAAACTTTTAGCGTAATTAGAGATTCGCTCTCCGTATAATATTAATTATACTAGTAATTTACTATTACTATCTCGCGTACGCTCTATCGAATTGGGCTTTAAATATCCTATACTCCTTTTTATAAGTACTGCGCTTCTTAGAGGAGCGAACCTCCTACTATTAAGCTTCTAAATCTTTAAATAAAGCGTCGGGGATATTAATATTATTATTTTCTATATTAGGGCAAATTTATTAAAGGGTTGTAGGGACGGTCTAAATAATTTCTCGGCGGTCTTAATTTAAAGCTAATATATTATTAACAGTAATTGGTATAGGTCGTAGGGCGTACTCTTTCAATTATTCTATAAATATTATTAAAGTATAGCCTTTTATAGTTTTTATAAATAGGTATTCGTTTAATACCGTAATATAGCCTTTATAATTATAAGGAAAGTATTTTCTAAATTCGGATTACTAATTAGAAGGGTAATTAGCTTCGGATTCTACTATAATCGTACCGGAATATTTCTTCTCAATGTAATAGAAATATTACGCCTCTTTTTTATTAAGGTAAAACCGGCCTAAGTAACTGAATTCCTAATAATTATAATACTATTAAAGAATTATATTTCGTTCGAAGGGCTTACAATAAAAGGTATTACCTATTTAAAAAAAAGAATCCTTTATTAAGTATACTCCTTCGTTTATTATTAATATTTTAAATAGTAAGGAGCCCCTTTTACTCCCATACTTCCTTCGCTACGCTTTTACCTGGATAATATTAATACTATTCTTTTTAAATAAACCCTTCGCTAGCGCTTCGGGCTCTAAGTTATTAATAAATACCTATAGTATACTATAAACTATTATTAAAACCGTCCTAAAAGTAACTATAGCGTTTTAATAGAAAATATATATTATTTAAATTTAATTCTTAAAACTCTAACATCTACCTTCCTTACTAAATATTACTATATAATCTCTACTAAAGTATAATTTTATTATTATTTTAACTTTAGTTTTAAAATATTTCTTATTAATTATATTAATAATTTCTACTACTATTCGTTGTCCTTTATCAATTAATAAGAATTTTCTATTTAATTTTATTATTAAATACCGCTCGGCCCAAAAAGGAATAATAACTTAAATACCTATCGGTATAAAATAAGATTTTTTCGTATTCGTAGGGGGGGTATTCGGGCCCGTAGCGATTACGGCCTAGGATTTTAGAAGGGGGGATTTCTAAGTCTTTATAATTTTAATAACTATTTTTTTTAATTTATTAATATTATTTTAGAATTATTTCGTATTGTTATTAATAGCCTAAGGATTTTAGTTTTGGGTATATAGGGTAGTTACTATAATTTTAAAAAATTTTTCAACTTATACTACCTAGGCAATAAGCGGGCTATTAACGCTAGGAAAGTTTATAGCCTCCTTTATAAATTTCTCTCGTTCTTTTTAAAATAGGCCTGAGGTTTCCGAAGCTTCTACTGGCTCTATACCGGCTCGGGGTATTGTTATCGTCGTATCGGCTCCGGCCGCCCCGGGTACGTGTCGACTCGACGCCAACCCGCCCCTAATACTTCCGGTCGCCTTAATACCCGCGCTTTCAATACGCGATTGATGTAATATCGTAGAGGGGGGTAATCGGACGTTCTGAATACGATTTTGATGTTAAAAACGATTTTGTCGCTGTCGTCGACCAAGTACCCGCGTTTCAACGTTTTTGCGAGCGGTAGTAATATATAGCCGTTCTTATTATATAATATTAACCTAGTAGATAAAGTAAGGCAGCTTTGTATTCTAAAAGGTATAGTCCTAATTATATTGAGTATAGTATATAATAAGAAGTATTATTTCGGGAGAAATAGAATAATATACGACCTTAAAGAGTATATTATTATAAAAAAAATGTAGATTATTAAAAACTACATTTAATATTGCCCGATATACTAATTTAACTATACCGATAGGGAAATTATAGTAGGGGATTACTAATTAATAAACCCCGAATATATTCTACCTATAAGGATTATAGTTTTAGATTTTATTACCGATTTACTTAAAGTACTAATATTGGGAATACTATAGTACTTTGCTGGATTTAATTTCTTCGATACCCTTATACTAATTTTATACTATATATCTAAAAAATACCGCCTCATCCCAGGCTACTATACGTATATAATCGAAAATTAGGGTAGAATATTAATTAGGGATTTAATCCTAAGCGATTGGAGCTTTCCGTAAAGTATTATATCTAACCGAAATTATAAATTTACATTAAGAATATAGAAGGGTATATGGGCTATAATAGGCACTAAATTTTTAATAATTACCGCCTACTACCCGTAAGGTAATGGTATGACTGAGTACCGAAATTAAAATATAGAGATAGCTATCCGCTTTTATTACTATATAACTTTAGAATCCAATTGGGTAGAGATATTGCCTAGTTTCTAATAGAATATAAATAGTACGTACTTAAATCCTATTAAATCGTTCCTGTACGAATAGTTATATAGTTTTAAATTATTCAGCCCGTTGGATATTATTACGAAAAAGGATATCTTTAGGACCCTTAAGCAATATTAAGTATTAAGAGACGGATTGAGAGAGGACGTCTAATTAGCTATAGTATTCACAGCTATAAAGGTAAAGAAGCGATATAATAGTAACTATTAGTAGATCTCCTTTTCGGTCGGAGATAAAGTATTCCTTAAATTATATAAAGGATACTACTTATTAGGTTACCTATTTAGAAAATTTTCGCAATAACGTACCAGACTATTTACTATTATTAAATATATTAATAATTTAGTTTATTAATTAAATTTACCCCCGGAAATAGTAGTCTACTTAATTATTTTAATAATATATTTTAAGCGGGTACCTAACAGCGACGATTTATTTAATTAAATAAAGCTACTACCCAGTCTAATCGAAGATAATTAGCGAAACTCCGATAATAAGGATAGGGAGTATAAAATAAACGTAATATTAAATTACGCGGAAGATAAGAAAAATAGAGGTTGGAAATATCTAGTAAAATAGATTGGTTACAGTCATTATTGGAATAAATACCTACCCGAGAAAGAGATAAGGAACGTAAAAGAATTGGTCGTAGAGTATTAGGAACGCTTAAAAGGACCTATAAAGGCTAAAACCGGAAGGAGAAGGAAGGTTTATTTTGAGTAAAATAAATTAGAAGCGCCGGCGGCGCGTGAGGCTCCCGCTTATAGTAGGAATTTGAAACTACGTTGGAAATAAGGGTATTTATATATATATAATAGATAGACTATTGAGGATAGTAGTATTTCGTTTTGGTAGCCGGGATTTAATACCGGATTGGTATTATTGGCGTTATTATATATTAGATCACTTAACTGGATGGCCCAGCCCGCTCGGTCGGGTTTATTTAATTGAATGAACCGCTCCTACGGGAGCCCACCTACGTATGTGGGACCTGTAGATTAGATAAGGCTTGCGTGCCTTAAAGTCAACCGACTGTACGCAAGCTTCCTGCTCTGGATTCTTTCAGATCATCACTTTACACATATTCAATCAGACACATATTATTATCACAACGTTCAAATACCCTCTCAACGGTATTAACATCCGTTCAAGCGGAAGCCACATTACGATTTGTGAAGCAAACCTAGGCATGCAGAAGATGACGGCCGGGGTCGAACGGAGCACCGAGTTGCACAGAACAATTTGGCGTGGAGACCGTTTCTTCAAGAGGCCTAGAAGGGGCTCAGAATTTTTAGTCTCCGATGCAGGTGCGATGCTACGCAACCCAAAAACGGCAGTGAGTGTGTACCTGATGGCAACCTTGTTACCGGGTGAAGGGGTCCAAGGGTCCAGGGGTTCAAACAAGTCCCAAGGTCGACCACTCATGATAACCATGGCCGTCACGCAGTCTCTCAGCCAAGCCGTGACCAAAAAAACGCAAGCCAGAGTGAGATCAGGTAATGAAGGGCTCTCTGGTTTCATATAGCACCACTTCTCCTTGGCACTCAATATTAACGCGAGACATCAAGCCAAGTTGAACTCAAAAATACTGAAGTGCATAATCTACAAAGCACAGCGCCGTTACAGTCATTCCGTCTTTCAATAGACGCGGCCGGCACAACCATTAGAATACGCCACGGAGTCAGCCGGATCATCGTTCGTCTCCCGCATCCCTTCGGCACGGAAACGAAATTCCCTTGAGATGGGGACGAGTTTACCACTGTACAATGCGTTTCCAGGATGAAAGCCATTCCGGAGGCCGCATAAACAGTGCTCTAGTTTGCTCTATATTGTGTTGCGGAGGGTGGAATGCCAAGGTGTGAAGTGGAAATGTGAAAGTTGGAGTTTAAGCGGAATTCCCAACCCCAATGATTGCCGTCTAAATTTTCTCGACCCCAGATCCTGTACGGAAAACTTAAAAAAAAAAAAACTTGGCATTTTCGGAGAACAGATGATAAGTCAAAAACCCACGGCAGTGGGACGCAATAAAGAGGAGGGGTGGGGTAGGGACATGGAATGGCTGGTTACTCACTTCATCAGGGAAGCTCTGCCAAGGAAGTCAAGTGTCGAGGTTCTGTCGGGCCCGAGTTCAACCCGGGCTGGAGGCGAGACAATTTTCATCAAGTAGTAAGTCAGTGAGATCTTCCAAAATGGTCAAGGCACGTCATCCCACATGGCGATCGATCTAACTGCGTTGGAGGTCTCTTCCATAGGTAGGGTTGGCTCCGTGTCTCGGAATACTTTCCGGCGATGATATTTGGGTGATGCCTAACCGACCTCAAGGAATCTTCAAGGGGAATTTGGGCAAGCAACTCAACTAATTCACAGCTACATTTTCGGAGAGCAACGGTGTTCAACGCCCATTGCCGTTGATAGTCATTCTACTGACTGGATAGGCTACAAGATCACGAAGCCTACCGCTGCGGCAATCCCTCACTTACCAAACCCCAAAATCTTTACTTGTCAACTACCTCCACGAGTTTTCTTAATTCCTTCAGTTATGACAACGTGCCGATTTCTCTAATTCCCTTCTGCGCCAAACTTTTTCCACTCTTGGCTGGTCTTCAATTTTCTAGCCCTCCGAGTCCCTCTTCGCGCTCGCCGACGATTATACGAGCGTAGAGTGCCCTATGTTCCCATGCGAAGTTCGACTCCTGGAACACAATCCCATACACATACCTCGCTAGTTCCCAGCTATGCGGGTCCCCACGCCAGAAAGCCCACTCTTCTCTCTCTCCTGTGTGATCTGGAGTACCAGGCTGCTGCTGCCCCGTGATGTCCTTTTCTCTGGTACCTCTGAGGCAACCCCATAGCTCCAGATGGTACAGAGGTTTGCCATCATATCCTGCAATTCGCCTCTGATTCTCCTGGTAAAAGTAATCCACCAGATTCACCCACGACGTTGTCCTGAGATTAGCGTCCCCCAACGACACCTTCCAAAGCGTGTCGGCATGGTTGTCCATGATCTGTTCGATATCCTCCCTCTCACAATCGTTGAAGTGTGACAGCGACAAGGACTGCAAGTGCGGCCACCGTGATTCCGGATCGATTATGTCCCCCAGCGACCACCTATACCCGTCACCCTCTGGAATCATGTGCTCCTCGCGGTACCAAATTCTATCCCTTTCAAACGTCAGATGTCGCAAGTTCGTCAGCGATTTCAAGAATGCGCGCACATTCTCTGACGACATAACATGGGAAAGCCTCGTCTGGCTCATGGGCGGGATACACTCTTTCGCAGCCATGTGAATCGGATTCCCATGACGAATCTGAATCTCCAGCGTCGTCAGATTCGCCAGCGCTTTTTCCACAATCGGCGAGAAGAACAAACCCGGATCATCCAACACGCACCACGACAGATTCTTGATCCTTAGCGTCTTCAACCTTGGCGCCTTTCCCTTTCCCACCACCGACTGGATCTCCAAGTACCGCACCAACGACCGCAAGGCCCGCTCCTCCGTCTCGGGCGTGGAAATGCTCGGAAACGCCGTCCGCCACGGCGCGTACCGAAACGGGTTCCGATCGCTATGCAACGCCACGGAATTCAGCGGCGCAGCGAGACTCAGCTCCCTGCACGCCGCAATGGTGATGTGTTCCAGCGCAGGGAACTGTTCCCAGCACATGACGATGCCGTCGTAGTCGCGGTCAGGCGAGTGGTCCACGGCCAAAAACTGGGCTTGGTCTAGTAGGAGGTCCTCGTACCGCTGCCGATCGAGGGCGATTTGGTCTGCTGAGCGCCGGTGTTGGCTTATCAGCGGGCGGTGGCGGTGCTGGTACCATTCTTGAGAGAGGAGGTCGATGCGTCCTGAACCTTGTGGGTGGTGGACGTAGTGCGGGAGCCAGTTCCTCGGGTGGTCGGTTGGGGACCAGGTGAAGTCTTCAGGCTCGATTTCCTCGTCGAGAGTGGAAGAAGACTCGAGTCGTCGCCAGCGCGGTGAGGCGAGGGTGTCGGTTATGTAGTAGATGGAACGCAAACAGGGCGCAATGGCGGGGGAGTTGGCGAGCAGCTGGAGGTGGTGGGCGTCGCTGAGGAGGGGAGAGACGATGAGGACGGGGAAGGAGGCGCGGGTGCTGCTGGGGAGGAAGCGGTGGGAGAGGAGACGGCAGAGGCGGGCGGTGGGGACGGGGAGGAGAGAGAAGATGTGGTCGAGAATCTCGTTGGGGAGGGAGGCGAGGGAGAGACGGTCGATTGGAGCTGCGGCTGGTGTTGGGGGTTGGAGGTCCATTTCATTTCTTGGTAAGGTGGTTCGTTGATATCGCTTTCTGGGTGGGTTGCAGGTAGGTAAGGAAGGGAAGCTTGAGAAACCGATCAGGAGCGGCCTGAAGTACGAAGGTTCGCCAATTCTTGGGTCTACTCGTGGGGTTGTGAATGGGAGGATGATTCACCAACTAAGGTTGAAATGTGCTTCACGCGCTTCACGAACGTTTGACTACTGGCGATGCGATGATGGAGTGATTACTACAAACGGTTATCAGGACAAGGTTCGCCACGCCGGTTAAAGTCATTCAAGGCACTACTGCGATCCGGAGGTCTTCCGGATGAAGACTCTGTTCGAAGTATGTCCCATCGACAACGCGGACTACCGTAGAGAATCACCCTGTCACGAATCACATCAAACCAACCGTAAAGTTGTGATTAACTTGATTGCAAGAATCGTGGCTAGGGTTTAGCTTGTTATCGGTGATATATCATGGTAATAATCTAGTAACATCTCTATGTCTCGGGATGTTGACGGGACAAATGTGCTGGTGACATTTCCCATGTTCCTCCTTGGAGGTGATGAGTCGGTGTACCTTTGTTGTTCCTCAGCATGACAGAAACGTTTCCATTGTGTCTTTGCACGCAGAAATACCAGACAAATTAAACTGTGATTTTGGATCTGACTAGACTTGACTTGGTCGAGTACAGCTTGGCGTTTTGTAAAGCCTTGGTGAACCTGAACGACTCGGCGTGCTGAGCGCCATGCGACGACAGCCCCAGAACTCGGGAGTCAGGAATCATCGGTGTGACATCCGCTAAGGTATCGATACGTGCGCATCCGTCTCTTTTCTAGAGGCCGTGATAATCTTTCAGTAATTCCCGAACATCGTTTCAGGGAATGGTATCAACGATGGCATCGTTGTCGACGTTCTCTTCCAAAAGGGGGAGATGAATCGAGTTGTGGTGGACCCATACAGGGCCAAGATTTGTAAGAATGGGTATATAGTAGCAAACCATGTAAACATTTTCAACAATAAGCGCCAATGGTCTAACGGCTAGGATTCATCCCTTCCAAGGATGAGGTGGGGGTTCGATTCCCTCTTGGCGCAACTTTTTTTCCTTTTCTACTTTTCATTTCTTTTGTTCCTCGGGGGTTTTTTTGCTCGTATTGTACTGTTCTTGTTTTTTTTGTAGTTTCTTTTGGTATGTCTTTTGGTGGTTGCAATCAGTGGGCCGTCCTGAAGAGATCACTAACGCCGATAACGGCACCGGGGTTTTTGCTGGTGACGTTTCTCTTTCTGGAAACTGAAGGTTCTATCTACTCTTTCTAACCAGTCTATCTCTCACGATCAGGGGCATCATCCGTCATCTTTCCCCTTTCTGCCTGTCCCGACGATTCTTGATAGGCATCCAATTAATCTCATCAGCCTAAATTTAAACCAATCGCATTCGCTGAACATTCAGCTGCTCATCTGTTTGTCGGACAATACTCGATGCGGCAGAGCGGCGCTTATTCAACGTGGCTTATGCGGATATTTATCTTGATGCCTTACAAAAGCAAAACCTAGGTATCTTCACTCCCAGTCCTCGAACCAGGCTTTCATGTGTGATTTGAATTTATCTCCGAAGGATGTCGGGCATAATAAAATTTCATTTGTACGACCGGGCCGTCTGAGCACGCCCGCTATCGCCGCTTCTTACATATGTTGGACGGATAGAATGGAATATAAGCGCTGTCAGACTGTATGCAGCTTGCCGTTGTGAAACCTTTTACTATTGCTGCAATCGAAAGGCGTTGAAAGAAGAATCTCGCCTTCAGGTAGCCAGCCATTCCAATGTCCCTCAATGGCCCCCAATCGATGCCTCTCAACACCACGCTCTACCAATGCAATAAGGCGGCAGGCAAACCTCAAAAGGCATCTTTCTCCATTGTCTGTCTACCTAACACCACCTACCCCTGCAATCTCCCAAGCTATGATGCCGAATATCGATAGTTTGTTTGAGGCTTCGAGCTAAGAATTGCTATCGGGAATCTAGAACATCTTTCCAAAAATCTTCCAAGAATAACTGGACCAGGAGTAGCATCCTTTTCGACGCTAGTGGCGTTAAGTCCGAGCTGAAAGCAGATATCGGAATGTTGTTTTAGCGCTTCACTCAAGCCATTCATTCACATGTCAGACAGAGAGACTGGAGGACCGTTACAACAGATCCATCCCGTCCACATCCAACCACCGTCATCATCTCGACGGCACGGGCTTCAGCCGCACACTGACTAGCTCTCTCCTGGCCGTTGAAGCCTAGATCAACAGGTCCCAGCACCATGTAAGCCACGCACAAAATCGATAGTGTATCGTCCAGGGCAGTTGTCATGTCCCAGAGTGTCGGTCTTTTCCAAGAAACCCCACTACCATACTCGGATATCTTGGGAAAATGCCGGCGATAGAACTCCATCCCACATAGGATTGGTTGAACTTGCGCCATGGCGTTTGGTATGGTGAGATTTCTGGGTTGCTATAAGGTAGAAGATGACTCGCTGCTTCCTAGGACCCTCCTTGAACCTCTCCCTGAATTTGGAACGGGAACGAAGGGAACAAGGACGTCACACGAACGAACACGCAGCATTCCTCCCAACCACGATGGCAGTCCTCAACTGGGCCAGCTCCCGTGCTGCTACTCTCAGTCCATGTCCCAGAACAGCGGCTCTGGTAGTCATTACGACATGGCTGCTGTACGTCATCGGCCTCGCAGTGTACCGATTATACTTTCACCCCCTGGCCAGGTTTCCGGGGAGGAAAATGGCTGCGGTCACCACTTGGTATGAGTTCTATTACGATTTCCGGTACGGTGGGAAGTACCTCTTTGAAATAGAAAAGATGCATAAGGAGTTTGGTAAGGAAGAAGCGTTTTAAACCGTGATATACAAAAAAAGTCAGCGCTAACTGGGTGGGATGGACTTACCTAGGACCGATAGTGCGCATCAACCCCCACGAATTGTCGATCCATGATCCGGAATACTACAATGAGCTTTATGTGGGAAGCAGCAAGCGACGGACCAACTTCTGGCCCTTGTTCCAGGGGTGTACCGATGACACTGATGGTGAGATTCTTGGTGCAGATCAGATATTTGGGAGAGAGGAAGGGTCCATCCAATGCTGACTTTGTCCCCAGTCAACCACTTCATGACAATCGACCATGATTTACATCGCCAGCGTCGAAAGCCCTTTGACCCCTTCTTTTCCCGCATGGCCATCAACACTCGATACTGGCCCATGCTTGCAGAAAAGGCCGTGTTTCTAGAGTCCCGCATCCGTGAATACAAGGGCCAAGGGAAAGCTGTGCGGCTGGACCGCGCTTTCTCGGCCTTCTCAGCGGACTGTATTGAGAGGATATGTACTGACGACCTTGAACCTGGCGATGGGTTCCTTGATCAGCCAGATTTTGGACCAGAGTGGTATGATGGAATGCTGGGTTTGATCAGAAACGCGCCCATCTTGACCAAGTTCCCAAAGGCGTTGAGGTGAGTTGGCTGCACGCCTGGCCGTCATGGGCCTCCAAGGCTAAATCATTACAGCTCATTAGGATACGTCCCACAGCGCTTGCTGCTATGGCTTTTCCCTCAAGGACGCATCGCCAACAAATACGATGAGCGAACAAGAACCCAAATCCGAAAAGCTGTAACTAAACAGCACCTGTCCAAGGACACCACCAGCTCGGAGCATACCACACTCTTCCACGCGCTGGCGCAGAGTAATTACCTCTCACCTGCCGACAAGACAGAAGAACGGCTAGTCAGAGAAGCTAAGCTCATCTTTCTCGGCGGAACCATCAGCACCGGACGAACCCTCAGCTTCGTATCCTACTACGTCCTTTCCCGCCCAGACATCAAGGCCCGTCTCGAGGACGAGCTGCAAGATGTCATGGCTGCGTGGCCGGAAGCCATTCCCACTTGGACTGAGCTGGAGAAGTTGCCGTATTTGCAGGCAGTCATCAAGGAAGCTTTGCGGTAGGTTTTCTGTCCCGCGTAAACTCGTGTGTGTGCGTGTGTGTGTGTGTGCCACATGGTAGCAAACAGAGAACTGACGGATGAGGAAAAAAAAAAAACAGACTTAGTTACGGCTTCATGAGACGTCTGCCGCGCGTCTCGCCCGATGTGGCCATCCAGTACAAGGAGTACACGATCCCGCCTGGGACTCCGGTGGGCATGAGCGCCTACTTGATGCATAGCAACTCGGAGGTGTATCAAGATCCCGACCAGTTCGTCCCGGAGCGGTGGCTGGGTGGGGACACGAGGGTGATGCAGAGGAGCTATGTACCCTTTACTAGAGGGTCGAGGAGTTGTCTTGGTCAAAAGTAAGTGAGACCCGTTGGTAAGAGTTTTGGTGGTGGCATTGAGAGACTGAGAGGCGTCCTTTGCTGACTTGCTTGTTGTGTACACCATGTAGTCTCTCCATGGCGGAGATCAGTCTGGTGTTAGCAGTACTTTTTCGACCAGATGGGCCGCGAATGGAGCTGTTCGAGACGGACGAGAGCGATGTGAAGCATGTTCACGATTTCGTTGTGCCGCTGCCGAAGTTGGATAGTTTGGGTGTTCGGGTCATGATTCGCTGAAGATGATGGATGGAGGAGGAAGAACTTGCCGGCGCTGGTGATGCATGGTGATTTGGTCAAAGGGTGTTGTTCAGTTCACACTGTTTCTCTGATACATACCAGTTGTCTGTCGTCTGTTCGGTTGAGAGACTGCCGGCGAGCTTGCGAGCTAGATACTGTGAGCGACTGTGCCAGCCGCACCATCGTGCCGGTTTTCCTTCCCAAGCACCATTTTCCATGTTATGTGTGTGTGGCAGGACAATGTTCGATTGGCTGGACGAAACGAGATGTCGATTTGGGCTCTTTGCCAAAGGTGCGCTTTCTCCGCACGGCCTGGGACGGCTTGGACGGCAGTTGTCTGACTGGGTAACATCTTCCTGGATGGGGGACCAGTTGGGGTAAAGTGAAAACAGGTTGAGAAGATACCGAGGAACTTTAACCGGGAAAGTGAGATGGTTCGGATGGGACCACTGGGATCCAATAACGGGAGATGTTGGGCTCCTCCGTCGTACCTATCTTGGACAGCTGGTGAAGATGTTGACAATGGATTCTCCCGACACGCCTTCGGTTGAAACTTGGAACCCCCGGACTGGACCCCTCGAAAGCCGAACCCCACAGCACATGCTTTAGCGGAGTCAGCACTAACAACGAAATCCGGGGTCCCCGCAAAGATCGCCCAGGGGCATTCGTCCCATCGGTCGACAGGGAGCCACCGAAATTCGAGATGGTGTCGTCTTTTTTGGTGCATTTTCATCGACGTCGACTCGAATGTAGACAGCCTATAACGCTCTCCCATCTGAGCTAGTCGAAACGAGGTTTCAGATAATGAGATAAAGGGCATGTTCAAATATTCATTAGCAGGAAGAGGGAAAATACATGAGATTGGCAAGTTGAAGCCATACACAAGCGAAACCCAGCCCAGGCAAAGGAGAGTGGCGGAACCTTAAGTCCACAAATGGAACCTCGGATGTCTGTTCCCCAAGTGTTCCTGCTCCTCCTCCGTCAGACCTTCCAGCCTGTGATCTCTCTTGCCTGCTGCCCTGGCGCGGTTCTCCCACGCGCAGTAGAGGATGCCAAAGATGGACAGACAGACGACGCCAATCTGTCCGCCAAGGTTGATGGTGTGGCCGGTGTGGTACTTGGGGGCGTCACTTGGGACGTAGGTCCAGCTATAAAAGGCATGTCTGAGTTAGGTCCATGGCCTGGACAGAAAGAGAAATCATAGAGAAAACTCACGTAGCAACGATACCACCAATAGTTCCCAGTGTCACGACGTAACCGCTGGTGACCGCACGAACAGCTGGTCCAGCCGAATCTAACTTGTCATTAGCTTTCCATCCATCACCACTGTATCAATCATGCCAAGCGAGGGACGACTTACTATTGATCGCCCAACTCAAGAACCCCGGCCCTCCTGGGAACGCACCAACCGTCACAAAGAAGACAGCCATATACCTCACATTCGGCTGACTGACCCACCTCAGTATCGCGAACCCGATCAACGCCAGCACCGAAAACGCCGCCAGCCAAATACCTCTCTGCCGACTCTTATCGCTCCCATACGCCACCGCTATGGCGACCAAGCAAGCGCACACATACGGCGGCACGCTATACAACTGGGCCTTGGTATTCTGCCACCCCAGATCCTTCAAGATGGTCGGCAAAAACACCGACAGTCCCTGCACCGTGATATTAATCAGAAAGAACCCGATTCCGCACGTGTAGTTATGCACGTTCATCACCGCCAACTTGACATGGCGCCACTCAACCTTTTGGGCGGGATCAGTGCGGTGTTCCCTGACTAACCGTTCCGCCGCGATGCTCTTCTCCCTTTCATTCAGAAACCACGCTGTCCGCGGGTCAGTAGGCATCCAAACCGGCGCCGCCAGCCCGATGAGTATAGTAATGAGCCCCTCAAAGAAGAAAATGTTCTTCCACGTGTGAATCGTGTGGCCCGCCACTCCCCACTCCGGAATCCTCGAGAGGCCCGTGGCCAACAATCCACCGAATGCGCCAGCGATGGAGGCCGCGGAGACGTAGATGCCGATGCGGAACAGCAACTCCTCCCGCTTGTAGAAAGTGCTGAGGAAAAACGCCATACCCGGCATCGCGCCGCCTTCAAAGACGCCTAGGACCGCGCGGGCGCCCATTAACCCGCCGAAGTTCGTGACGAAGGCCGTGCATAGGGATACCAGTCCGAACCCGCAGACCAACAGGGGTAGGTAGAAGCGGGGGCCGAGCGCTTTGAGGAGGACATTGCTCGGCACTTCGAATAAGAGATAGATAATGTAGAAGATGGAGAGGGCCCAGTTGAACTGCGTGCCTTCGAGATGCAGGTCGGTGGCGAGACCTTGGATGCGCGCGTTGCCGATGTTGACTCGGTCGAGGAAGCAGAGCATGTACAGGAGGGTGACAATGGGGACGCAGTGCCAGTCAATCTTGCGCCGGATGGCCGTCTCTTCAGCGTCGGTCCAGGAGAGCTCGGGGAGGGAGGTGCTGGAGGAGGAGGCAACGTCTTTGGGTGTTTGCTCGTGGTGGAGAGCTGGTATGTGTTAGCGAGGTTGAATAATGACATTGGCAGTGTGAAAATGTAAGTAGGAATTGGTGATGATAATGGATAGGGTGGTTTGAACGGTTGACATACCGACTTCCTTCTCTAGGTCCCCCATTTTGATGTCGCTATGTGAGAGGTCGACCTGAAATTTGATGCTTGGACCCTGACAGCTCAAGGTAGGTGATGTCGATTGATCTTTGAGGGTATATAAGACAAAGTCAAAGACGGGGCAGGACAAACACAGGTAGGTGGATAGCTGACGGCGGGTCTACCCCTTATGAACAATCGGAGAAAACCCAAATAAGACAACGGACATTTGCTCCGGTTCGCGGTATCTCCCGTTGCCAACCCGCTAGCCGAAAAGCTTGTTGCAACTGTAGGTAGCGGTAGGAATGGGATATTCAGATTGTCTCCAGTTGATAAAAGGCAAAAGAGTTAGGATTTGCAAGGACCCCTTTTCGCAGCATGTCCTTAGCTCATATATCATCGACACAAGCTTTCCTGCTCTTGGGTTCCTTTCTGTCATACCTTGTTGTCAACTTGTCTGTCTGTTCACGTCTTAGCGGCTTCATGCTAGATGCGTACATTTTCTGGATGTCATCTGGCAGTCGCGATATTGGGTATACAGCATGCGGTATGCAAGCTCAGCTCTGCATTGTGACATTCTTTCTGCCGCCCGTCTCTTCGCCGTCACTTACGGTTACGTCGTCTCATAGTCTCCTTCCCCCTCCTCCGCTTGAAAATAACCGGTACATGAGGTGTCCTCCCTAAGTTGGGCGGTGGCGTTAACCAACATGACACCCTCCATTTCCTGTTCATCCAACCGCGTGAATGAAGCATTTTGGAGAAGGTTCGGCAAATGCATTTTGGTGAAAGCCAAGGTGCGCCAAGCTGTCCGAGACCAGATTGGCGGGTTGGTGGTGGATGTGTCGACGGAACGGATGGCTGGACCACGAGGCCATCTCGAGGAGGAGTTGGAGAGTGCGGGGGTTTGGGGTGTCTGGTAGCAGTCGCTAGGAAAGATCAACGCCTTTGTCCATAATAGGTTTAACGTGCTTTTCTCGCTTTTGGAAGCAGATGGGCGTGAATGTCTAGCAAGGTCTCGGCGGTCATGTATGACGCTTTGGATGCCCTTCTTTGTTTCGGCAGTGAGGTGATTCGTTGGTTGCTTGAAGGCTCAAATGCTGTCTCCTCGAATCGTTATTTTTTACTCCTTTTTTTTTTTTTTTTTTTTTTTTTTTTTTTTTTTTGTTACCGTTGCTTGCTCCATCTGCCTCTTCAGGTTGTGTTTGAAGACCGCTACATATTCGGGGACCTGCTTGAGACACTTTTGTGCCAGGGCGGGAACCGTGGGATCCACCTCTGTAAGACATAACAACGATGGCCCGTCCCTGAAGTCGCCATTCATTAATAAACCGTGGATGCTGTTGTTCGCTCTCGGTTGGTTTGGGGAGAGGTTGCAATTAGCCGGTAGCTATTCTGCCATGTTTGACAATCAGGCCGCCGGGGCGGCTGCTGCGTGTGGCAGGCAGACCAGATCGCCCGTGACAGTGAATGTGTAGACTGGCAGATTATCGCTTTGAAGGCCTGGAATGCATTATAGTAACGTCAGGACATGATGCTTTCTTCCCTCTGGCTTGCTGTTCCTTCTGTTCATGCCCATTATGTCCAGCGCTGCTTCGTTTGATGTCGGTGTTGTTCACTCATGTCAAGACCTGCAGGCCTCTTGTTGATGGGATGATGGTAGCTGCGTCGGACGCCAACATACATGGACGCCAGAATGAAATCCTTGGATATCAAAAACTCGACCCTCAATCTGTGAGTGATGACTGGAGTGACATTGTCTTGTTGGTGACGGAGCCATCATCATAACCCTAACCCTGACATATCCTGGGGGAAAGGAACTGAAGTGAGTGGCTAGTGAGGTCTGTGGTTGGTGATTCCCTGTGGCTGTGGCTGATGGGACAGCCGAGCCTTCAGCAAGCACACTGCAATGTTGGACGCGGGACGGGACGTATCGTTGCAGGCCAAGTGGCTTTGACCCATTCTCTAACGTAGAATGCAGAGATCAGCGCGAAAACTTGTTAGTGATAGCACACGCCTTGCGTGGGTGAGCCGACAAATGGACTTGCGATAAGCCAATCACAGCCCGTGGTCAAACCGAGCAGCGCACGGGCACCCGCACACAAAAGGGCTTGGGCTTCCCCTTGGGCAAAATGAGTTGGGTTCTCCAGGTCTCCTCCCTCAATCCAGTTTGCTTCCGTCATCAATCCCACCCACCCACCTTTTTCCATCTTTTCCATCGACCTTTCATCCCGGCCCTCCTCCTCCTCCTCCCCTTTCCCATGGCGGACTCGGTGACCCACACTTCACCTCCCTCTTCTTCTTCTTTCTATTCTCTTTTTGGTACTCCTCCTCCCTCACACCAGCCCGACGGCGGACCGAATCGTCGCGACGACGATGAAGCGAGTTCAACACAACCATTCTCCTTCCCAGGGTCAGTGCCTGATAGTACCGGTGCCGTGAGTCCACGCTTACGTGGATGCATAGCCGGTCCGTTTTTCCTCGTCGACACACTGAAGTGAGCGTCCCGCGATTCGAGAGTCATCGACTCCATCAACTCCTACCCATCACGTACGCCTGGTGGAAGGACGGGGGTGCTTGACGGGCTATCGCATCGTGGGAATCTCGCAGTAAGCCGTGTCGGCTAGCCAGAGCGGCGGGACTATCATCACCGACGCCAGGTCATTCTCTCTCTTTCATAACCCAACTATCCCTCTCCTTTCGCCTTCCTTATCCTTCCACCACTTCCCTTCCCTCTCCCCTGCCGTCTTCCCTTCCACTCCTGGTGCTGTGTGTTCTTGGGCACACGGACGTCCCGTTTCTCCTGGCAATAGCTGGAAGGATGCGTCCCACGCGTCGAGAACCGTAAAAATTTGCCAACTCCTACCCACAGGCTAGCCACCTGCTGGAAGGACTGGGGTTCTCGATAGGTCGTGGATAGAGAGTTGGCGGACCATAGCGCTCTCTGTCTACCTCCGGGTGTTGGGAAGCCTCCGACAGTTCAATGTCACGCAAGAGCGGCAGGATGATCACCACCAAGGCCCCAGTCCCGAGGTCATGTATCTGGCAGGATGCATGGCCGGAGCGTTTCTCTGTGGCGATGTACTGGAGTTCCGTGCCGCACGGGTCGAGAAGCACTGGTTCCGATCATCAGGACAATGCCTGGTGAAAGGACTGGGTCTTTCTTGATAGGCCGCGGGCAGAGACGAGACTGGCCGTCCCGTTCTCTGCTGTCTTGCCTCCGTTCGTGCGGAACCGTTCGACGGTTACATCATCACTTGAGAGCAATCTGTTTCATGTTGGATGATGCATTGGGGGTCCGTGGAACACGAGTCGAGAAGCCTTGGGGTTCAATCGTCAGGTCAACTCCTGCTGAATGGACTGGGGCTCTCTTGATAGGCCGCGGGTTGAGAATGCTGCTGGCGTAGCATCCTCTGCTGTCTTGCCTCCGTTCGTGGGAACCGATCAACAACTGCATCATCACGCATGAACGGCGGGACTTTCCCATCTCTTCAAAACCAGTCCTGGCGCTGTATGTCCGGCAGGGCACATGGCCGTCCGTTTCAGCCGTGCGATACATTTGAAAGTGCGTGGAACCCAGGTCGAGAAGCCATAAAAACTTGCCAACTCCTACTCAGCAGGCTAGCTGCTTGCTGAAAGGACTGGGGCTTCTTCGATAGGCCGTGGATGCAGATGCTGCTGCTGTAGCACTCTTCCACCTCCGTCTGGGGGAACCTATGGACAGTTGCATCGTCACGGGTGAACGGCGGGACTTTCCCCATCTCTTCAGAACCAGATCTGGTGCTGTGTATCCGATGTGGTACATAGCCATCCGTCTCAACCGCGCGATACTTCTGAAAGTATGTGTAACCCGGGTCGAGAAGCTATAAAAACTTGCCAACTCCTACTCAGCAGGCTAGCTGCTTGCTGAAAGGACTGGGGCTTCTTCGATAGGCCGTGGATGCAGATGCTGCTGCTGTAGCACTCTTCCACCTCCGTCTGGGGGAACTGATGGACAGTTGCGTCGTCACGGGTGAGCGGCAGGTCTGCCCCTTCCCCTCTGTCATGTTCACCGCGCGCCTAGCATAGCACCAACACAACACAGCACCATCACTACACCAGCACCATGACCATGATGTTTAACCGTGCTTACGGCTAACAGTCCAAGGGAGGTGAATGGGTTGAACGACGGGGACAACCTTCGTGACGAGCTAACCGACATTCTCGTCAACAACCACGACGACAACATCATGTCGGCCGTGCTTGACTCGAGCGACGACGAATGGCACTGCAAGATTGATATGTCGAATCGGGACAGCGTGGTTGTATGGGAGGACGCGAATCATGATGTGCAACACACCTTCGACCTGTCTTTGGACCTTCACGTCGATACCTCAGAACGGCATGGCCTCTTCATTTTGCATGGCCTTGTGTACCTCAAGGCCGACACGGCCCTCAAAAGGAATCTTCGCCTGTTCATCTACCCGGAGAACATCCAGTCCATCGAATATGAAGTTTGCAATCATCCATCTATCCCCGGCATGGAGGAATCTTCCAACAAATCCATTCGCTTGCGCTTTACTATGGCACAGTTGCCCAGCTTAGTGGTTCCAAACAATATGCCACTGGAACCGAAGCCAAAATCAAAAGCTGTACTGGACAGTTTGAAAGCCCTCGCCACCGTTCATAGCTTTACTATCTACTTGGAAATGCTCCGTTTGGGTCTAGAGACTCGGCATCAGTTGTCTTTGCTACCGTCGGTCTTCTCGTCTATCAATGTCAGGTCCCGGTTGAGGACAGATGTCGTGCGGGCGGATCTACGCAAATTGTATAAGGGTGTCGGCGGTCACGCTCTAGACTTAGATATGACTCACGCAAAGCCCGGCGCGGGTCCCAGCAACGAGACAGGAAAGCAACTTTTGCAGCAAACGATAGAAGAAGTAGCGCCGGCATATACCAAGGATGACTCTCCCCAGAGTCCGACGCAAGTGATAACTCCGTCTGGTATGTTCTCTGCGCTCACTCACATCATTATCTCATCAGGTTACTAACGCGCTGCCTCTTAGACCGCAAACGTCGGCGAACCAGTGAATCCCTGTCTCCCTCAACCACCACCGACAAGCGCATCCTCACTGCCTTCGCTCAACTAGCCAAGCGCCATGCCGATCTGCAAAGTCGCGTTGCACACCTCGAGAAGATGGTGGCCGACTCTCGGTGTGATCACACTCCATGCCGTTGCGATACGGAGGAAATCGAGAACATTATCGAACATGTAAACGATAAAATCGGCAATGACATGGATGATGTGCGATGGGAGTTGGAGGACAAGGTGTTTGGCGAGACGCGGGAGCTTGTGCTGGAGAAGACGGAGGAGCAGCAGTCGCAGTTGTGGGCCGATATGCGAGAGGGCTTAATGGACGAGATGCGGCAGGAGATCAAGGAGGAACTGAAGGCAGAGCTCAGACAGGAGCTGGCGGCAGAGATCAAATCGGAGCTGTTCAAGGACATGGCACAGGCGATGATGAGGGCGGCGTGCGGTAACGGCGAGAAGTCTGGGGCTGGTATGTCACAAAGCACGCAGAGCACGGATAGTACTCAGTGAGGCACGCCATCGGCTGGTCCGATACCCTCACCTAACGGCCTTATGAATGAACATGATCTCTTCCTTTTCCCCAACATACATGAGGCCTCAGCATCTTGGTTGTTCAGACTGATGTCTGCATGTGCTTCCATGTTGTAACTAGAGTGGCCAACCTGTGTTGCCATTCTGCCCGTAGGTACCTCTAGTCGACTACTTGTCCTTCCTCCACAAATCCCTCCAAAACTCTCTAAACCCATACTGCGGCTCCTTCCTCTCATAGACCCTCTGCCCCTTCCCTTCCCCCGTAAACCTCCCCAAAATCCCATCCGGCTTCTTATACGCCATAGCATCAGCGATATTCCCTCCCGCCGGCCTCGTCGCCCTCTCCTTGATCGTCTGCGCAATCAACGGCGCCACGTCCGCAAAACAGTTGTTCAGTTCCCGATCCAAATTGAAGTACGGCTTCTTGGCTAGCTCGGGCGCCATCAAATTGTAGGACCGCGTGATGGCGTTCAGATTGGTGATGGACAGTTCGAGGAAGGAGCGCTCGGCTGCTTCCCAGGACGGGTCGCGGAAGGGTTTGGTGAAGGAAATTTCGGGTTCTTGGGTTTTTGGCGTTGGTGTTTCTACGGCTGCTGCTGCTGTTGCTACTACTGCTGGCTCCTGACTAGTACTCCCAGAAGTGGCAGAAACGTCCGGCGTCTGCTGCCGGATCTTGACCATGACGGGATCTTCTGTCGAGTTGGTCGGTACAGCTATCTGATCCACGTTGCGCCTTCGGGGTTATGGATCTCCTCGGCGCGGGCGTACTCGCTCGCTCGACGGATTTGGTCTTCTAGGGTGCCGCCCCGACTGGAGATCATCCGGGCGGCATGGCGTAGCCAGTCGTTGCGGAGTCGCTTGCGGAAGGACTCGGCGGTTTTGATGAGCTCTTGTTGTTTTTCGATCCAAGGGGGGACGATTTCTTGGCGTTTGATCATTTTGTTCATTATGTATTCGGTCTGTTTTTTTGTTTTTCATATCTCTCATCAGCAATGCCGTACATAATATTGAGCATGGGAGAGCAGTGGGAAGCAACATCAAGGTAGAGCCAAAACTCACAGTATCAATAAAAGGATTGTCAGCCCTCGTATCCCTCTCCACCCCTTTGCCCCTCGGTATATTCTTGAACTGGCCTCTCGCAATCGCATTCTCAATCCGTTCATTCGCCAACGCCGCCAGCCCCGAAACCGTATTCGGCATCGCCCTCGCAACCGGCGTAAACCGCTCTCTAAACTCCCGCCGCAACTCCTCCCGCTCTTCCTCCGTCAGTCCCATCGACTCGGCCTTTGGCAACTCCATGTCCACATACGCCTGCGCCTTCTCCCTCGCGCTCGCCACCCTCCTCCCCGCACTCATCTGCGGTTGCCGCTTAATCCGCATATCCACCACCGGGCTCGGAATCTTAGGCTTCCCCCTCGCCTCCCTCCCTAGCGGCTTGTGTGCATCGTTCAACATTCTCAATACCGCGTCCTCCGTTGACTCTTCGCCCGTCCATGCCTGCGAAGAGGCGATCGATCGCGTGCCCTGCCCCGCGGACTCGGGGATGCGACTGTGGCCAGAAGAGGTGATCCCGGCTTCGGAGAGCGTGGAGGCGTGCTCGGAGGCGAACTTGGCAGAGGCCACTTTGGCTAGGAGTCGGTCGCGCAGGGTTTCGTCGAAGCCGGCTTCTTCGATGGCGCGGAGGCCGGCGCGGCCGCCTGTTAGGAGGGCGTCTTCGGTTGCTTGGGCGAGACGGCGGGTCATGGGGCCTTGTTCTTCCTCGGGGTCGGGCGAGGGAGAGGCGTCTTTGGACTTAGGCGGCGTTGTAGTGTCATTTTGGGAATCGGTGGGCTTGCGATCGGAGGTTAGGTCGTGGTTTGTGTAGTTGTTTGTATCGGGTTCGGACTTGAGAGGCTTGGAAGAGTTATCGGCGGCAGAATATACGCAGGAGGAGTGTGATAATGATCGTGCGGAGGGGGTTGAGATCGGGTTGCTGGCGGTTGTGCGCAGGGCGCGGAGGGGGCGGGTGCAGAGCATGGGGTTGAAGCTCATGGCGAGGGCCCAGGGAGGTTCAAGCAAACGAAGGTATTTATCGGACCAAACGGAGGAAGTGGGAAAGAAAGACAAGAAGAAAGTGAAACAAAATTTTGGGTATCAAGAGGCAACGTTCGCGGTTATCGGCGGCGATCTCCAGGGGAATTTCGGGCGGGTCGATGACGAACTGCACGATAAGGCACAGTAATCGCGACAGTGCAACGGGCGGCAGTTTTGACATCCGCGGCACGCAGCGAGCACTTTAACGCTGGGAATGCCCTCATCCCAGTCCTCGCTCTATTTCAAGTGATCAACGTTTCAACCTTACAATATATATAATTTTGAATCGAAATGCGGATGTCGGCGCTAGACCGGATCGAATATTCTTGTACTGTTGTCACGGTTGAAGCACAACTCAATCCTTTGTGCTTGTGTCTATCCTTATGAGAGCTTTTTAGCAAACGCTACCTCAACAATAGGGACCTTGGCGCAGTTGGCTAGCGCGCAGGTCTCATACTACAGTATGATCTGGTTTAACATCAGAGTAATCCTGAGGTCGGGAGTTCGAGCCTCCCAGGTCCCAATTGTTTTTGCATTTTTTGAGACTTTTTTCTCTTCTCTCTCTGAACCAGGCTTTCGCAGCGGGTTGTGATGTTTTTTCTTTTTCTCATGTTACTTGGGGGTTGAGGCCGGCCTGGTGTAGGGCCATTTTTCAGCACCCTACCATACCATACCCCCAAGTATTGTATCCTTATGCTTACCCTTCTTTTGTTCATCCGCGATAGATGTGGACGCAGAATGATGTGGTTCACATCTTGAGGCTGATATCGGGAATGAAATGCCGGCGTATTCAGGATCACAACCATGAACAATATAGAGCATCATCCCAGTATACGCGGACACGGAAAAGCCCGAACAATGAACTGAGAAGGAGAAGGAACGCGCTGGGCAGTTTCTTAGGTGGGCATCCATGGCCCTTTGAACATCGATTGCACTTGCCAGTCCAATCGCTTCTACTCATACTTATGACTTCCAGGTTATGAGTTGAAGTCCACGAGCTGTGATCCTGGTTGGTCGCCTGCTTCGGATTGTTCTTTCCTGAAGGGCTTGGGCATCAGCGCCATCGCGGCAACATTTTGCAAAGCCCCTCATTTTACTGCGTCTCAAGGGACTACCCGTTGTTACCTACTTAGGTAGCTCTCGAGTTATTGAAGTCTGTCGAACCTGTTTCAACACTGCTTGTGGATCTCGTCAGCTTGATCAGAAATCAAGAATAGTACAAGGCGAAAAGGTAGGCGCAAAGGGATTCGGTTAGGTAAGGGAGATGTGCTACCTTCCCAGATCGCACATTGGGTCCTGTGATTTTCGAATACTCAGGCCTGGATCAATGGAATAAAAGTAAGCAAGTACCTCTAGACAGAGCAAGCTCGACTGCCGTACCGCGAATTTCTTTACTCGTCCAAAAGGCAGAAATAATGAGGTGCTACGCGTCCATTATGGCCACGAGCCCCCTCCATCCCACACGTATTCCGCGAGGTGGGTGAGTGTCAAGATATGGGAGCAACCTAAGGTAGGTACTTATCCTCCTCATGAAGCTACGATCTTCGCGATATCGGATGAGGCACTCAAACGCAAAGAAGGAAAGTACTGTATAAGTACCTCTGCGGTGCGCGACTCCGACGTACCTGCCAAATGTCTGATTCTCAGGTATGTAACTGGCCACCCACCCAGATGGGAAAGTGGAAAGTGCTCCCTGGGAACTCCAAATGTCAGTCCTACTACCTATCCAATAAGGCAAATATCCCCCTTCCAGAAATCTGCCGTGTAACGGATCATTATTAGTCGTTCACATCACTGCACAGTTCGGTGTGTCCCGTGTAACCGCCAACCGGTGTCTAGGTAGTGACGTCGGGAAACGATTTAAATCCCCACAAACGTTCACCGACGGGATGTTATACATGGTACTCGGTAAAGGAAGTTCCTAGCGAGACATCAACTTGAAACAGTGGAACAGCGTACCCCCCTAGGAACTGACGTGAGACTCTCGCTTCTTGAAGTCGGAAGAAGATCATCAAAGTCGGAGGCGCTGCATGTGGCCGCAGAAGTAAAGATCGGAGTGTTGCACCGAAAAGTTGAGGGGTCCGGACTCGGAGCTTGAGGTTCACGGCTCACGGCTAGTATATGGCGGCGATTCTTTCTAGGGACTCAGTTACCGCTAATCTTTTAAATGACCATTGGGCTTCACGAAGCTGCGAGAATATACTAGTATTTGATGTCTGGGAAAGCCCGAAAGAAGTGGCAGCATTGCTTCATCACTAGACTGCAATGCCCAGACTTGCCCAACTCCTCTTACCCAGCCAGGCCTAGCCCTGCCCGGACTAGAACCTCCTTTATTGTCATTCGAACTCCCCAGATCTTCGGGATCATCTATCTGCCTTCAGACGACCCCGCAACCCGGTCGATGCACATCGGATTTGGAATGTGTGTGTGACTCTACACTAACACCTAGTCTAGAGGCTCCACCTCGGGGAGTTCCGTCCTGAGCAGCTCGAGGATGAAGGATCACCGACACTGACATGATTGATGATCGCTCTCTCTGAATCCACCATGCTGATGCCCCACATACTGTAGCCACATAGCTTAGCATTGAGCCAAGATCTGGGGAGAATCTGGGGAAGTGCTGAGGAAGTGCCGGGGGGTGTTTGCCAGCTTGCATAAGTGGTCGTCGAGTTGCCTTTCATGTTTGAAGAGCTCAAAACAAAAGTATACACTTCAAAAGGGTTCGATTGGAAGTAAAGACAATTATTGAGGTACCGAGTGAGTGAGCGGAAGTGCCGTATCCAAGGGAGAGAGATGACGGTCCGACAGAAAATGAACAAGAATTCAAGTTACCCGATTGATCAAGTGTTGGTGAACGCTGAGAAACATCATGGTTATTGATGGGCAGCTGATACAGACCAAGAGTCAAAAGGTGGAACACAGGATATCAGGCGTGGTATTCATTCAGCGTTTCATCGATTGCAGCGGCGCAATGGTATCAGATTTGACCAGTAGATGGGGTCGCAAATATCCAGGGAGAATAGCTTCAATCCAATGTAAACTGAGGCTGAACTGACTAAACGGGTACCGACCATGGCAATGTCGTCTTATTTCCGTGTCGAGGAACCTGAGACCGGTTCGGACCAGGATACTGTCCTATGTCATCGGCGTCTTGCGACCTGACTACCTCCATGTCTCACCATGTATTATCCTGACAACCAGAAAAGAAAAGCGGTCTGCTAGAAAGGTCTAAGAACACGGTCACTCGCGAAAAAAGTGGTGATTTCTGTTCAAAAAAAGGTCCGTGTTAAAAGCAATTAGTCTTTCCATTGGTGCTGATTCCAACCATGGGTTAGTTTTCCGCCCAATGAGAAGGAGTGGGGGACATCACGAGAGGATCTCATGCTGCGTGTGGCTTGTATGAAACACAGGTACGCTGAGTCTAGGAATTGGTGCAACGATAGCCCTTTCCCGGTCGGTAACGAGATACAACAGGCATGGTAGACACTCGTACTGCGTACCACAACATCCGGTAGGTAGTTTTTGAAGGTAGTGTTTGTGGTTCATTGCACTGGTACTCGACCGACATCCGGTGCTGGTCCGGTCGCCGTCCGGTGGTGGTGGTGGGATGCCAGGAGATTATTTTCCAAGCTTAGTTGAGCCCGGGAGAGCCAAGGATTGGGGGTGCATTGCTTTGGCACCCAGTAGCGGGATGTCATGAGGTGATGGGAATGATCGGTTCGTTGATGAATGTCGAATACCTAAAAAAGAAAAACACAAGGAATCAAGATACGGTGAGAAAAAGTGGGCGTTTCCCGGCACACCAGCACATGGTGACCCCATCTGAAGCGAGAAAACGAGGCTGTTAAAGGTCTGGTGGTTGACGCTGCATCCCGGCTGCTTTCCCGAGGCCAACAACAGACATTGGGGGGACCTTGCTCACTACCAGTATTCACGACACTGTAGCTGCTTTTGTGATTGTCTCTCATTGCAGCTCGCCAGCCCCGCGTAGCACAAACGAGCCGCTCTCCAAGATTTGCCAGTGTTTCCCCAGAGATACCTTAAACTCCCCTTGTCTCGCTCTTAGACCTTCCCCGGACTTTCGGCTTCCTTCAACGGTCATTCGACGCTTGTGAAAGATGACGGGCGAATAACTCATTAAGACCGGTGTTTAGCGGCGAGTTTCGGACACTAGTGTACCACCCGTTTTTGGTTACGACTTGCCACCCACGGTGCTTCTGATTAAGCGAAAGATTGGCGTTCTGATCAACCAACGGGCCCACCCGATGTGACAGTGGTTGGCGAATCCGTGGCTGTCTGATAACGATAGGGCTGCAATAGGCTTCCAGAAACGAGAGATTAGCGAGCACCACGGCCTTGGCGTGACGGTGATAGTGGAGGGTGATTGTGGGTGATTGACGTCCATATTGCCTCGGAAAGTGAAGAGAGGCTTCGGAGGTTTCACTTTCACAAATCTCCCCATTTCCTGAGGCGAAGTAGTGTGAGCTCCTGAAAGACGATGAGAAGCCCGCCCGAGTCGCTATCACCATGGCTACGGCAAAGCGGCTGCAAGGGCGCTCTGAGAAAAGCGAAAGATCCAATGCATCACCTCATCAGATGCCGTAATCAATGTGACCATGGCCCGAGTCACTTGACGGGAAAAGTGCCCACTGGTATCACGACACATTGCCCGTTTGGAACTGGCGCTTGAGGCGGCCTTGTCGGTACCTGAGCTGGCCATCAGGGTTGTCGAGCTTTGCTGGGGTAGCTCGAGCTGCTAAGAGGTTCTAGACCGCCAGTACCTACCGTAGCGTAGGCCGCCAAGATGCTTCGAGGAAAGGCTGGAATGTCCAGGAGAGAAAAGGTTTTCTTTTCTCGAGGTTGACGTGCTTCTTCACGATGTTACGGTTGGGTGGTGATGTGGATGGTAGGGTCTGGTCGGTGAGATGCAGGGTAATCGAGTTCCCACTTTGGGTTCCGAACTGGCACTGCTACGGTGACAGTTGGAAGTGTAGAGGTACATAACGGGAATCCCACTAGTTGCTGCCCAGTGTGCGGGATTCTTCATCAATAGGAATGCAATTCGCTACCTACCATAAACACAAACTCCGTCAATCACGACGTTCCCGTTGGACCTAAAAAGCCGAGGAGATGGGACAGGAATGAGACCTGCAGAGGGAGGCCAAAATCAAGACAACAAACCCATCACAAGTTGCAGCCACATGCGACGCAAATGCAGCGGAAACCTTGCCGTTTCCCTCACTCTGTCAGCGTGGATAATACGGTAAAGATACGACAGTCCCCGCCTGAGAAACCATGGTGCCGTTGTTGCCCTGCATCATGTTTTGGTGATCACAGGAGAAGACGGCTGGAAGGAGCATCACCACTGGCTACAGCAGGAGGCGTGGAGGCGACGGATGAGTGGCAGGCACTCACTTGAGAAGATTCACGCAGGTCGGACTGAGTGCAGCGGATCTGACTGTGTCAAAGTAGCCGCCATGTGTGTCTCTCATCAAACACTGTGACAGGGCTCAGATCCGCTGCCGACTGACCGCCTTCCCTTGGCCCAAAGCCCTTCTGGAACAGGCCTGACCATGCCTGATTATGCCGGTTACGCGGGGTAGGCTTGGAGCCAGCTTTTGCGCTTTGTACTGTGGGGAGACATTGAAGGAACTCCGCGGCGCCCGTATGTTCTTTGTATTCGTTATTTCCACCTCCAATTGCGCTGGGCTGACTGCCGATATTTGACTGTCTGCAGCATTCACGACTGTACCCGACATCCATCTGTACTGCCTTGCCGTGTTTGCGACACAGATAGGTTGAGGTGGCGCCTTACACAACACGATCAAGTGAAGAGTATTGCGTACCTTTATCTCGAGTCTCACAAGCCATCGTCGTGGCCGTCTCTTCTCTTCTGTTCTTTTCCTTCCATGAATACCGTACCTAACAGACAAATGTCGCACAACGTGAACAACAAAGTGGAGGAACTGTGAAGCGATCTCGGCTCCCACGGATGATGACCACCTAGAGTCGGACCCTGAACAGCGATCTTGCGACAGGCCAGTCGACTCTCCACAGCTCACGCAGCCAGGCAGTCCACCAGAAACCCACAACTCGCTGGTCCCTGGAAATCGAACTGGGCCCTTCCGTTTGCTCTTCCCCCGTGAATCACCATCTTCAGAGAACCAACCCCGGTCCTGCCGGGTGCAATACCTGGTCTCCCCCGTCAAAATCCCGTAAGAGCTCAGATGTTCATTGCCATAATTACTTTTTTCCCCCGTCACTCTAGGTACATATCCAGTGACCGCCTTCTCGTCATTCGTTAACCCTTACCAGATTTATTTTCCAGCCTCGACCTTAAAGTGACCAGGGATACAACTGGACGACATCCCGAGATCCGACCACATCATCAGCCGACCCCTTTTTCCTTTTTTTTTTTTTTTTTTTTTTTTTTTTGTTTTTGTTTTTGTTTTTTTTGGACAGACGTACAAAAGCCGCCCTTTGTCTCGAGCGCCGCCGCACCGCTGTCCGATCGACGCTGGACTGACTTCTTTGACGATTCCCGACCTCGTGCGCTCCTCATTGTCTTATCCGTGGACACAAACCCCCGACCCCATCCCCGGCTAAGCAACAAGTATCACCATCACCTCCACAACCTCCAGGCACACGCCACCACCGGGGGAATTGGTTGCATCGCTCCTCTATCAGCGCGCCGCGGCACCCACCACACCCATATCAATTTACCAAAACCACCATTAATCCCACCATTGCCGACGCCATCCGCAAAGAGAGGGGGCCAACAAAAGATAACACTCCCCCAACCAGCAGCAGCCCGCCGTACCTCCGCTACCTCCGCAGTTGGATCCAAAATCTCTGCACCAACAGACTGCGATTTCGGCGCCCTCCCGGTCAAATACACAACCATAAAATCGCAACCGCACCGTTCGTGCCCCCTTGCGACATACGAGCCGTCGCAGAGCTTGCAAGCTCGGCCGTATCGTCTTGTTTCCTTTTCATCCAATCACTGAAGCGACACAATGGCAACCTCCCGAGAACGGCCCAGACGAAAGTTCACACCCATACCCGTCGAGACCACGTTTGAGCGCTACCGGAAAGCAATGCCGAATGGCGAGCTTACACCTAGTCCGTCGCCGCGCTCACCATCACCGCCACCCCGCGAGAAACGAAGGTTCGCTCCTCAGCTAGTCGAATCCTCGGTACGAAGATCCCGCCGCGTAGGCGATGAAGGCCCTGCCACCAGACCCACCGATAAAACAGACATTACTCCCTACACGAACCACATTTATGCGCCCAAGGCCAAGGCTAAGAGGAGGCTCGGGCAGGGAACATCGATAGCATCACCTACACCCCCTGCCCAGAGGAAAAAGGGCCATTCCCGTCGAGAATCGTGTGACGATGAGATTGCCGATGGTTTCTTCGACTTGGTGGCCCGGGATGCCCAGGCTCAGAAAATGCAAGAGATGGCCATGAGTGCCTTCCCGAACAGTAGTGAGCGCATAGGTGGCGCTGAACACTTTTACGTTCGCGAAGGCTCGGAGGACGACGAGATGGCCACGAGAGGACGACCCCTGACGAGAGGTCCATGGGCTACTTATCTTTCGCGTCGGAACTCGTCCGAGGAAGACATCAGTTGGGCCTTCAAAGAGATGCAGGAACATGCCGAGATGCTGCAGAATGAGGCCAAACGTGATTTTGAGCCAGAAAGAGTCTCGACCCTCGAGTTGGACAATATGAGCTTTGACGAGCCACTCAACGATGTGATGAACCTGACCTCTGCCCCTAGGTCACCTCTCACCGGTTCCCCTCTCTGGGCATCACGACCGTCACCTGCCAACCGGGGCCCGATTGGTGAATCTCACATGCCACTGATGCGGTCTGAGTCACCTCTACCTGTCATTGGTGAATCCGCCATGCCGTACATCCCACCCGAGTCGCCCCCTCGTCGCCCAATAGGCGAGAGTTTCATGCCATACATACCGTCGGCGCCTTTGGGGAAGGCTGCAGATATGCCTTATGCCTCCCCAGCTCAGATACCCCCAGATACTGCGTTTGGAAGCCATGGATATGCCTTCCAGCCGTATGCCGAGCCCGAGCGAGACATGTCATTGGAACGTGCGAGGAATCAGCACCGACAACGGGTGAAGGCTTCACCTCCGATGCTCGGCCAGGACTTGGTATTCAGGATGTGCCAGTCCCCCAAACACACCAAGCTGGAACCAGACCATTTATGGGATCTGGAGAAGGAAACAACAAAAGAGGATGAGAACCGGGACCCCAGTGAGCAGCGGGGTCTCTGGCGTGGATACTGCTTTGCTCATGATAAGGACGAGCATATCATCCCGGCTGAGCGACCACAGTATCTTAGCACCCCTTATCCTTCACATTCACCTCGTGACCCCTTTGCGCAAGCCTTTGGGCAATCGACACCACCCGAGCTGAGCGCAGAAGGAACCCCGTCTGATGGTTTTACGAGGAACACATCTCTCCAAATCCCCCCTTGGTCACATCCCGAGCATCGCACCAAGAACAACGAGCGCAAGGGCCTCCACATGCTTCCTTTGCAAGGTCTTGAAGAGAGACTAAAGAAAGAGAAGGCGGCTGCCGATCTAGAAGAGAAAATTGCCGCAGAGTTTGACGACCATTTTGTCACACAAGTGTACAACTACCTTTCACTTGGGTATCCCGCATTAGCAAGACAATACGACGAGGAACTTGGCAAGATCAGTCGGATTCCCGTCGAAGAACTAGGACGGGACGACTACGCGATTATGGAGAATCTCTGGGGTGGCGATGACAGGAGGACCAATGGGGATGCAAGAGTCACTCCCGGCGGTACGGCCAAGGCTACCGGCCACATTATGCTCGATAGCGAAGAGAAGGACGATACTCCCGAGGAGAATAGGTGTCCTCGGTGGAAGGCGCTCAAAAAGTACATTTATGAGTGGGCGAGGCAGCACCCCGACCTGGATGCCATCAGTCCGCTGGCTTGGGGCGTACGAGAAAGAAGAGGTAGTTGGGGACTATAAGGTCTTCTGGCTATTGCCTCTACTGTTTTGTTTTGCGTCATGGCTTTTCGTTCCTCTGTTGGACGAGTCGAACGTTCAAGATGGAAAAGATGACGTGCGGAGTGGAGACTCGAGGTGTGCCTACACTAGCGGTACATCACCACGACGATCACTTTTCTTGGGTTGCATTTTTTAGCGTCGCGATCAAAGCTTATTTTGTCATTGTTCCAGGGCGTCCTTTATTAATTCTTGCTTGGTATGGTATTCGACGGGGCAACATTCCCTATTGTTAGCGGCAACATGATTACTGTTCCGACACAAAAGCATTTGCACGATGGGCACAACATTAACCGCCTTTGACTGTTATTCTTGATGAGTACGACTTATGACTAGTATCCCTCCCTGAGGGTCGCAGTATGTTTTGAGTGGGATTGGTAATGGGACAACGCACGAAAGTAGACTGTATATGATGGCCATGACGTACTGGGATGAGTTGTTCTGTTGTGTGCTTTGAGCTTGGAGTCTGGCTCCGTTGTTGATTTAAGCGATTCGTCTTACTGAATTTGACGATGCCCGAGGACGATAGAAATAGTACACAAAACGAAGCAAAGCAACACATGGGGAGCTTCTAGGCTAACACCACAGATAAAGTCGGAGGGGAAAGCAACGGGTCAACAACAAGGGATTGTGAAGCAATATTCCTTATTCGAATAATCACGAAACTAGTACAACAATTTTAACATGGACCAGAAATCACGGCGCCTCAAGTCTCAAAATCACTGTCGTCCCTTATTTCTGGTAACCGAGTCATGTCGTCTTGAGCCATAAGTCAACAGATGTCACCAAGCTAATTTAACCACGTGCGGACGGCAGACGAGGAACGGCCCTTGAATTAAATAAGCGAGCAAGCAAGGCCAACCCATCAAGCTGTTCCTAGAAGTAGTGCCAAACTGGAGCCGTCGGGTTGGGTGTGTTTTGAAAACGGGATCGGAACTGAAGCTACTTACTTATTCAGCCCTATTGGAAAAATGGAGCCAGGGCCGCCCAAGCTGCGAGGCACGGTGTTTATAGGTAGTGTACTGTGGGAACCCAAAACTGAAGGCATCCAGTCGATCAGGTTCCATGGACGGGTGACCCACCTTTGTCACTGCAGCCAGGGATGGAGCGGAGATTCTCAATCTTGGGCATTGCCGCTGCCGGAACGACCAGGGCAGCTACCATAGAGCAGGGACGCCGCGCGCAGCATAGCATCACTGTACTGTGTTCAGTTATCGTTCGCTAAAACAACAGCTTATCATCATCGTCATCCTTCCCTCCGTGCTCCGTCCCGCGAACCACCCAAACTCGGCCGGCCCTTTTCCTTGCTTCACCTTGTCACCGACTTTGCGCATTCCCGACTCCGTTACGGTTACGGTGTCACTACTACGAACCGCTATTTACCTACCCTACGACAACGAATTATCGCGACGCCAGCACAGCGCAAAGCAGCGGACCGGGATGGAGCAATCCCCCCTTACGCAACAGCCTCGGCCGGAGGCGTTCCAGGCCAAGATTGTGCAGCTTTATCAGGAGCTATTTAAGGTGTGTCAGCTTCTGATGTCTTGCTGCCGTCGGGTATACTGCAATAGAATTGGAGAAGGGAGAAGCTAACGTCAACTGCGCTGTAGGTTAGTTGACATCACCCTCGTCAATCCTCTCCCTCTCCGTGCTTCATCACATACATACCCCGCGCGCCCGCGCCCCTCGATAGTTGCCATATCGCGATCGCCGCCTCGCTGGTTCCATGAATCCCGTTTGGCCCGACGTAACCGACTCGCCCATTGATCGCGCGCGCGCAATGCGACAGCCTTCTTTTCATACGGACCCGCGCATACATACTGACCTATTCTCGCCCACTGACCAACAGGACCACGACCACGACGAAGACCTCGACTCGCACTACCACTCCCCCACCCAAACCGAAGGTTTCTGGACCGAGTTCTTCATCCTCAAACCCGCCCGCTCTTCCCTGCGCCAAATCCTCGACCCCATTTCCGCCTCCGACCTGCTCCATCTCTACTCCGCGCAAACCCAGCAGCTCTTCTCCCGCGCCGTGAGCGCGCTCAAGCCCACCAGGCCTTCCTCGTCCGCCTCTGCCTCTAGTCAGACTCAGAGTCAGAACAAGCAAGCGAACGCGCTTGACACGCTATCGGTGTTCCTTGTCAGCATACTAGGGAAGAAGTACACGAATCCAAGCTCGGACATTATCGAGGTGCTTGCGGGACTGGATAGTGTCGACCACGTCTTTGGGGAGTTTGTAGGGGCTTTGGATGGAATTGTGCGCGGTGGCAGCGGAAATGCAGGCGCGACGAGTATAGAGGTCCGGCGCAAGGCGGTGGAGGTGGCGATGGCGGTTACGGCGGGGGCGTGGGGGACAGGGTTGGGGAGTTATTTCATCCAGAGAGATATGTTTCCTGCTTTGATGAAGGTGAGTTTTGAACGGCTCGGGTTCGTTTGGATAAGAGGAAGGTCATGGGGAAGTGAGGGCAAAAGGCTGACTACCGGAAACAACAGCTTATACAAGACTCCGAGACGACACAAGATATTGTTCGGCCGTTCACGCTGGTCGGACTTCTTGCTAATTACAACAAGTTCGAGTTTCAAAACCCGTACCAGATGCGGCTGAACGACTTTGTCAATGAGCAAACGATACAGAAAATTATCAGAGCCGTGGGTGAGGCGTGTCTAACGCTACGAGGGCAGTATGTTGCGGTACAAGAGGATCTACCGGAGGGATGGTCGATAGCGGGCACGCTGAGCATGATTGGGTTGGTGAGGTTGAATAAACACAAGAAGCCCGTGTATGATGCGGAGACCCAAAAGAGGATGTTTTCGGCGCTGTAAGTCACTATCCACCAGGGGGGGGTTGAGGAGATACAAGGACTAACAAGAACAGGCCCGGCAAAGAAGCAGCCGTCCTCCTAGCAACCTACGACTTTACTCACGCAAATAAGCTCTTCTGCCACAACCTTGTCACCCTCCCACCACTTGCCAAAGGCGACGAACCACCCTTCTCGAGCTTCCTCTCTATAACCTCGTACATGCTCCAACACGCCCACTTATCACAACGCACCACCCTTTACAGCCACCTCAACCTCATGATCATCCGCCTCCTAATCGAAGACCCCGTCCTGTGCAAACGTCTCTGCAGCTCCGAGCCCGAGCACAAGCACCCCGTCCGTCTCTGCCGGCAACGCTCCCCTTACCTCCCCCACGTGGCCGGCGACCGCGTCCTCGCCACCGCCGTCCTCGACACCATGATTGACGCCGTCAACCACAACCTCCGCCGCCGGCTCGACGTCGGTCTGTACACCCTCTGCGTCGGCATCCTCCTCCGACTTATCAGCTACATGTCCCGCTCCCGCTCCCGCCTCGAGTACCACTGGCACGAGCTCTTCCGCTCTCTTTTGTCCTTGATCCGCTTCCTGACCACGTACGCCTCGGACCTCAAGACTTTGCTAGGTGGACAACAAGGCCAGCTCGACACGCTTTTGGATCTGGTGGTCAACACCCTCGCCCTCGGTCTTTCTTCAGGCGAATCGTTCCTGCCGACATCGGCAGCCTACGACGATCTGTTCTACAAGATTGTCGAGATGGGCGATGTGCTGGTCAAGTTCAGGGATGTGTACGGGCTGAAGAAGAGACAGAGTAATAGTATCGATACGTTGGTGAATGTGTCGGCGCACTACAAGGACATGTTGGCTTCAGGGGCTAGTAGTAAGGAAAAGTTGACGAGCGTGCAGGTTGCCGAGGTGATTAAGCAGGGGTATGAGACGTTGAGCATTCAGGCTAAGGAGGGGCTGGATAGCTGGGAGAGATTTAGGGAGGCGGATGAGAGGGGGTTGTTGAAGAAGATGGCGAGGGAGGCGGTGGGGGATGTGAGGGCGTTGGTGGGTGGGGAGTGAATGATGTGGATGTGGTAGTAGTAGGGAAATGGTTTGGTTTTTACACTAATGAGACTGAGATGGAAAAAGGCGTTTGTTTTGTTTTGTTCTGTTAGCGATGTATGGGATAGATTGTGTTTGAGGATGATGTACACTACTTAATGGCTTGAAGCCCAAATATCCAATCGGCCAATATCAGATGGACCGGACTGAACGGACGAGAACATACATACTCTTGTGCCTGATGCGAGTGGGACATGGTACTACCATCGTGATGGAGACTTGTCTTCTTCTCCAGGGAGCTGTCCCCAGACTTCAACTTTGTGGAGGGGACACACCGACCTACGTGTAGGGTATATACACTAGAGAGGGGTGATGTCATTGCCCCTGAGCACGATGGACCCAGCTGTCCTTGTCGTGCCCCTGACTTGACCGAATCAAGACGAAAAGTAAACAAAGGGGTCCATTCCGAACAAGGGGGTTCGAAGCAATCCCCCCTTGATTCCCGGGCTGGAAGTTGATAGGGCGACCAACCAGATAAGGCGCATTTGTTGCCCTCCTCCCCCTTTCCGCTTACACCCCTTGCCTTGGGTTCCTTCCTGTCAGGGCTGTGAGCCACTGCAGTGACCATCAGGGTCCTTTTGTCTGGGGCAGAATGGAAGACATGATGGAATGACACTGCATGGCCTGAGAGATGCGAGTTCCAAAAGTCGATACGGCAAATGCGATGGGTGTGAATGGATGGAGCCCATATGATTCGGAGTGGACCCCTCGTGGCTTACGAAGCATGTGGATCGTTCAAGACAGGCAGAATGTCAGCGGGATTCCTAATGGGCGAATGCTGATTGGCCAGGTCGGTTACCGGGCGGCTCCGAGGGCCAAGATTGCCATCCCATCACCATGTCATACGTCCCGGCTCAGTTTGCTTGCTCGGCTGACTTGACTTCAGTTGAACTTGCTTGGCCCGCACCCAACTGTCGAATTCCCGCCAAGCACAACTGAATCATCAGAGGAAGAACAAAGCCGAATTGCCCCGGCTGTTTCCCAACACACGACCTAACCACCAAAGTCTGGCCTTGTCACAGCCCTATGATTCCGACCTCTGCAATTCCCCTTTCTCCTTCTTCTTCCGCCGCCGTACATCATATCACTTCCACCACCGCCGCCATACTATCGCCGGCTTTCCCGTCTGCGATTGTACATTACACAACAAGCACAACAACACCACTACTACTCAAGATGAACGCGCAAAGGATTCTTTCGAGGAGGACGCTCTCGTCCGCCCTCTGCAACAGCAACCGCACCGTCGCTCACGCCCAGCGCCACCAATTCAGCACGACGCCCTCACCCGCTGTCACCGCTTTCCAGTCCTACACTCTTCCCTCGCACCCGCCATCGCCGCCGCGCTCCGGAAATGACTCCATGGCTTTCCCCGTCCAGCCGCCCATGCCGCGCGTACACGAGACAAGACCTCACAAGATTGCGTCGCCACCGAAGCAGCAGCAGCAGCAGCAGCAACAACTAAACAACTTTGCGCAAACGTCACCATCTACATCATCAAGCCCCTCTCAGCCCACCCCCGTTGCTCCCAAGCAAGAACAATCCAAGACTGCCGCCGCCGCCGCCGCAGCACAACCCTCCTCCGCCCCCACGCAACCAGCGCCCTCCAAGCCCGCCCCCCGCGCCTCCCGCCTGCGCGCCCCTCGCAAGGCCGCCATCAACCTCACGTCCGCGGCCGTCGAGCACCTGCGCGCAATGCTAGACCAGCCGGAGCCGAAGCTAATTAAAGTCGGCGTGCGCAACCGAGGGTGCAGCGGGCTGGCGTACCACCTGGAGTACGTGGACAAGGCCGGGGCATTTGACGAGACGGTGGAGCAAGACGGCGTCAAGGTCTTGATTGACAGCAAGGCACTCTTCAGCATTATTGGCAGTGAAATGGACTGGGTGGAGGATAAGTTGAGTCAGCGGTTTGTTTTCAGGAATCCCAATATTAGTGAGTGTTTATCTCCCTTTTTTTCTCCCTCGGTGTTGCGGAAAGGAATTGGGACGGGATGGTGGCTAACGAATGGAAAAACAGAGGAGCAATGCGGTTGTGGAGAGTCGTTCATGGTATAAATAAAGGACATGAATGGGATTAAATTTCGGTTAAGCTAGGGGTGGGCCGGGCGTGGAAGCCGAAGCGCCTTTCACTCGGTCAGTCATGCGTGACACGACACGACTCTTAAGAGAGCTACGGGACAGTCTTCACTTCAGTGGCCCCCTTGGCGCATCGAGAACGAAGGACCCAAGAGTTGTGTATGGAGCTTTGAGAGTCTTTTTGCGTCATTTGTTAGCGCTCGCGCGCTTGGGGTTTTTTCGGCGAAAGCATGGGTACTGGCGTTTGGGTAGAGAGCATTATTCCCTTCGTTGTTCTTGTCACTTATTTTTCCATTCTGATTCACTCAGATATGGACGGTTCTCTAAAGGGTCTTTTTTGCTTATCGGTAGTGGCTGCATAATTTTTCTCTATTCTTCTTGTCACATCACCATTTAGTAGACAAGGGAGAGAACTGGAGAGGCTTTGTCATCATATTCAAGAAGGTCTTGCTTGCATAAAGTGGTTCATCCCATGTTCGCTTCCACCGGGTTATCATGATTACATGCATTCTACTGTGTACCTTTTTCTGCGATGCCCTCTTATGACGCATGCTGTGGTTTTTGATGGCTGATTAATTATGACTTACTGACTTTTGTTAGTGCGGCTCGAATGCGGGCACCTGTCAATTTGCTAACGGTCCAGCGGGAGCTACCCCACATGCTTCAAGTATCCGCAACACACCTAGTTCCCCACCAGCACTGCAGCGGCAGGGACAACAGCTGTTAACGCGTTCGAAAATCAATTTACGCCTTACAAACGCGTCTCCCGTCACCTCCAATTTCGCCATCCGACAACCCATTTTTGCTATTTCTCGGGTCATCTTTTGAAATTCCACCGTTCAGACACATTGAGAAGACCAGATTTTGCTTCAATCTTGCTTTCATCCTACCCACTGACACATGCGACGCCATGGCGGTCACTTGTCCGATATGTAACCAGGCCGTCAAGGGCCTCGACAAAATCAACAGCCACATTGATTCCGGCTGCCAGTCATTCCTCGAGACAGCCGCCGAGAGCGCCACTACCCAAGCTGAACCGCAAAGTAGTGGACAACAGAGTACCCAGAACGGAAACCTACCACCAAGTTCAACCCAAAAGAAACGAAGTGCCGCCGACTTCTTCCAGACTCCTGCCAAACGACTGGCGGTGTCAAAGATACCCATTGCTTCGACACCCCTACCAGTCCATGGAAGTGCTGCTGCTTCGACTGCTGCGCAAACACCGAGGACTGGGACCAAGAGGAGGTTTGATGAGGGACCGGGGTTGGATTCACCTTCGATAGACGCGGCGAGGAATAGGAATGGAGGAGATGGGAGCGCAGAGACACCACAACAAAACGGGAATGCTGGAGAAGGAGGAGTAGGAACAGGAGGAGGAGAAGCACAACCCAGCCCACCGATCCAACCGCTAGTGAAACGCACAAAACCGAACAACCGATCCGCTCCCTTAGCCGAGCGCATGCGCCCTGGCTCTCTCGACGACGTCTTCGGCCAGGATCTAGTCGGGCCCAACGGCGTCTTGCGCGCGTTGATCGAGACTGACCGAGTCCCGTCCATGATCCTCTGGGGCGGTTCGGGAACCGGCAAGACGACGATAGCGCGCTGCATCGCCCAACGAACAGGTAGCCGCTTCATCGAGCTGAACGCGACCAGCTCAGGCGTGGCCGAGTGCAAGAAGTATTTCGGCGAAGCGGCCAACGAGCTGCACCTCACAGGTCGCCGCACCATCATCTTCTGCGACGAGATCCACCGCTTCACCAAGGCCCAACAAGACATATTCCTCAAACCCGTCGAAGCAGGCACCATCACGCTCATCGGCGCCACGACCGAAAACCCCTCCTTCAAAGTCGTACCCGCCTTGCTCTCTCGATGCCGGACTTTTACTCTCCAACCTCTATCTCGCGACGACCTCCAGCGCATCCTGCTGCGAGCCCTCAAACAGGAAATAACCGACCAACACCTGCCCCTCAGCCCACTAATAGACGACGAACTACTTTCCTACCTCTGCGCCTTTGCCGACGGCGACGCCCGCACGGCCCTCAACCTCCTCGAACTCGCTTTATCCCTCACCACCACTTCCCCCCCTCAGACAGCCAACCCCTGACCAAAGAATCCATCAAAGCCTCCCTAACCAAAACCCTCGTCTACGACCGCGCCTCCGACCAACACTACGACACCATCTCCGCCTTCCACAAATCCATCCGCGGCTCCGACCCCGACGCCAGTCTGTACTACCTAGCGCGCATGCTTCAATCGGGCGAAGACCCCCTCTTCATTGCTCGTCGCCTCGTCGTCATCGCCTCCGAAGACGTCGGTCTCGCCGACAACTCCCTCTTGCCTCTCGCAACCGCCACCTACACCGCCACCCAACAAATCGGCATGCCTGAAGCGCGTATCCCTTTAGCGCATTGCACCGTAGCGCTCTGTTTGGCGCCCAAATCGACGAGGGCGTACAGAGGGCTGAATAATGCGTTTTCGGCGCTCAGGGAACCGGGCGTGGCGGCGTTGCCTGTCCCCTTGCATTTACGGAATGCGCCGACGAGGTTGATGAAGGAGATGGGGTACGGCGCCGAGTATAAGTATCCCCCGAATTATAGGAATGGAAGGGTGAGGCAGGAGTATTTGCCGGGGGAGTTGGTGGGGAGGAAGTTTTTGGAGGAGAGGGATTTGGGGACCGAGGTGGATCCGGATGTGGAAATGGGGGAGGGGGAGGATGATGGGGAGGTTAATGGAAATGGGGAGGGAGGGGTGAATGGGACGACGACGTAGGTGTTGGTTTACTTGAATGGGTGGGAGGGTGTGTGGTTTTGTTGGAATAGTGTAATGTCTGGTTTGGATTGTAGGGCATGCATGATGTGCATTTGAAGCGTCAAAAAAAGGTTATGGATAGGCTGGCGTTTTGGTGTAAATTATTCATGTTGGCATAGCATTTATTGTTGGACGTTAGAAAAAAGACATGGAACGAATCCATGGACCCTTCCATTATAACATGGTTTTGATCAGTGATTGTGTTCTGATGGTACCAGATTTGATGACTTCCACTTAAATGCAATCTAGCCCTGGTTTGTTTGTTTTGTTTTGTTTTATTTTGTTTTGTTTGGTAGATAGGTACAACACAAAACGCCTGTTGCCAATAAAAGTAGAAAAGGTATTATTTGAGCTTTGGGTTTAGCGAACGAGTGCCGTGGGAACTACCCTCTTTTCGTATCTTTCAGTTTTGATATTTCGAAACAGATCGGGTAAAGGTTTGAGGAAAAGAGGCTTTCGTGGCCGTTTAAGCCTACATTGTCCGTCGTTTTAAACGAAGGTTTTCTGAGTAAGGCGAATGAGAACTCCGGACACCTACCCTATTCTTAAACCAAGATCAAGAACCAAGGTAACTAGCAGCCAGCATTGTACCATTTAGACCTTGTTAGTTGGTCAGTTTGGAATGAAAGAGCTAGATCACACTGGACTAGGGAAAGTGGTGGAGAGTCTTGAACATCGATGTTATGAATTTGAATTTCAACATGTTGAAGAAGACGAAGTGATATACATTTGAACCGCTGAGAGCCTTGATCATTGTCGAACCTCTGCAAACGGATACGAGGTGTTCTCTTCCACAGCCCAATAAAGCTCTAGGTTACCCTTATCCTACCCCTGTTCTTTCCACCCCCATCAGAAGAACCAAACTACAAACAAACTGGCATTATATCGTATTGCACATTGCTAATCATCAAGTCGTCTACTTACAAAATTCCCTAACCTCATTCATCCAAATCTCGGAGCTATCTCTATGGTCCCGCTTGGCTCAGCAAGCCAGGCTTCATGTGTATACTCAGAGCTAGTATGGCAAAGAGCAAAAGCCACCACAGGGGTGCTTGTACGGCCTTGAGGTGGACTTTGCGGTCTGTGTCAAGCTTGGGGCTACTTCCAGTGTCAACCTTGTTGCTGTTGCTGTTGCTGTCCACCTTTTCCTCGATTTGGGCGCCGAGGTTATCGTCCAGCTGAGTGACTGTTTCCTTATTCTGTTCTGAAGCTGTCGATGAGGCAAGTGCTTCAGCCGCCATGACCCTGGACAAGCCCAATGAGCGAATTGTTAGTGAATTTGTAAAGGTCGTTGGATGTTCGGATTATGCCGTACCTTCTCCGGTTTGCTATGGCTGCCATGAGGCTATTCCAGATGTCTCGAGTCTCCTTACTTTGCCATTGAAATCTGATGGTTTCTCGTGCAACTTAATAGTAGGGTTGTTAGGCATTGCACTTTTGCTAATCCATAGCCCGCTGTTGGTCGGAAATCTGGTTGGCCAATCTCACCTAGGCTAAGACGAGCGTGTACGTCGTCCAAGAATTTTTCCATAGTTGGGATCCCTGGGAGGACATTGTCCAGCTCTGCTCCGTGCTCAATCAACGGCTTCATGAGCTTAAAAGTATTTAGTGCCATGAAGAATGAACGGAGAGTATTAAGGCCTTCGAATTGTCTCTGCCCCTTCAATACGAGTTCTCTCCAGGGTGTGGTGGACAGTCCCCGCTCATTCACAAAAACTTCGTTCGGGGAGAAGTCTTGCGACAGCAAGTACTCTAGGAGCTCATGAAGCGGGCGTGATATTACGGGCCCCAGATGGTCGTAATCATACAAAAAGGGTAAGATAAGTGCATGGTAAAGTAGAGGAAACGGGGAAAATGGTGCACTCGGCGGTCGCAGCCTGACGGCTTGAAGCAGACGACCGACAGTGTTTACCAAGCCTGCCTCTACTGCCAACGGGAGTGACAATTGAAGTGATGACCGATTATAGGCTGGATCCAGAAACCGGGAGAAGCATGATTGTAATGCTGCTTCGTTGGTTGCGTAGTGTTCCCGTGGAATCGTCAGACTCAAACAGTCCGCAAGTTTTGCCAGAACCGGAAGAACGCTTTCGAGCGGTTCATGATCAATCGCGAGTAGCTCTTTGAATGACCCGCCTAAACGAGCGCCGTTTTGGCAATGCAGATAAGACAGCTGCAATGTCATGCCCGCTAGTGCGCAAGCCACACTGAAGGTAGGATCTGATATCCGTAGCGGAGCCAGATCCCAGACCTTTGGGTTATCCAAAAATTCAAAGACAGCCCGATGTATGAACTCGATCTTGGAATGCTCCGGAAAACCCCCAGACTTGTGTGTTTGTAACGGCGAGTTTTGGCTAATCCTTCTGATCCAGGGACATGTTTCCCTTGATGGGCACCAACAAATATCAAGGTTGGAGTCAGCGTCGCTTCGGGACTTTATAGCGAAGCCTAATCGAGGTTCTGCCTGTAAAAGGCCGCCGCAGCGACTTCGCAATCTTGCCATCATTGTGGAACAAATCTTGTGGGCTTCATGTACCGTAATGGTTTCGAGTGGATTATTTGATACGCAATCCATGTCGTTCCTATCGAAAAAAGCGAGTTCGATGGTCGCCAAATGGTCATTAGATGCTTTTCGTGCGTAAAGTATCTTCAAGGTCTTCGCCATCTGTTCGTGGTAATGAGGGTCAACGCTATTAAGCATGTGCACAAAGAGGTCCTCCAGCTCCGGCGGAAGGTCATCGACCCGTCGACATAGCTCTGCAATAGTGTCATAAGCCGCAAAACCATCTAGAATCGATCGACAAGCCAATATGACCCACAAAAAAACACCCGAAGCTTTTTCAATGAGCTTGTTTGTAAGTATGTTTGGTGATTGTACGCCAGAACCCGCAAGGATTTTCATGTAATCGTGTGACCCAATGACATCGTATATGTACTCCTTGATATCATTCCTCGTGAGACTCTCCATGTGAAGCTGGGGCACGCGGGAGAAGGCATCGTAACAGATCGCTATAGGCCGGCTGGAGACGATGACTTTAATTGCTGGGTTGGAGCAGAGACCCCTGATCAACTTGATCGCGTCGTGGAAGTTCCCTTGAAACTCGTCTAGTCCGTCGATGAACAAGCAGAATCGGCGTTTGGGCTGGAATCTCTTCGTCATAAACTCGGATGCAGCCCTCAGCTCTCCACTTGAAGGTGGGTCAGGCTCTTTATGAACGTTGACCCGGACTTCCTGCCATAGCCGCGGCAGAGCCGAGGGTAAATAGGAGGATTCAGCCTCCAGAAGCCGATACAGGATTGCTCGAGAAAGTCCCTCGAGAGACTTCTGTCCTTGCGTTCCAAGCCCCCAGAAAAAGAAGGAACCGAATGTGAGTGGCAAGTCGCCTGCCCAAGCTTGCAATGGCGCCCTCGTGTCAGGATTGTCATGGAGATATTTCATCAGCGTAGACTTGCCGCTTCCCGCTTTACCGCAAATCCAGTATACACCTGTCCCCGATCGAAGCCATTCAGACAGATCGTCCCACTCTGCTTCGCATCCTTCTCTCTCGCAAGCGGGTTTTAGCGCCCACTGAAGGGTCTTGACGTGGGCAGGTGAAACGCTGTCCTTCCTGTCATCCATGCAGCGAAACCATAGGCTCTTCAAGGCTCTATCTTGGTCTCGGGCCTCTTGCAGTATGTCATTTCCTTCCAGGCGGCCGTCGGCTGCTTGTTGAGGGAGCAGCTTGGCATTCTCCTTGTAAACGGACAACACCTCGTTCCTGATCAATGAGGCCAATAAAGAGACGGTCCGCTCAGAGGAATCTCCGGGAAGAAGAGCATCCAGTTTGGAAGTGAAATGAGATAGCTCCGCGATCAGGGTGTTGAATTTGTCCTTGTCCACGATCATCCACCTCAACTTGTCCGATGCTGGCGTGGTGGCTTTTCGATGGTGGATTCGAAGTTGCATGGTATTGTAGTCATTTTTGAACTTTTCCATGAGAGATGACACAATTGCCGAACTCTGAGATACGAGTAGTTGTGAATGGGGTCCATCCCTTTGCTCCACACCATAGCGCTGTTGAAGGGAGGAAGTTTCACTTAGAAGGTGTGTGATGCTGGAGAGTATGTGGGATACAGCTTCTCGGATGGTAGGGTTGTCGAGCCGTCGATCATAGTCTTCGTGAAGCAGACGCACGCGGTCTGCCCATTGCAGTAAGACAGCTTTCTCAACATGAAGCTTGGCGTCCAGAAGATTGTAGTCGTGGCCGTAGGAATGATAGGTAGAGAAATAGCCAAAAAGTTCAACACAACTCTTGAGTACACCTGCCAGCCCGATGACGCCGATGGCCAGCCCGACTGGCTCCATGGTGGTGAGAATAGGCGCGATGAGATGGCGTGTGAGTGTAGAAGGTTTGGGTGAAAGAGAGAGGACACTGATCGGGCAGCCACCCGCGCGAACCACGAAGATGTCACACAAACAGGAGAGGGGCTGAGTGAAGGTAGCATTGTTGGCGCAGTAGCGACTAGTTGTGAACCAATGAAAAGGGTAAGGCTATCGAGCCCATTGATTCGTCCTGTCCTTCTCGCTTTGAGGCCTGATGGGGATTGGAGGACGTGGGTTGGTGGTGAAGTACATAGCAAGCTGGTTTGTGTCTTTGGTGATTGGTTCTTCGATCATGGGTTTGATAGGGTAGTTTTGGGGCGATATTGGACAATGCCTTCAAGAATAGAAGATATCACTCAGTCTCACGGCGTCACCACAGATGAACAAACAAACCAGGACTCGATCTACCAACATGACAAGTGAGAGCCCATTGGTTGTTTTTTTTCCACTGAGACTTCCACTCTCTCCCCTCATGGTTAAAACCCCTCGTGGCAGGCGTTCCTTCTACAGATGTAAAGAGTTGGCGTCGAGCACCTTGCGGTTTCCATTTCGGTGATGACGCACTCATGAAAACTCTGCCGAATCGCCAAGGTGCAGATTTCGAAAGGGAAGGAGTGAAAGTGAGGGAGGGAATTGAAGAGACGGACGGAGCATGTAATTGGAAGGAGTGAGGGTCGCCGACGGCAGCTTCCATCGCCTTCCTTCTTTTCCCTTGGGCTCCTTGGCTCTCGCTGTGTCAAGATGGAGTCACAGACCATTTTCCCCGTCTGTGCTGACTCTGGCCTGCCTTCCCCATCAGTTCTCTCTTCTCAGCAATGTCGCGATGATGATCCAACCATGGCACGTCATCCTCAAATCCAGTATAGGCACCTTCCACTTTAGGGTACCTATGGCACTGTCACCTGTACTTGCGGCTTCTTCTGAACTTGGAGCCAGCCGCGTCCAATTCGAGGACTGGCGACAACATGGAAATCGCATCCGTCAGTCCATGGGTAATGCAGAAATGACACCGCATTTTCAGGTGAAGAAAGGCTGTGGTTTCCATCTACGCCATAACAAAATGGTTCGACTTTTCTCATCACTTCCTTGATTGTGAGGAACTCGGACAGCCCAACTGCGGGTGCCTTTGACGAAAGCCCTTGGATCGCCAATTGCAGCCTGGAATGCCAGGGTCACGGGGACTACAGGAAGACCCTTTTCGGGTGCTGCCGGCCCGATAGGCCTCAAATCCACCCAATCAGTCCCTTTTGCAGGACGCTTTATGCTGACATGTAGCGTGCCATCGCGAAGCTTTTAGGAGACTACTAGCGCCCCCCTGAAGTGAGATCCAAGTACCTCTAGGACCCTGAAGCCGATCTGACGGGACCCTTGACCGTCCATCTTCTTCCCTCCAATACCACCTACGTCAGCAACGGACGACAATTTTTATTTTCTTAACCTTCCAATAATTCGGCGCGTTCATAGAATGCTCTGGATCCAACGGAGCCGCATTGGATTGATGACATCCAGAATAGTTCATCCGTAACTGAAATCTGCCTCGCGAGATTGTACTACGGAACCTGGGGAGACTTCCAGTGGTCCAACGCCGTCCAAGGCGTCCTCTGGTTCGCATGTTCACCACCAGCGTTTCACTCCCGTAGATCAACCCGGACACACGACTACCATAAGCAGCGTTTAGGGATCCCTTTCCGTCGTAATTTGATTTCTTATTTTACGAGACGCTAGCTTTGGGGGATACCGTGTTGGACCGTTATCTTGTCCATGTAACCGACACACCAACACTGCTGCCCTGTATCAGTCTGATCAACGTCGCGGTCAACTAGGAGAAAAGATACTTGAAACAGACAACCCAATGGGCCGATTTCTAACCACACCGAAGGGATCATCGCTCACATGGCCCGTTGGTGGTTGAGTTGTCCTCTCTGCCATGGTTTTCAAAATTTCTGAAGCAGGAAATGTCGTATCCTCATCCGTCCTCCAGCTCACAATGCCGCAGAGCCGTCATGGCATTCAGTAATACCTTGTGGTATCCTCGTGAGCACCGATGGCATATATAAACCAAAATGATTATTGTGATGCCGAAAAAAAAAAAGCAATCAGTGAAGCAGACATCAATGATCAGAGCCCTGGGATCTCCGCCGCTTTCTCACCACTGCAGCCACTCAAACAACGCAAGAACCGAAAATACCATTCAACATGTCCAGCCCATCACCACCCCAATCCACACAAGCATCTCTCAGTCGTATTCCGCCACATGTGCTACACATGATCGAAGGGACGTCCGGAGTTCCAAGTCACGGGCCTTACACCTCTCTCCTGCGGTGCAATGGTGAGATAACTGCTAGACTCTCGTCGTCGTCGTCCTGATTCTTAATTTGTCAAGAGTTCTCCTGGGACGGGACGAGCGCCAATTCCTACACTTCAATGGCTGGAAGTTATCCACGGGTAAGTAATATCGTATTCCAGCTTGTTCGGATGCTAATCCCCAACAGAACCCGTCTTCGATCATCACAAACGCAACAAAGGGGTCGACAGTAAAGGGACGACAATGATACCATAGCAGACAATGCGCCAAAAGATTTTGCGGTTCGAAACTTTTATAGATCCCTTCAAGGAAAGGGGGCATGGGGGAGAGGGTACACTGTCGACTAGTCGAAGCTATGCGCATTTACTAGGAGTTAGGCCGAATAGACATACTCATCACATCGTACTATGCCCCTACTTCCTTGCGTTGTCTGAGACATGTTCCGTCATCCTCTCCGATAGGGACTTCATATCTCGGAGGATATCTTTGAATAATTGGTCTGGATGTCTTTCAGTAATGTGATATTCAATTTCACAAAGTTTCACGATGAATTGATGCGCAGACACTCCAATAAGTGTCGTGGGGTAAGATGATGTCTTGATGAAACGAGGATATCGAGGAAAGCTCGCATTGATTCAGGCATGTCAGCCACTCCAATTCATTGAGCCATAAGCAAAGACTGACAGTTGCAAAGCTACATAATCTGGATTGAAAAAGGAAAGTGAGTTCAGTCCAAAAGTTTCACATGAATGTCATCTAATTTGATCGAGAAGGGACATTCATGAACATGAATGAATGGTGGTTGAGAACACCTAGTCATATTGTGAACCGCATCCCGATAGGGCACCTAACAAGTACCTCTAGCGGTCATTGGCCAATCCTAAACCGCCCGCGCTGTAACCACTGATTCGCAGTGAAACAAGACTATGACGTAACCGAACAGGGACCAGCTCACAACCTTTTTTCGACCTCAATCTTACCTAACCTCAACCGCCCCTCTCTCCACTCTTCCCTTCACATCATCTCAATGTAAACAAGACCAAACATGCAACAACCCCCGGCAGTTTGAGTGGCTCATCAAGTCAACATGGCTTTCTCCCCCCAACACCACCACGGTTGTAATCACCACAGCGAAAACAACCACGCCGACCACGACAGCGACAACGACACCAAAATCAAATACACCCTCTCCAAATCCGGCCGTCCCTACACCCTCTCCCACAAAATTTATTTCCTCCGCACATCCTCGTCCTCCTCCTTCTCCTCCTCCTCCTCCTCCGATGACAACAGAAACCATCCAAAAACCATCCCCATCTCCCCCTTCCACGACATCCCCCTCTTCCACTCCCGCCACCAAGAAATTTACAACATGATCGTCGAAATCCCCCGCTGGTCCCAGGCCAAATTCGAAATCTCGCGCTCTTTACCTCTGAACCCCATCGTCCAAGACGTTTTATCCGCCCATCCCAACCAACCCCGGTTCGTGCCTAACCTGTTTCCTTACAAGGGATACCTCTGGAACTACGGCTGTCTGCCGCAGACGTGGGAGTCGCCGCACTACAAGGGTCCAGACGCGGACGCGGCGGAGGGCGCAAGGGGGGATAACGACCCGATTGATGCGTGTGAGATTGGTACGCGCGTGGCGTACACGGGGGAGGTGAAGCAGGTGAAGGTGCTGGGGGTTTTGGGACTGGTGGATGCGGGGGAGATGGATTGGAAGGTGTTGGTGGTGGATGTGAGGGATAAGCTTGCCCAAAAGGTGGATGATGTAAAGGATGTGGAGAGGGAGTGTCCGGGTTTGTTGGAGGCGACGAGGGATTGGTTCACGTGGTATGGGGTTCCGGAGGGGAGGAAGAAGAATAGATTTGCGTTGGGCGGGGAGTGGAAAGGGAGGGAGTATGCGGTTGGGGTGATTAAGGAGTGTGAGGAGATGTGGAAGGAGTTGGTGAGGGGGGAGGTGGAGGGGAGTGAGGATGTTTGTTTGTGAGTGTTGCTTGTTGGTTTTCGAGGGGCATTACGTTTCCTCGTTGTTGTTGTTGTTGTTGATGCTGACCATTTGTGAATAGGAAAAACACGACGCTGGATGGAACGCCGGGAAAGGTCGATCCGGAGAGTGTCAAGTTGCCGCCGAATGAGGACTTGCCGCCTGCCGAGGTGGAGCAGGATTTGGAGGAGGTAGCCTACGTGGATAGGAAGAAGGGGGATGAAGATGAAGATGAGGTCGGTACTGAGGATAAGGGGACGAATTACGAGGAAGACAGCATGACACATGATGACGAATGGGACGATTTAGCGAACGATTCTGCCCTCGACGACCTGAAAATGCTGAACGTCAACTTGAACTTCTGGTGATGGGGATGATGATGCTTGGGTAAGGTCTGCTGGCGGAACATTGACTTGAGTTTGCGGTGATGGTAATGGGCAGGTTTGAAAAAACATTGTAGGGCATCGTCACGGGTTTGTTATTTGGAGTTTTGTTTTCAGGAATCATCTCACCATCAGATCATCACAGGAAAACAGCACAGGGATGGAAACCAATACCGCTATTTAATCTGATCAAAATGTCACTCGTTAGCCTTATCACATTTACAACTTTCTACCAACCCCCCGCCCATCACTCAACTAGTAAGTCCACCACCACCACACACTTCACCAATGCAACAACTCCCTTGTGGCTGCTGCCGCGTCGGCCGCCGCAACTGCATCGAGCCCAACTGCCCCCGCGAATCCGAAATCTCCCAGAACAACCTCTTCTTCTGCCCCGTCGCCCGCGAGCGCAACCTCCACCGCACCGGCGAACCCGAACTCTGTCCCGTCGAGCTGCCCGCAGCCAGCTACACGCAGATTGCCCACACAGGAAGGTGTGCCAAGCATCGGAAAGAGATGGAGGATAATTTGCAGAGAGAGAAAAGGAGGGAGCAGAAAGAGAAAGAGAAGAGGAGGAGGGAGTTGGAACAGGAGAGGGAAAAAGAGGAGAGGGCGAGGAGGAGAGTTAGTAATTTGGGCTCGATTCGGGAGGGGGTGGTTGAGACTGGACATGGAAGGGGGAGTGGGAGTGGGATGGATGCGAACGAGCTGTTGCATTTGAATGCGGTGCTGGATGCGCGTGAGAGGGCGAGGAGTACGCAAGGTGTGGAGGTGGAGCGGGGTGTGGAAGTGGTGCGTGAGAGTGGGCTGGGATGGGTGGATGAAGGGTTGAAGAACTTGACATTGGACGAGGAGAGGGAGAAGATGGTGGTAGCGGAGGAGGAAGAGGGAAAGGGGGAGGAAAAAGAAAAAGAAGAAGAGGATGAAAAGGAGGAAAAGGAACAAGTGGCAAAGTGGAATTACAGGACGAAGGACGACAGGGAGAAGAGGTACAAAGAAAAAAGTAAGGAAGAGAGAGAGAGGATGGAGGCGGCAAGGAAAAGGTACACTGGCATTGATGCCTTGGGAAAAGTCAAAGCGGCAACGGCAATGTTGGAAGAAATGGTAGCAAAGGAGTGGGAAGACGAAGATACCAGAGATGGTAATGAGAGAATGACTGAGGCGCGGAGAGACTCAGAGGCACTCCGGCGTCGTAGAAATGAGACGGACCGGGAGTTGAGTTCATTGATGGCTAACCGTAGTGTTTCCGGGAACTCCATGCTCCGACCCGCTGGTGATCGACCGGCCGGAGATGGGGCACGGAGAGTCTCGGGGCCGCTGCGGCGTCATGGGAACGAAGCTGACCCGAACATGAGCTCAGTTGTGACTGGCCATGCGAGTAGGAGTGTCTCTGGGAACTCAGTGGCCCGACAGGCTGGGGGTGTTAGACCCGCCGGAGGTGCCTATGAGGACGTTGATGATGAGGTCAACAGAAAGGTGGATGAGGATGGGGGTGATTTGTATGATATGGATTAGGCAGACAGTGTAGCAGGGTATTAGCATAGTTTCAGTTAACCTTAAAATTCTGACGATACGTCCACTGTCATCGGTGGATGAGTCTTGGTGTTGCGTGTTTATGCTGCCCTGCGTTTGCCATTACTACCTACACTTAGTTTACTGGTCATTATAGATCCTAAACTTGCTGTCTACAAACATCCAATAACAAGGGCCGCTGGTCTAGTGGTATGATTCTCGCTTAGGGTTCAATCCTGAGCATTCTTGCGAGAGGTCCCGGGTTCAATCCCCGGGTGGCCCCATCCTTTTTCATCTTTTTCTATGCCTGACTGCAGTCATCTTTGGCATTTTCTACCTAATCTGTTAATCCTTTCACCGTTTGTTCAGTTTTTGTTCCATCTAGTTATAGCATAGGTTGCGTTTTTTTTTTTTTGTCCTTGGAGAGCTGTGTAAAATGGGAGAGTCGCAACAGCATTGCACGAGGAAAGATGCTAACGAGAACCGATTGGAAGGTGCGGTCCGTGTACTGGGTGGATAAAAGCTGCAAACTGAATTTCGCTGGGATCCCTATACTTCTTCTTCTTAACCGCAACACTGCAACCAATCTACCTAAAGATCATCACTTCTTTCTGGACCGATATGTCGCACGCTTGCCACGAACCTTCACTACCAAGCATGTTGACTCAATTGTTGCAGCGCCTACGTTTCGAGCCCAGAACATCATTGTCTCTCTCGTCCCCGCTACGTTATGCGCATTTACTCTGCGGCCGTTGTCGCTGGTTGCAGCCACCGCCGCCGCTTGGTTGTTACCAAAACGGTGAGCTCAGCTGCTCGGAGGCTGACTGACTAGTTTGCGTGCCAGGGGGCCAATTCGTAGGCTTGTTGCCGTGTTATGTCTTGTGGTTGATGAGGAAGAAGCCTGCATTGGCGCTATCTGACGCCATTGGCTTATTGCCTCCAATGAGCATGTGGGCAGCAAGCTGAATGATGCAGGTCTCAACGAATCTCGACCTGCCAGGAAGGTCTCCGCAAATCTAGACCCACGGCGCACTCTCCTCCATCATGACCGGATGCCTTACTCTTCCAAGACCCACATGTATCTTCGGCTCAGGAGCGATTCATTGCCCGTGGCTTCTGTGGAAAGTAGGGACTCTCACGCCACTTCTTCAATGGAAGTTCCTCTAGCTTCCAGACCAGCATGGATACAGCCATGGATGCACACCTAGCTGAGCAATTCAGTGTGGAAGATCTCTTTTGGGTAGGGCGGCCGTTGCTCAGCTTGCCATATGCGTTCTGTTTGGGCAAGACATGAATGAACCAAGGCTTCAATATCATACAACATCTGCAAGAGAAGAAGCACCTTGCCTGGTTGGAGCATCGGAGCTGACTCGATAGTCGCTTGAATGGTGGCAGGGTCCAGGGACCATCCGGTATCATGGGTTTTGACCTTTCAAGTCGATGTTTCTTCCCGAATATCCTCAGAATTTGATCTTTTCACTTCACTCAGGATCGATTGAGCCATATCGACGGGTTTCTCTCTCATCACCATCACTTCTCATCTTGCTAAGTCAGTTTGTATGGCCCTTCGACTCCACACCTACCTCCGCTGACCAAGAATAGAACCAGACACGATGGATGCAATCAACAGCAGTGCCAAAGAGTTTGAGGTATTCGCTCTTCAGCCAGCTCTCGGGCAGAATATCCAGCTCGGGATGCTGTACGACGTTCGCAGCCAGCAGTTCTTTAGCGGCATTTCGCTTTGGAAAGACTCGGAAGTGAATGCCACACAAGCTGTCGACGACAAGAAGGTCCAAAGCGCCGATTATCGGTTCACATACTCGCTCGACGAGGCCCGAAACGACAACTCGCTCAGTATTGAGGGATCGTTGGCTCTGGATCTCAAGGCTTTCAGCGCCGAAGGATCAGCAAAGTATCTGAGCGAGAAGAAGTCCAGCAAGCACGGGGCACGACTCAATGTGTCTTGCACCATTGAGCGCAGAACACGCCGCATTCCCATGGAGGTTCTTTCCAAGATGACGTACGAGAAGCAGCTCGATAGTCCTTTCTACACCCACTTTGTCTCCGAAGTGGTTGAGGGCGCGAGCGCAACGCTCACCTTTGCTCGTTCCTGCTCGTCGGAAGAAGAAGCCAAAGAGATTACAGGCAAGCTCAAGATCAAGGTCGTCTCGATCCCCGTCAGCGGAAGTGCCAAAGTCGAGTTCAAGGAGGGGTCCGAGAAGCTCATGGAAAACGTCAAGATTTCGTACAGCGGCGCCATGGCGGAGAATGTCGCCAGCCTCGAAGACGCCCAACGAGTTGCCAAGGAGATGCCCTCAAAGCTCATGACGCAGATGAATACGCTCAAGTACAAGCTGCTGCCGCTCTCCCTCCTCGACAGCAAGGCGAACAAGCTAATCCGCAGCATCGATACCGGCCTCATCACCAAGACTGCTGAAGCTCTCAATGCAGGAAACGAGGCTACGTTGTCGCTGAAGGAGATTGCAGCGGATGAAGTGTTCCAGAAGACCTTCCCCTCCATCCGAAAGCAGATCTCAAACTTCCATAACGCATTTGCGGCGGCTGAGACCAACTTCACATCGCAAGTTCGCCAGTTGTTGCCAGAGCTGCGGGATGGCAACACGGATGCTAATAAGAAGATTGCCGAGCTGGAGAGGGTCGTTGGCCTTCATTCACGGCGCACTGAGATTGCCCAGCAATTCGTCACCGCCAAACAAGATGAAGCCCGCATTCTTCGCGAGACAGTTGCTGCCTTGTTGGCCGACAAGTTCGAGGATCATCTGGGAGGACTCAAGAGCGGAAGCCTGGTCGACACTGCGCCCCCCGGCCTGTTGCTGTCCATTGGAGGCGGTGCCATTGGTGTACCCACGCATCCGCTCCAGACAAGTTTCGCGTCGGCTTGTCTCGATAACCTGGACTCCGGCGACGATGCCGATCTCCCGGTCGAGGAATGGTTCGAGAACTCACAAACGCGAGCCAACCTGGCAAAATCGTGCAATGACATACGCGAACAGCGCAAGATGGCGATCCCCGGTGTCGATGTTTCTTTTGGGGTTGCGAGCATCGCCGTAGCCACGCGCGGTGGCAAGAAGGTAAAGACAAACATTGGTGACGTGATCCTGCAGAAGGACGGCGTCCTCTCAATAGTCACAGGCATGCTCCCCAAGGAGCCATCTCGGCCGACACTCACCGTCAAAGATCAGACGCTGACTGTGAAGTGGTCTTCAAACCGTGCGGCGGAAGAAGAGACTGCGATCCCAACAACTGGCTTTGCTCTTCGGTATCGCCGGGTTCTTAATTCCAAGAGAGACGGCCCGTTCCCTCGTGCTGGGGAGAACGAGTTGTTCCGAGACGTCAGATGCCCTGCGACCGATGACACAATCGAACTCGAGGATCTGTCCGACGATTGCGACTACCAAGTCGAGCTGAGCGTGCAGACCTGCGTGGGCTCATCGCCTTGGAGCCCCAAGGCTGTCGAGCGCACCGAGAGACGTATGACTGAACCCGGCAACATGCTTGATTTCTTCTTCAGCAATAAGGCCAGGCTCACTGCTACGCCGACTTCGAACAGCAGCAAGCCGTGGGACTTTGACAAAGACAGGAAGGCGCTTTTCCTCGGCTACACGGAATACCTTGAGCGGAAGACCAACGTCAAGGGTTTCCAAGACGAGTTTGCAGTGCGCATAGTCGATGTCGCCACCGAGTACAAGCCAGAGATCCAGTTTCCGGCGCTCGAAAAAATCAACGAAACCATTGTCGCCGTCTTCATCGGCCCTAGCGGAGCTGGCAAGAGCACGCAGATCAATGCATTTGTGTCCTACCTCCTCGGCGGCGGGGTGGACGACCCAGCTCGCGTTCTTCTCATCGACGACCGCAAATTCAAACAGTCCGCATCGGTTACGCAGCTGGTCACTTGCTTCCGCATCCGACCGTTTGCGCCTGTCTTTGAAAACAAGACGCTGATGATTGTCGACACGCCTGGCTACGGAGGCTCCCGAGGTGTTGAGGGCGATGCCTTCGTCACCGCAGCCATGTCCGAGTTCTTTGGCATGGTCAGTCATGTCAACAGCGTCATCTTTGTCTGCAAGGCCAACGAGATGCGCACAACGATCCTCAGCCCTGTCACCACCTATGTCTTCTCTCTGTTCGCAAAAGACGTCCGCAAATGCCTCCGCACGCTATACACCTTCAGCGATGACGGCAAGGTCCCTGCTCACGGCACCCTCGAAGAACTTCAATGGCCGGTCGAGAACGGCGAGGTTCAAGTCAACAACTCAGCTTTCGGGCTCGATCTACAAGGTGGCGAGGTTGACAGGAATATCAGAAGCCAGTGGATCGGCTCGATCAAGGGACAGTTTCGGTTGCAGGAAATGCTCCTCAAGATGACACCTGTGCCAACAGCAGGCAGCGCCGAGGTGACCAAGAAGCGAATGCAGCTCGAAGAGAAATGCCAGCTTGCCGAGGGAAAGATCTTGAAGACTGCCAATGATGCGCAGCTGATCATTGCCCAGCTGAAAAGCCTCGCCCTCACCATCGAAGCCGCGCCCGACCAGCAGATTGCCCACAAGTACATCGAGACATCCAGGAGAGATGTCCCCTCGGGGAAGCACGCCACTCTCTGCACGGTTTGCAACTACACCTGCCACGAACTCTGCGACTGCTCGAACGACGACAACACATACTACTGTGCGTCCATGAACAACGGAGAATGTAGCATGTGTCCGAACAAATGCAACTGGACCAAGCACCACAAGGCCAAATTCATCATCTTCGCTGAGGAGAAGACCAGGTACATCACGCCGCAGGAGCTGATCGACAGGTGGAACGAGGCCAACAACACGCAGGAGGGCGCCCTGATCGGGCTCCTGGACAGATACCTGAGCGCGCAGGCGATTCTGCGCCAGGACATGCTCAACCTGGCCGATCTCAACGACCGGCTCAAGGAGACGGCGCTCATGCACAACCCCAGCGGCCTCATGAACTACGTGGACCTGCTAATCATATCAGCCAAGGCGGGCGCCAATGAGACGCTGATCACGCAGCTGACGACGGCGCGAAAGACGCTGCAGCTGCTCAACGAGCTCAAGATGAAGGACAAGCAGATCGGCGGCGACCTCGTCATCCTGGTGGACGTGCTGCAGCTCGTGCGCGAGGAGATGGGGCGTAGGAAGGCGCTGAGCGCGAACGACCGTGCGGCCGAGGAGAAGAAGCCGTGTTCGCTGTATAATGACCTGCGCCTGAAGCTGCCGCTGGATCTGATGAAGAAGGCTCCTTCGCCACTGAGGACACAGAGCATGATGAGCAAGGGAGCGCTGTACGAGGAGAATCTGAAGGCGGTGGTGAGCTTGGAGCTTGTGCTCAAGGATGGCGGCGTTGTTGCCGCGCTTGCGGCCACTCCGGCATCGTAGTGGTTGTACACGTAGCAATTGTGTGGGCTTCTTTCTTTTTGCTCTGGGGGAGCTGTGTGGAATGGGAAAGTCGCAAAGGCATTGCACTTGGAAAGACGTCAGCGAGAACCGACCGACATCTCTCATATCACTCGCTCGCAACGTACCCTATCTAGTCCATAGTAGTCAGTCAACACAATTTACATGGGAAGATTTTCTGAGCCATCATCAATGAACCAACCTCGTTGACGTACATTCTCTTAATCAAGAAATCTTCCATCTTTACAATGTCTCCCTTCTCGAACATCCCCCACACCACCCACTTCGCTCCCAAAACCCCATCAACACATGCTCCCTATTCTCACCACAACCTACACCAAAAAAAAGCAAACAACATAGCTCGCGACAAAGGACAAAAAGTGACATTATAAGAATAAGTCGAAAAAAACATACAACACCAGGGATTCGCTGGTCGTCACCGACCCAACTACTAGTCTGGCCCTCACTGGCTTATCTATGGGAGAGCGGACGGGATCCCGAGTTTTCCAGTGGGTATGGTCGTATGTGATGATTTTGTTCAGTTTGATCACCTATAAGACTGACTTGAGTGTGCAAGGAGAACCAAAATTGTTTGTGTTGTATTGTGTTGGCGGCGGCGGCGGCGGTGATATTGGCGGGAATTGTTAAGTCAGTCAGTTAGTGTAGTAATGGATACGAATACCTCCTGTTTCAACATGCCCTTAAAAGCCTTATAGTACGTAGTGAAGGACAGAAACGGAGTAAGAGGGATAGATGGACAAAAAGGTGGACGGATGGTAACAGTTGATATTCCAGATATCTTCTATAGGTAGGTACGCATCTCTATGTCCATCCGGTCTGGTTCCAGCTGCTAACCACAACCACCAACCAACCAACCCAAGCCAATACCTTGCGCACACCCATGTCCCCAAGAACCAAAATGCGCATGTCTATTACTCTCTCCTTCTCCCTCTCCCTCTAATCCCCTTACCGACTACTGACTTTCTTTCTCCAATCCTTTCTTCCATACCTCCCAATTCTTCATCACCGACCCAGCAGTTAAGAAAAGATGCCCACAAAGAATCAAAAAGTTATCGTAACATAAACTCATAACAATATCGTACCCCAACCGTGCCTCAAAGCAAACCAGATATGAAATCCTTTTTCTTGTCTTTTTTTCAGAAATCCCCAGTAAAAAGAATATAAAGACCACAATGGCTGGCCTAAGCCGACGCCAACCCCAGATAGAAAGGATGAATAAATGGTTTGAAAAAAATACAATATGTATATGTAAGAAGAAGTGATTAGAGATGGGATATGTAAACGCCGGTCGCACCATGAATGCGGAAAAGAAAAAGAGATAAAGAAGATAAAAGTGTGGGAAAAAAAAAAAAAAAGTGTGGAAAAAAAAAAAAGCGCTGCGACCCAGTGAAGATAATGTGAAGAGCAGAAGTAGTAAAAAAGTGAAAAGGGGGTGAGTGATATGTGAAAAAGCCCACTTGAGCGTATGTACTAGGCCTGAGCCCATCTCCGTCTTGTCTGTCTATACAACTGCAGTTGGTGGGTTGAAGATGAGATAATGTGAAGCAGATGCACCGAGCGTTGACACTCCCCTTTCCCGTCTGATATTTGGAATGGCAGCATTCTCCATGCAACTCAATTTCCACCCTTCTTCATACTCCCGACCCTACCGAGGTTGGCGAACCACCTCCTCTTCCCGCCAACCGCACTCTCTCTCCGCCCACCCTGACTCTGCGGCGGCCCATCACCAGACCCAAGCGACTTTGAAAAGGAATTCTGGATGCTCGACAGGAGACTACCGCCTTCGCCATCGCCACCACTGGTAACCGGCCTCTGAGGTGGCTCCGCCGAGTGTCTCCCATCCCTATAGTCCCCAAAGGAAGATTGATAAAGTGGGACTCCTCCCGCTTCATCATCAGCTCTATCAGCAGCTGCTTCATTCTTCCTCGTCGGTCTGATCCGCTTTATGGGAGGAGGCGTAGCGCCAGTATGATCATCGTCGGCGGCCATTTCGGAATTACGTCTGCCCCACGAAGAGTGACCAAAATCAGACGGACGGTCCCTCGACGAAAGAGAGAACGACGCAGAGACGAAAGAGGGGGTGGGGTTGGAGCTGTGGGCTTGGGAAGAGGAGGGCTCAACCGAGCCGGTCGATCTTCTAAAAAGACTGTTGAGCTTTGAGCGAGCAGGGTGTGAGGCCGTGGGGGGGTAATGCCGCTTGGAGGACTTTTCCTTTCCCTCTTTAGGTGGGGGGTTGAAGAGCGTTTTGGGTGGGACAGTGGCTGCTCGGTGGTCAATATCAAAGGACAAGTCTGACGATGGGTCGATTTCGCTTCGTTGGCCAATGCTATTGCTACGGATTGTCGTCATGGTCGTTCGCGGGGAGTCCCTGTTGCTCTTCCTTCCTTGGGGGTCCCTCAAGGGAGTCTGGAACTGCCGAATGGTGGGTGAGGCCGGCAAACTGCTAGCTGAGCCTGACAGGGACCCATCCAAGCCCGGGATATGGTGGCCCATTGTTGCCCTGAGGCTTGACCCGCGTTCCGGCGGCGGCGGTGCCATGTTCCTAACCTCGTGCAGCCCTGCTAAACCCGAGCCAAAGATTGGTGTGGGAAGTAAGTCGCCCATGTAGCTTCGACCGCCAAATGCGGAATCGGCATTCGAGCTCCCACTAGCTACTCGTACGCCGCCTGCACACTTGTATCCCGTTCCGTCGAGCTTTCCGTAAATCGCATCTGACATCCAACCTTGTGATCCGGTAGGGAAAGAAAACAAGTCTGGCGACACTCGGCCATGATCCGTTTCGCGACCGCCGACCTGGGACACGGAGCTCAGCGGATCCAGTGGTGGTACTATTTTGTTCGGCTTTTGGCTCTCCCTCAACCACAAATCGATACTCGAAGCAAAAGACTTCGTCCTTCCATCCGCCACGACGTCATACTCCTCCTCCTCACTCGACCAGCTCTTGCGGCCTCCATGCTCTTCTGATCGTCGAGCATTACTAGCAGAAGGCGGCCGTTCCGATTCCGACGTCGTGTAACAAAAATCCAACATCGCTCCTTCGCTCTCGAGTCCTCGGAGACTGTTGAAAGCCGTGATGGACGCCGGCTGGCTCTGTTGTCGGCGCGACATTTGAAGGTGATCCTCATCCTCATCTTCCGAGTGCACCGAGGCCGTCTCACCCGAAGAAGAGATATTGGCCGGCCCGTTGCCCGAACTTTGTCCCTTTGACAGTGAGTCATCTGATATTTGAAGGACGCGCAGGGTCGAAGTTGAAATGGTGTCGGGGGTGGGTGGAAGACCACTATGCACGCGAGAGAAGTCCCTTACCGAAGACCCATGCGTATATACCTTTTGTACAGAGGTCCTGTTCGTTCCTCGGGAGGTAGAGTGTGCTTGTGACTTGACCGATGCTGCGCCTGTCTCCTGGTCGAGCTTGTGCCTTGAACCGGACTTGTCTGCCAAGGAGGCAGTCCTGGGTTCATCTAACACTTGATCAGCTGCCTTGTCAATGCCAAGGCCAAGCTGACTCTTGCGGAATGAGCTTGACCTGTTTGTTGCTATCGGCGATAGCGGGCGACGGCTGGACTTTGTGGGGGTAGCCTCGGGCATTAGCGAGTTTCGGTTTGGCATGGAAGTCAGGTGCTCTTCAGCCCCATCCACGTGCGATGGGCTCTGGGGGCGGAGCGAAGAGCTGGCCTCGTTCTGGCCGTAGATGCTCAGGAAGGAACTCTCGCTGAGAAGACTTAATGCTGGGCTACCAACCTTGATCAACTCGCTCCGATTTGTTTCTGGCGAATCCACCTCCGACAACTGACCCAGGCCCAGTCCGCTGGCTCGTGATTCAAGGTAGACGTTTCGGAGGGTTTCGGTGTTCTCGGTTGGCTCCGTAAGGAAACTCGGCATGCGATGAAGGGCCTTTTGCTCGCCGGCCCTGAGGGTATCCGGTGTTTCGTTCCGTGAGGGGACGGAACCAGAGGCGTCGTGGTGTGACTTGTAGAGTCCTTCCGCCTCTACCTGCCTGACCATTTCCCGTTCCTTGAGCAGATTCTCAATTCGTGACTCAAGAGTAACGATCATGGCCACAGCTTCCTCAACTGCCTTGTCCTTTTTCTCCAGCTCTTCCAACAAGACGTCATTGAGGTCCTGTGTCTCCCTTTGCTCCCTCCTCACCTGGTCTTTTTCCAGTTCCAGCTTCTCAATCAGCTCCTCCAAAGCCGTCTGCTTCTCGCGCCGATGAAAGAGTTCCAGTTTGAGGTCAAAGTTTTGTTTGTGTAGCTTGGACATGAGTTCTTGGGCATCCTTCATACACGGCGCTTGTTGTTCGGTTTTCTTGGCACTGATTTCCGAGGCGATGGTGGGAAGTCGACTCTTGGTACCCGTTGTTGATCTGGCTGGCGAGGCAATGGGACTGGTAAAGCCAACGGAAGTCTTGGGTCTCTCGATGGGTTGTTTCCCGCAAGCTCGGTCGGCCTCCATCTTTCGTGTTCGTTCGATCCGGTCTTGCAGATACTCTGACATGGGGGGCAAGGCCAGGATGTCAGCGCGATCGCGGGAGAAGGAGGCTTTATGTTGCTTGGAGGAGCTCGGCGGACAGGAGGATCGGGGGCGGTCCTGGGGTGGTTGCGCATGTGTCTGGTGATTGCCGGTTCGGGTACGTGTCGAACTAGCGCTCATGCTTTCCCTGGAAGCAGGTCGCAAGCTGGAAAGGGGGCGGATGGGGCGGTCATGGGAACGAATGTCTATGGCGGACTCCATGGTGGGCGGCCTGCTGGACAAACGGCGCCGTCGGTGGGATAACCATACAACGCGGTACCGACGTCGACAACAAGGTGACGAACCAACGATATGCTCGCCGTGTTTCTCAAATGTCTCGGTTTCGAAACGACAGGCCGTCGCAAAGTGACAGTTGTGTCAGGATGATGCCTGCTCAGGGATATGTCGTCGGCGTCCGGGGGTTAGAGATCAAAGCGCGGTTCGAGACAGTAAGCAAAAAGGACGGAAGGCCGCCTTGCATCAACAGGTTGGCAGTGTCATGTAGTACGGTTCGGTGTCGTGGTGCAACGGGGTACGGCAGACGGGAGGTGCGAACGACGGGAGAAGTCGAGAACGATCGGACGGGACCCGGAGAAGGGGAGGGAAAGAGAAGCACAGTTGTCTTGGACCGTCACAAATCTCGGGCGATTGATCGTTTCTTTTTTCCCGTTTATGGAATGCGCGGATAGGATTGGTTGACGGACGGAATGCGCAAACTAAGAAAAAAGGGGACAAGTTCCCCAAAGGTTCTCGAAAGTGGAGGATGTCTCTGAAATGGATGGTGTGGAGCGGGCGAATGACGGGATTCGCCATGTTTTGGTCCTGCAGCAGCGCAGCGCCCTGGATTCCTGGATTCTGGTTGGTGAGAAGCGGGGTGACGAGCAGTGGTGACAGACGCAATGCAGTGTTGCACTGGACCTGCTTTGCGCGGCATTGGATGCTGTGGACCTCAGCTTTGCTGTGCTGCCCTTCCCAAATGGCTGTCAATCCTCCTGCCAAGCATGCAATGTCGACAGGTACTGAATGAAATGATGCCTGATACATAGAGGTAGCTAGCTCCTGGCTGTTTTCTTGTCTTTTTCTCTCGCCATTCAACATCCTCCCAAGTGACTGATTTTCCTACCCCTCACCAACTCAGGCAGATCTACCAACACCATCGATTAGTAGTAGTGTGTGCCTCAACAAACATTTTCTTACATCATCAACGAACCGGGCGTCACCAGCAAGCTGTGATAGATCGTTTGGTTCGCCAACGACGCGCCAATCATGTTCCTTGTCACACTACGCCCCCTTGTGGCCTCCGAATTCCGCACTCGTTCCCAGCGCCCTACATTGTGCGGGGACGCAGATCCGCGGGACGGGAAAAAGGGGTCGTGATGAGGTGTCTTTAAACTGCAACAGCAGGAACCCCTGTTAATGCCAACACCCCTTTTTACAGATTACCCTTTTTTATAAACGACTCAAGTTACCCGCAATGTCAGACCCCGGTTAATGCGAATCCAGCCTGTCAGCATTGCAAATTACAGTTTGCAACCACCTAGAGGACTCCAGAGGAAACTCCGGTTGGCCAAGATATTTCCATGTGAAAGGGGGGAATTTGCAAATGGTAGTCTGCACTTCTACAAAATTTTACACTACCACGAAGATACTGGACAGACCTAAACCACCGGCTCTATTTTTCACAGGCCTCGTCAGCCAAGCTTCAATCCTAATGCACATCATTATCGGCCTGAAGCGTCTCCGTAACCCATGCCGCCCAACGTACCACCAGCTCCACTGATCGCCCGGTTCCGATAGCGGTAATAGTGGACCACCACGACGTCACCTAACAATTGGTGCCCAGGCTAGGTCGCCAGGCTTCTCGCGGCAACCTAATTTCATCCCCTATACTTCCACCGAAGAGTTAAACATGCACAACCGCATCATCCATCGGACATCCCTTCGCAACCGACTTGGGCCACGTCTTCTCACTAATAATCTTCCTCGTCAGCTCCATCAAGTTATCCGCCAACTCGTCGCTCTGTGCAAGGTCACTGCCCGCCTCCGCCTTGGCCGGCGCGCAAATCCACTGACCGCCCTCGTTGGCCATGGTGACCGCGTACACCGTCGGCACCGCGCCCTCAAACTGGTCCTTTTTGAACGGTTCCGCGAGATGGGACACGGCGTATCCGCTGATGGGGTATCTGTTTTTTTTTTTCTCTGTCAGTATCAACATCTCCCAGTTGAAAACCAAAATAGGGAGAAAACCCACGGCTCATGAATATCCTTGACGCTCTGCTTCGTCGACACAAACCCCGGATGCGTCGCATTCATCACCACCCTTCCCCCTTTCTTCCCCTTCCCTTCACCATCCACCATCTTCCGCGTCACCTCCCTATCAAAATACCTCGCATACAAAATCCCCGCCAACTTGCTCCGTCCATACTGTCCATTCGGCCCCACATCCTCATTAATCTCCTCCAGGCTCTTGAACCGCGTCCCCTTGGGCGCCGCACTATGCAAGTTGGAACTCTGATTACTGATGCGCACCGTCTCGCCCGTTTCTTCCGCCGTCTTTTGCAAAAGCGGCAGCAAATGACTCGTCAGCACCACATGTCCCATGTGATTCGTCGCCATGTGCTTATCCACCCCGTAACTCGTCAGTCCGGCCGTCATGATGCCCCTTCCCGAATTATTCACCAGAATGTCCAGTCGGTCCGTGTCCTTTTTGATTTGTTCGGCTACTACGGCGGTTTGCGCCCAGTCTTCTAGGTCGCAGTGGATCCAGTGCACGCGATCGGCTTTGTCTTGTCCGAGCTCGGACGCGATGGAAGCTAGTGCGCCGTCGAAAACTTCGCGCTTGCGCGAGAGGATGTACAGTTTGGAGAGGTTGTGTTTGATGAGGGTGTAGGCGACGCCGTAGCCGATGCCTTCGGAGCCGCCGGTGACGACGGCCACTTTGCCGCTTAGGTCGGGGGTGTCGTCGAGGGAGAAGGATGTGGTGCCGATGTTGTGGGCGGGGCCGCCGAAGTTTTCGGCGATGGCGTCCTGGAGGTGAAAGGTGTTAGTGACTTGTTTGTGAAGAGGATAACTCGGGTGTGTTGTTATTGGAAGAAGGGGGTTACACATACTCGTATCTTGTCCATACCGGCTTGTACGTTGGCAAGGTAGCGGGCTTCAGTTGTCGAGAAGGGACGTCTGGTTGGGTTGGCGGATGATGGTCGTACAGCAGCTGATGATACGATGGGTATAAGTCTGCTGGATCGGGGAACTAGAGATGTCGGTGACAAAGCAGCAGTGCGAGCGAGGCGTTGACAGAGTTTGGTCGACATGGTAAATAAAGTGAGCTGCTGTCAAGGGATATTATCGTCGTCCAGCAATGTTCCGTCTTCTTGTATCTTGTCGTGGCAAAAGATCAAGCAGCTCCCTAGGTCTACAACTTGGCAATGCCCGAGGGATGTCCATTCTCTACTGATCATATATCGTAAGAAAGTCTCAGTTGGTACGATCATTCGTACTACCAAATCTCGCATTCGATCTGGTCTCGCTGAGGCTCAAAGGCCAGATGACGTTGACCTGACCTAAAACCATCCGGGGAAGAGTTGCGAGTTGGAGGATATGCATCGGATCTGTGCCGCTCCGAAGATCTCGGTGCGGAGGCCTGGGCTGCATGTATCGATTTGCAGGCGCGCTTACACGGGATTGGCCAGCGCTTGAGATCCCGCTAAGATCCCGCTGAGATCCATCCAATGGGTGCGCTTTTTGGCAATCGGCATGACGGTATTGAATGACTTCTGCTTTCTAGGCAATGACGAGTATATAAAGAAAAAAAAGAAATGAAGGATACGATAACCAGAAGAGCGTAAAAAGAGTGCGATGCCCCGTTGTTAATTTGATGACCATTACATTTCCCTCTCGCCACCACTGACCGCCAGGACATCGACAAAAGGCTGCTTCAGAGAACGAAGCAAATTCCTTTCCCAAGTACAGTGTACGTTGACTAATGAAAAACAACAAGATAAAAGAAAAAGAAAAAAAAAGGAAAGGTGACCAAGTAAGGAAAAACAAATCCACAAACTTTATCATCAACGCACTCTGTCCTGAACACCATCCTGGCTGGCTCTGCTTCTCTGTTCTTCCTCGATGGCTGCATGTGCCCTCTCTCCGCGCGCTCGCCTGTCGATAATCCTTCTTCCTGCATCAACGGGACCCATTTCCAGAGCAAAAGCCCCCGCTGGGTTACCGCTACCATCTGTTGCTGCATATCCACCAGGCGTAGCGGGAGTTTCTCTCAGTCGAAAAATGCTCGAGCGGTTGCTGCGATAAGGAGGACTTTGTGGTTGTTCTGTCGCTCTGGGTAAAGAGACGTTGCCAGCGGTATTTGGGGGCAATCCATCTTCCATCAAACTTGGATGGCGCCTGAGAATGAAGTCCATCGCTGAGGGTCGCTCATCCATTTCTGCATCTTCGAGTTTGTGCCCTATCCTACTCTCAAATACCTTCCGGCGTTCTTCACGTCTCCCTTCTCTTTCCACGTCGCGCTTCATCTTGTCTATCTTCATCTCCATTGTGCGTATAATCATATCATGAGGAGATCGCCCTTGGTGACGGAATGCGAGCCAAATCTCGTAGATCCCCGTGTGGACGGCCACCGCCGTGGATAGATACTTGTAAACTGACCATGCAATTCCTCTCAGTGCTTTACTGAAAGCAATGATAATAGTGGATATGATGATTGCGAATGATACCGGGACTATTTGTTCCAAGGGGAATGTTGTTAGTGCCTGATCAAATCCACATAAAAGTCTGTGAGATATGACAGGGAATCACCGTACACATGAGTTTGAACTGCTGGTTCAGAGTCATAGAGCCTTGGCCAGTGAACTCAATGTTATTCATTCCGAATATGCTTGAGATGAAGGAAAGAGGTACCTGGAGTAGGAGTGAGAAGGTGATCTGTCAAATTGAATTTACGAGTTGAACTTACAAAGACAATGGTCACTACAGTAAACAGCATGATCGCTCGCCCTTGGCTGGTGGATTCATCGGCCTGTCTTGCTGATTCCCATGCCTGTACTAGACTAGCTTGTTGCTGCTTCTGTGAAATTAGGTCGTCCATCTATGAAGAGTTAGTCGGTTACGGCCAAGACAAATCATGCAGCGGAGGTAACTGACAGCCTCTTCTGTACTTTGCGCCCACTTCCTTAATCTTTGCAGCTCATTCAGCTGGCTGCCTAGCTTGTAGAGAAGATCCTTAGACTGCTCTCTAAACCTTTGCAGCTTCTCCTCTTCTGCAGATAATTGTGCTCAGCATATTGGCAAAATCGCCGAATTATATCTTTCTGCTGGTCATGTATATCAATCATTACAGCCAGATCGTCCGTTGCCTCGCGGAGTTCTTGTTGGAGTTTCTGAAAAAACGGAGATTAGTCTTGAGTGAAAGTAATTTGTAGAAAGAGAAAATTTGCCAACGGTGGCGCCTACCTCTTCATCGGTGTTGTCTAACAGAGGAAGGTGTAGCACTGACAGGTCGACAAACGTAGATCGATCACGATAGATCAGACTGGCTCTGGAGAGCCAGTGCCTGAGATGACCGAGCATCACGGCGTGTTGCTTGCGCTTCATATCAAAATCACCTCAGTGAAATGTTCAGTATGCGGCGGCTTTTGGGCTTGGATGTACTTACAACTCGGCCGATGACCTCCGAAAATGTGTCCAGGACTTGGAACTGGCTCTGCCCACAGGAAGACAGTCAATGGTTTTGTGTCTTATACCAAGAGTCTACAACCGTTAAAGGAAATACTTGCGTCGAGGTTTGTTCTATCAAGCAGCACACTGCAACACTCCGATAGGATGATGAGCCCTACTTCGTAAATGGATTGAACCTGGTCGTCGATCTGCGTCGTCACCAAGGGCCTCAGCCGGGCACGAATGGACTCGTGAATACCATTGATGGTCTGCTTAGCGTTTCTTTGCCAGCTTTGTGGGAAAGACGTGATGATGGTTTGCTCGTCAAGAATCCACATCCATATCTGGTCAACCATTATCAGTCGCTGCACTTGCATGATATTTTGCCTGCATTCCTCGCATCCATAATGATCATGATAGGCGTGATGCTCGGTCAAGAGTCTTGCTGTCGATAGATGTTGTAGCCGAAGCTGCTTAGCTTTATCAATTTCTGAAATGATCCTCTGGCCCAATCCCATAAAGTCTTTTGATAAAGATACGAACCTATGAGAAAGCTCTGTCAGATCACTTATTTCGTACGCGTGGTTTTGTCTTGAAGTGCGGTTACCAACTTGTAAAAAGGCTCAGCATCACAGCTGGTCTCCTGACAGACTGTTTGGTCCTTATCACGCGATACTGTTGACTTGAATCCTCTATTGATGCATTGACGTAGGGTTCGGCGGGGATGAAGCGATGCTTCGTGGAACAGATATTGTTCAACCATTTGCCGGTCTTTCATCATCGACATTGCCTCAAAAAGTCGAGCCGCGTCAATGAGGTATTAGCCAAGCTCACTGCTAACTTGTAGGCGCCCTGTCTCGTCGATTCCCACGTTCGAGTTTACTCCCCGGGGAAGAAGCAGCTCAACGGTCGACGTCAGGCTCTTCATATTTGTAATTCGGCGCGCCCGAGCGAGAAAATGTTTTTGATCCTTGCTATCAGTGGGTTTGGGGTCATTTTTGCCTTCTTTTTTCTGAGTTCCAGGCCTTGCAAGTTCACTTCGACTTTCGACACGACGTAATCTTTGCAGCTCCTTTTTGTCTCGGTCCTTTTGGCGTTGTCGGTCCGACTTGCCATCAATCATCCTTGATATCGTTTGTCGTGCACGATTAGTCTCCCAGTGAAGATAAGGCATCTGTCTCTGTTAGTCGCGTGATATGGTTAGCGAACAGGGCGCAAACGTACAAACAGGACAATGTTCTTTGAGCTCTGCTCAATCTTGCCCGTGTCAGACGATACCATTTCACACAAGGGGCGCATGTGTCTCGCATGAACAATACCACTTCGAGTCCCTTGCTGTTGTCCATGCCAGTATTGAGGCCGCAGAAGCAGCTGTGTTGATGATTGAATGCCTGGGCTCTGGACTTTGCTTCTCACATCTGGGTTTGAATCCGCATAGTAGTTTGCGATGATTTTCTATCGCGCCGGGTTAGCGATTGATTACTGTTTGACAGCGGTACAGTTTCTGGAGGTCGCGAAAAGCATTACCTCAACCCACTGTGCATTATCTGTTAGCGAACTTTCGATATGCCGCTGCCCGATAACATTGATCGTACCGCCATATTGTTTGAAGGGACATGGAGATATCGGATCTTGCGGGGCCTCGCAAAGCCTTCGTTTCTGTCCCGCTGTGATATATTCCAGTCGTCCTTCGGGTCGCATTGCTCCTTTTTCAGGTCTCTCCCATTGTTCAGCAACCGACTGATCGAAATGCGCTGGTCTGGGAACGTGCCCTTGACCCCAACGTCGGTGAGTTCGTTGTTGGCTGGTTTCAAGAATTGTCTACCGGTGGAAGATGATTCGGCACCGGATGTTGCTTGGATACTCGCCTCTTGAACATCAAACTCAATAAGATGGGCGTGGACGTCTCGCTCAATGCTGTACTCGAGGTCACTGAGATCTGGATTTTGTTCCTTGTTGATTCCATGCTGCCTGATGAAGAGTCGGACCTCTTGACGTCCAGTTTGGATCCTGTCGGAGAGAGTAAATTCTCTAGCATTTACCGGATCAACTGGCCTGTGTCCCCCTTGAGCTCCTTTTCTCCAATTCCGAACCATTGGAATACCGTCTTTGAACTCCTGGGAGCTCATCCACTTATCACGACTTCTGTCCACGTTATAGATGAGGCTTGGTTGTCCGCCCGAAGAACGAAGTTTCATGATAGCACTGCGCATCACATCCGTTCGTTTGTACCGGGCCTCGATCGCTATTGCCACGCTGAGCATCCTTTTTGTCATCGTGTCATTGAGCCTTGCGTTGATGTCGTCCGTCGAAAGAGGTCTGGGAGCATTATCCATTGCCATTCTGAGCTTCTTACGCTCAATCTCACGTTCATTAACCCAAACATGATTCGATTCCTTGAAGAAATCGGGCCGCTGGCAGATCTCAATGCAACCGAAATAATGCTGTACCGCGTCTTTGACGGCTTGTTCGTGCGGTTCGGCTGAGATGCAGGTGGTTGGCTCATTGTATGTGTCGAAAAGCTGCGGACCTCTCTGAGGTTTCCATATGGCTGAAAGGTCGGTAGGATGCCTTGACAGTTCGGGTTTGGTGAAGAGAAGAGTCGGCTTCATTTTCTGGGCGTTACTCGGCAGCAATACCCTCAGTGGATCAGGTCGGTGTATGGCAATTCATCGGCTGATGGAGGAAGAATATAACTTGCAAAAGCCGATGTAAATAGCTTCGAGATAGAGAGGGAGATGAAGGAGGATACCTTATGCGACTTTGCTTCGATATCTTTCGTAGCCTGCCTGGACGGACTGACGGGCTGAATGATGGGGAACTTTATTGATACCATCTTGACCTCTTAGGAAGCGGATCGACGGCAGTCATATCCGATAGTGGTCACGTCAATCCTATTTGAGAACTGAACATGCAGGCAGCTGTACAGATAAGCATATATGCAGTCAGACTGGCATACAGGCGGCTGAAATGCAGCTCGGTGGTTCGGGAAGGTGATGCACTGCGACCCGACCTAAATGGGAGGCGCTGAAAATGGGGTAACGAATACAATGCCGCATGGAGCATGACGAAGATAAGAGAGGAAACAAGAGAGAGGACGATAGTGTTGGGGGAGGTTGGTAGAAAGCACGGCATCTTCTAGCCTGCAGACGGACGGGTGGAGGAGAGAATCCCAACTGGTCAAGATGTCAAGTCAACCAAGCGGGCTTTCCCAACACATTCCTTCTTACAGGAATGATCGCTCTTTCCGAACAGCTACCCACACTACTTACCCAATTCGAAATTGAGTTTGCGAGCGCAACTTCCTGACAGGAAGCTTCCAAATCTCCGGATGTCGCACAAGGCTGCCGGCCCCCAACCGAGATCCCCATCTTGGAAGTTGCCCCGCTTCTGCCATCCTCCTTTTGTTAAGAACGGCAGGAAGGGAGATTGGGCGAGAAGTGACTTGCAACAAGATTATCAATGAGAACCGGTATTAGAACTTGGCGAGGAGAATAAAGGGAATCCCTCATTAACTGTTACTGCGGGCTGGGTTTGCAATCTTTTTCTCACTGCCAATCAACAAAAAGACCCAAAATTGTGCTTGTTCACACAATGTCTCCGTCATCCACTCTTCTACCACCCATCAGCGGCGGTTCTGGTGTTCTAGCACCTCGTGATATTGGAGTATTACCACCGGCCATTGTGTGCACTTGTGTTGAACCGTTGGATACTGTGGATGGGGGCCTCGTAACACTCTGTTCGCTGCGTCCGTTGGTCTCACGAACTTCAGGTTTGCCATCCCTGGACCACACTGATATGGAGAAAGGTTTACTTTCCGGAGTCGGAGTGTTTCCCGCCCCAACGAGCCTGCTGAACCAGCGCCATTTTGACGTTACCGATGCCGTGTTGGCAACGCCAGAAGCTTGTTCGTCTGGGCTGTTCTGCTTATTGAGCAGTTCAGCCCTCCGAGCCGCTCTCTTTCGCTTGGCTTTTCGCACCTCTTCCTTCATGTGCCGGACTTTGAGTTCGGTCTTGCGCATGAGGGATTGTGACCCGTACTCGTCGTGGAATGCTATCCAGAACCTGTACAGCTGGGAATAGACTACAACCACTGTGAAGATGTATTTCGTGAGGGACACGACCGTTGCACGAAGCAGGGGACTGAATGCGACCACGATCGTCGCGATGATGATACCGATCGATATGGAGACTGTGTTTTGGTGTTTGAATTAGAACATGTCCATGAGCCGGATACAACCAGTGGCAGCCAACATCACTTACACATGAGCTTGAACTGCTCTCCTAAGTGCATGGGTCCGCTATCAGTGAATTCCCAGTTGTTCATGCCGAAGATACTCGACATGAATGACAATGGCAGCTGGATACCAAACAGGTTAACCATTCGCTTTCTCCTGGTCGTGGATGCTAGATCAACTCACAAACACAATAGTGACAATCGTGAACATCATGACAGCACGTCCCTGAGTGACGGCCTCCTCGGCTTGCCTGACGGACTCCCAGGCTTGCACTACACTTGCCTGTTGTTGTTTCAGTGCAAGAAGATCGTTGACCTGTGGATGCTCGTGTCAGCATGCCTTCCTGAGTCCTGTGGCAAGGAATGCGGCGTGGCTCACACTGTCGGCTGTACTCTTGGCGCCTGCCCTCAGTCCTTCAAGCTCGTCAATGCGGTCATTCACTTCTGAAAGTAGTTCCTGGTATTGCACCCGGAACCATCCAAGTTGTTCTCTCCTTCTGGTCTCTTCCTCATCGGTTGCAAGTTGCTCATCGCTCGTGCTATTCCTACCACTTCTCATACTTGCGTTACCTGACGATTTGCGCGAGGGCTCCGAAGTGTCTTCTTCAACAAAGCCGTCGCCGCTCAATCGGTTCTTGGGATCCAAAATATGCTCAACATGTCTGCGGTATCGCTTCATAATGTCTCTTTGTCTCTTGTGGACGTGCAGCATAATGTCGAGCTCGTCAAGGATGTCCTTAACCTCGCGCTGCAGTTTCTGTCGTAACAGTTAGCATGTGGGATACGGAAGCATAATGCCACAACGAGGAGACTACATACACCTTCAGGATTGATGTCGAGTAAGGACACGTGTAGATCAGAGGAGTTGACGTATTTGGACCTGGCGCGATATATCTTGGAGGCTTCTTGCGTCCAGTGCCAAACATGCTGGAATGATATTGTGTGTAAATTTGTCTAAATATAACCAGTTAGCGCAGGGTACACCAGCGTAAAAAAGCACGGTGACACGTACCACTCGCCCAATAGCGCCAGAGAAGATGTCCATCACTTGCGGTTGGCCCTCCTAACGAAAGTCGTTGTCAGCTTGCGTCTATAGGCATCACTTTTGGATAGTGCAACGTAGCTTACATCAGCCCTGGTCCGATCGAAAAAAGTGTTGGAGCATTCGTCTAGTATAATAAGCGCCAGATCGTAAACCGATCTCACTTGGTTCTTGCGGAACGACTTTAAACGGGCCCGTATAGACCGGTGTACTCCTGACAAGTCATACTTGTTGCTTCCATAGCGCCGCGGAAATGAGGTAATGATTGTGTGCTCGTCCAAAACCCACATCCATAGTTGATCAACCATGATGAGCTGGGAGACTTTCTTGATGTCGCTCTTGCACTGGTCACAGCCGTGCTCATCAGTTGTTTCAGAATGATGAGTCCACCTCATAGGCGGCGAAACATCATCCTCGACACGCCGAGCTGCATCTTGATCTCCAGGCTCATGACTCAGCTCTCCCCCAGTCACTAATACGGTGCTGCTTGTGGCTGGATTCATAGTTTGTTGAGGAGAACAATGGCGCTTAATCCAGGAGTGCTTAGGCTTCTCTGCCTCCTGGAGTTGATGGATAAAGTCAAGCTTCGTATCTCGATAGATAACCTGATCCCTATCTCGAGCTTTGGTGGTTCTTAGTGTCCAGTAGTAAGACTGATCCAGCGTACGACGCGGGTGGAGGGGAGGGTCGTGAAAAAGATACTTCTCCAGCATTCTCTGGTCCCTGAACGTTGACATCGCGTCATAAAGACGAGCAGCATCCACAAGATACTGACCAAGCGCGCTCATAACTCTCAGACGACCAGAATCATCGATATGAGGCCTCTCACCGCGTCGAACTTCCCGGCGACGCCTGAAGAGTTGGTGAAGTGCCAGGTCAACGGTTTGAAGTAGCTTATTTTGGTTCTCGGGATCTTCAGCACCCTCTTTAGGATGTTTGATGTTCCTTCTCTGATTATCGAGCTTTGAGAGATCGGTGAGCTTCGCTCTCTTTTCCTGTCGGGTTTTCTTCTTCTCTTGCTTTTCTTTCCTCTGCTTTTGCCGGAACTTGTCGGATTCAACATCGATCAGCCTGGAAATGGTCTCCCTCCTACGGTCCGTTTCCCAGTGGAGATAGGGCATCTCCAATTCAGAAGACTGTTAGCGTTATCTTTGTCGGGAAATGTGAGGATTATCAGTGTCATTGACGTACAAAGAGAACAATGTTCTTTGGATGCTTCTCGATCTCGTTGGTCTCGGTTGACACTACCTCGCAGAGAGATCGCATGTGTCTTGCGTGCACTACACCGCTTCGAGTCCCTTGTTGCTGACCTCGCCAATACTGAGGGCTCAAGAGCATGTGCGCTGGGGTCTGTACTCTCTGATGTCTGAGTTTACGATTGAGATCTGGTGTTTTGGTTTCGTAGTAGTTGGCAATCGCTTTCTGTGATCGTATGATCAGTGAGCCTGAGAATATGTTTTGGGCGGTTGTCAAGAGCTTACCTCCACCCACTAAAGTACAACGAGTTATGTCAGTCAGTAGTCAGCAACGAAGATAATTATTAGTAAAGAAGTCACATACTGCCATATTATTTGATGGGATGTGGAAGTATCGGATCCTTTTTGGCGGCCCTGAACCATCTTCATTCGTGCATCGGTTTCTTGACAGAATATTCCAATCGCCTTCCGGATCACGGGTGCTCAATTCAGGGTTATCAGTGGAATCTGGTTCACAACTAACTCCATCATCGAGGAGGAAGCTCATGGATATGCGCTGGTCTGGGAAAGTGCCCTTGAAGCGCCGATCAGTTAAGGGTTCGTCAATAGGCGTCAGGAAAGACTCGAAATCTTGACTCGGCCTGTCTGTGTCGTATTCAGTGCTGAACTGAATAAGGTAGGCATTGACATCTCGCTCAAGGTGATATTCAGTACTGTCCTTCTCGTTGTCTTCTGCCATTCTGCTGCTGGAATCCTGATTGGAGTGACCGCCGTTATGTGATTGGGGGTTTTTCTTTGTGCGTTGCTTTTTCGCAAGATCTTTGACTTCTTGTCGTCCAGGCTCGTCGGATCCGTTATTGTCATCATCTTCACTTCCACCCTTCATCTCTTTTCTCCATTGACGCACCCATTTGCTCCCTTGTTTGAAGCGATCTGACCTCTTCCACTTGGCACGACTGTCCTTTAACTGGCTTACAACACTATCCTCCTCCTCGGCCTTCGGCTGCTGATCTGAAAAGAGCCTGGATTGGCGGGCTGGAGTCTTGCTGAGCGCGTTCCGCAAGATTTCTATCCGCTTGTATTGAGCCTCGATGGCAATAGCCACACTTCCCATTCTCTTTTCAAGCCACTCGTTGGCTCTTGCCTTGGAGACAGACTCGATCGTGAGGGGGTCGCCATCAGGAACAGCGTGACCCGCTTTTTTGAGCTTCTCTTGGGCGGTCTTCAAGTGGTTCTCCCATTTGTCGTTGTCGTTGGTAACAGGGAATCTCTCCATGGTCTTTGCTAGTTCCGCGTAGAATTTGCCATATTGAACCTTTCGTTCGTGCTCCCAATGCGGGTGACTGGACTTCAGGAATTCGGCTCGATCGCATATTTCGATGCATCCAAAGTAGTGTTGGACAGCATCTTCGACGGTGGTGTCATGAGGTTCTGTGGAAAGACAACTGGTAGGTTCATCTTCCGGATCGTGGTGCGTGAGGTTTCGAGGACTACAGGCATCCACAAAGGCTCGAGCAATTTGTCGCATGACGAAGGAATGGTGCGTTCATCCGTAGAGGCAGGTTGGAATACTGTAGAGATGCTCCACAATAGCACAACAGTAGTAAAGACAACGACAATGACAGGTAGAGAACCGAGTACACCTGGGTGCCTGAGGGGGAGGTGCCCAGATGGAGTTCTTGCTAAAGCGTCTAGGGAATAGATATGTTCCGACTGGTAGGTACTTCTCTATCACTCACAATGTCTAGATGTGATAGCAAGGTGCTCGACATAATCGTCTTCAAATTGCCCCCGGCGACATTGAAAGTTCGCTGAAGAGAAGGCGACGAATAACAAGACGAGGAAATACCAGGTAGGTAGTAATGCATGGGACCGGAAAGGCAACCTTCAAGCTGGAGCGAGGCCATATTCGAAAAGCTGAAGAGGGGGGATGCAGAAGTACTGTGTGCTGACAACTTGAGGCCCGGTCGTTGTTACACGACATCACGCCCCCTAATGTTCCATGGGCTGACTCGGAGGAAACCCCATCATGACCCTCGATATTCCCTCGAGATACCACGGAAAGAGGAGGGAGGAGATTTGTCGATCAGTGCAGAGAGAGGACTTGAGACTCTGCGCAACAGAGGAAAGGACCCTTGTGCATTAGTGTGTGAAACACTGCGAGCCCTGCGATTACACCCATAATGTGATGGTTTCCCGTCCTGACATGAACTGTGAAATGAGAGATGGATGTGGTACGGGGGCGGGTAGGGTGAACTGGTGCGAGGGCAGGAGAGGTCGAGATACGCCGCGATCGACCGAGCACGCCCAGGCATTGGGTGGCCATTACAAGCCGGCGAGAGAGGAAAAGTGAGGGGACGAAGGGTTGACTGGCGAGACGGCATGGAATGACGGATATGCGTGGTGTTGAGACACGATAAGGTCGTCCAAAAAAACACAGCCGCCCAACAGAAACTCGCAATTCGCGAGCTGGGGTCGACGTGGGACAGCTGGATGTTGGCTGACAGCGAAGGCGGTGTTGCGGATGTTACCTGGCAAGCGGCGCAAGCTGGTGACATCCTCTAGTAAGGGAACTGAAGTATCTTGTGCTTGTGCTAAGGGGGGAGGTTCGAAAAGGGAAACATGTCCGAGGCACAGAAGGATCCAATTGCAGTTTCCAGATGGTGAGTGAAGCCGTGAACACCGGTGGTGATGGTGTCGATGAGGCTCGGAGCCTGATCGCTTCGTGAAAGATGCAACAACCGGAACTTGTGATGGAAGGAACAAGCCGGAATATCCACTGTAATGTCAGCAAGCGGCAGCAGCCACTGAACCGAATGAATGCAGAACGGGAAGCTAGGACCTTATCGAGCCTATCAATCTGGTGCCGGTGGCAAATTGCGGGTACTGAAAAGGAGGAAAGAAGGTGCTAACTGCAGTGCCAACGAATCTCAACCGAACTCGTGTCCGATATTCCAATTCAAGTGATGAATCATGAACCTCAAGAAGGAAGGAGTTCCCGAAGCTGAGAACTCTGCGCATTCCGCACCCAATTGATAATGCATCTTCTCTCATGTCGACCTGAGCGGGAGGGAAGGAGGGAATCTTCAATTGGAAGCCCGACGTCCTCCAGTAGAGAAATCCATGGAATCCATCAACCCCACGACAGTTACCCCCCTCCAACAGCAGGGCTTCAAAATTGACCTCCGTCGTCGCTCCGCATTCCGCAGATGTCAGTTCTTGCTTAGAAATAGATACACATTCTCGGGCAAATGAACGTCGTGTACGAGCCACGAGAGGGTAGCTGCTCATGTTGTGCGACGCCAACGAACAGCCTTACTTCAGGATTTGATGACCTTCTCGGTCTGGATTCTGCTGCTTGGGTGAGCTCCATTCGCCCTCTCCCTCTATTTACCCTGCTCGATATCCAAAACAGAGACGCCGAGTGACCGAACATGGTTCAGGTTTTCGGTGGGCTCGAGCTCTTTGCGTCGGCCCACTGACAGTCAGGGAAGTGGAAGTTGGCTTTGCTTTCTTGTCTGTCATCCATTTGAAGCCTACGTCCCTGATCCTCCGGTAGGGCCTTCTGGGATACCTGATCGCAAACATTGTCGCCAGCCTGACTGTCGAGGGTGGCAGGGTGGATGCAACATTAGTGGGGTTTCGCTTCAAGGCTCGTGGCGATCCGGGGGAAGGCTACAGTACCCGCCCAGCCAACGGCCCTCCAGGCGCGAGTGAACCGAGGTATATACTCAGGCTTGTTCACTGCTCGGGATTGATGTCTGGCATCCAATTACTAATGTCTGTGTGAACAGAATACTAAAAGTTTATCTTTGACAAAGAAAGAGAAAAGAGAAAGTCTCAACACCGCAGAGGCCAGTTCTCCTCGTCTCTTTCCACTCCAATCCAAATCTCGTTCTTCACCATGATCGCCCCCGCTGTCTTGGCTGCATTACACTCTGTCGAGACGATTGTAGTCGAAGTCAGTGACTTCAAAGCTGTTATATGGGTGGTGGATGAACTGTCGTGTGCCGACATGGTACTCCTACTCCCTTGGCTATGAGCCGTCGTCCCTCGACTTCGACTTCGCTCTGCGTTGTATAACCCCAATATGTCGTCTACGCTGTCGTTCCCCCTCCTCCTCCTGTTCTTTCTTTGCATGCTGGCTGGGCTTAGTGGCGTTTGGAATGTGTCGATATCCCGTAGGGACTCCATGTCGACAATAGTGTGTGATGAGGCCGAGTCGCGGACGTATGCTGGCGGTGGGGGGCTCGGACTGCGTTCAGCTTTGCTACCTGCTCCAGCTGTGGGCGTTTTGTGGTCTCCTGATTGCTTTTGTTGTTGTTCTTGTTTGTGTTGCTCGACTATCGTGAATTCCGGCATTTCCAGGTTGTTTTGGTTGGGTGGATGGTATTCATGGTCTTCTGTCATTCCACGGCGTCGGAGATATAACGGACGCAGGGTCGGTATGCCCAGGCACACCATGGCTACTGCTATTTCGGCACCGGCCCAGATGAAGTACGGGGCAAAGTTGTCTACAGTTGGTCAGCACATGCAGACAATTCTTCAGGGATCGCGGTCAGCTTACAAGTGTAATCCCAGATGTTGAGATGTGACAACACAACGGTTCTAGTGATGCCGCAAGCACCAGCTCTGTAACATGTCAGTTTGATCCCTTACCACATAGGACTAACAACGAGTATCTCGAGTACTCACATTACACCGAGGCTCATTCCACTCGCCAACATCATTTTCTCCCGTCGTGGCATCCTCAGAGACCAGATGAACAGCCACGGGAAAATGGCAAAAATGAAATCACAGACACTGGACCAGACTCCTAACCCAACACTCATCGGTTGAATCTTGATGTGCCACTTTCCTGGAGTCCTCAACGGATCCCAGCTCGCTTTTCTCGGTGTTGTCTGATTCCATAGCATGACCACCAACGCGAAGGACGTCCCTGCCGTCACCACGATCAGCGCCCACAGCGCCATCTTCTGTCCCCTCAACTGTACCACTCTCAACAAGAAGAATCCCATGGACAACTTGGCCATGGCGTTGCCTGTTATCGCAAAGGAATTGGCGACATAGCTCCAAAAGATGGATCTCGACGTGTTCTCGAGCGACAGCGACCACAGACTGGCGCCCATGCCAAAGTGGACCGAGACATGAAGGAAGGTGGCGAAGAGAAGAAGAAAGAGGCCGGTCAGGACGTAGACGTAGTCTTCGGTACCGATGAACTTGACGATGTGGATGCGAGTATACAGGCGCAGGAACATGAAGGAGAGTGAGAGAAGGGTCATGGACCAAACGGCGACGACTACTTCTAGTTGGCGATGTTCCATGATGCCAACTGGTCGTTTATCGAATCATTGTCGAAGCCGTTTGGTTGCCGTCACTGCATGCAAGTGATTGCCGTTTTCCCTCGTTCGAGTTTTGGTGGGTATGGGAAGAAGAAGAAAGAAAGAAAGAAAGAAGAAAGAACTGGTGGAGTGACTAGTCTAGCAGCGAACGATCACTGCGTGCCGAACTGAGACAAGAAACGTGGTGGGCATGTCTCAAGTTTTGGTTGACGGCCGAAGAAGAAAAGGTGGAAGTCCAGACTCTCGGAGCAACCTATCACAACATTTCTCTTCAGCAAGCAAGATTGTCCTTTTCTCATGATCTGCTCACCACTTCATCTTATCGAACCTACTGGCCTGTCAGGCCTGTTGGATTCCCCAACTGTCCCCATCGAATAGCTCTGCCTACCACGCGAGTGGCAACATCGTAGGAGCTGGATGACTGGTTCGATAGGTAACTTCGTGGGGGGTGATGATGGACATTTGGGATATCATAATCTCCAATCACCACTTCAAGACCGTCAGGAATGGCCAAAAACTCAAGCCCTACCTCTTTTCACTGGAACAGACATCAACCATTCATCTGTGTTACCTTGTCCAAGCTCCCCTGCCGTACGTGAAGATGGTGGGCTGCTGTGGGCTACTAGCACTTATACCTCCCTGTCCGCGAGCGCGGATTGGCTGGAATTGCAACAAGGACTGACCAACGGGAGAGAGCAGGGTTAACCGCTGGAGAACAGGGGTCAAGGACTGGGGATTAGCTTGGGCGTAATATAGGGCTTTTAAGCGCCTGCGCTGGGAGGGAGGTATTGAAGATGTTGATGTCATTGATAATGCTCTGGGGGGTGTTTCAGCGCGCCATTGCCGTGATGAGACAGAACTGGTAGATTGCCTTGGTGTGCAAGCCTGCCTCGGTAGGCGCTACTTTGAGCGTCTGGTGATATATGTCGTTGAACCCTAACCCTCCACTACATAGTCAGATGCAGCAAAATCTGTGCTCCACAACTCCAGGTCCTTCCCAACCCCAGACCCTGTCAAAATCGATCTCGATCGATGACAAGGACCACCACACAACACACAGCAAATTTTTTTCTTCGTTTCCCACACCCATAAGCATAGGACTAGGTACATAGGTAACTCAACCACACCGTCACTCCAACCATCCGAATAGGAATGATTGATAGCCGCTTGCCCGGCTAGCTCAATCGGTAGAGCGTGAGACTCTTAAGGAGGTACTCCGTAATCTCAAGGTTGTGGGTTCGACCCCCACGTCGGGCTCAATTCCCGTCGTTCCTTCCTCTTTTTTTTTTTTTTTTTTTCCCCCTTTTTTTTTTTCGTTGCACTCTTGTACTCCATCATCAATTAGTTATTTTCCTCGTCTTCTGTCTTGGCTGTTAGTTGCCCTTCTTCCTTTTTGGCTTTCCGGCTTTCCTGTTCTCCTCTTCAGACGCAGACGCAAATTCAATCGAGCCCGGGCGGCGTTGCGTTTGCTTGCTTCTTCTTGTTTTGAGGTCGATCGTCGCCGACTTGTCCCAAGATTCCTTGTCGTGTTCATGTCAGCGAAAGTCCGTGATCTTCTCGTGTAAGGTGTCCCGCGTACATCCAACGGATGAGGAAATCATGAAAACGGTTTCGGATCCATTGTGAGTTGCCTATATAGTGGACTTCAAGTTTTCTGGCGAACAGAACATCTTTCGTCTTTGGGATACGTTGGCTCTGGTCACTGTGCACATTTAGCCCTGTGTCATAGGCAATCTTATATTTAAGCGATCATGTACCACAGCGTCTTGAAGTCATTAATCATCAACATGGTACCAGTGAACACATTTATCCAGAGTCATTAACATCATACCCAAGCCCAATCCTCCACGCCCGCCGCGTTGTCGCCTAATTACCGCCCACCCCTAACTCCATCCCCCCTCTTGCCCTCCTCCTCATCCTCACTGCTACTCAAATCATCCTCACTCATGCTCAACCTAAAATACTCCCCGTCCGCTCCCGCACCTCCATTCCTCGCCATCAGCGCATGACTCTCAACCTCCCCATCCTCCATCGTCGTCCCCTTTCCATTCTGCCCGCCATTCTCACCTGCTATCGCCTTCCTCTGTGCCGCCCTCCAAACCCACCAAGCCACCACAACCGCCTCCATACCCATGAAAATCCCGACCCCCCACACATCAACCCTACTGTGCCCGCTCAACAACAAACCCAAAACAACATTAACCCACCCGGCCACGACCGCCCACCGCCCAAGCCAGATATGTCCATGGGAGATCCACGTCCTCCTGCGGATCCTCAGGAAATCCACGTGGTGTCTCCACCCTAGAATCACCTGGACTACCAGCAGGAAAGTAACAGCGAGACCAAGCCACTGGTGAACGGTAGATGGGATGTGACGACCGGTCATGTACAAGCCTACGCCAGCGCCGGCGAGGGTGAAGATGGACGCGAGGGCTTGCACAAGCCAATGTTTCTGGAAGGCGTTGCCGGAGGAGCGGATCAAGATGACACCGAGGGGGAAGAGGATGAGGAAGGCAACGGTCATGAAGAAGGCGTGCGTTTTGGGGAGGGGGTTGGCGGTTACTTTATCAAGCCAACCCGAGGCGGAGAGGGGTTTAGTGGAGGTGCCGAGGAGGTTGGTATCGGGGACGATGGCTAGGATCTTGAGCAGGTCGTCGACGGTCGGCTTTCCCAAGTAGTTGCTGCCGCTGCTGCCGAGGATGGAGCGCGTCATGTCGGCCCAGAAAAAGCCGTATCCGCCTGTCTCGGAGCCGTGATGGCGGTGCATCTTCAGATGCGCATCGCGGGGGAAGGTTCCGCTGAAATCTTGGCGGTCGTTCCAGGCCCAGAGGAACGGCTGAGATGCAGAAGTGGCGGAGATGGAAGTCCGCCAGGACCCGGAACCGGATGACCACAGGGAACAGGAGTAACAGGCGAGTAAGACGTCGGCGATATACGTCTTGGTGCCGGCTGCGGGGATGATGGGGTGTTCGTCGTGGTCGTCGTGTCTTTTGGCTTTCACTTTGCCCTGCTCCTCCTTGCTAGCAGGGGGCACGGTACCGGCTTCTTTCCAACTCGATGCCAGAACCTGGACGTCGAATCCCTTCCCAGCTACTGTCCTGAAATCGTCGATCAACTGCGGTTGACGATGTCCTTCCACCGTTCGCACGCTCACTACCGGCTCCTTTTCGGTACCGTTTACAGGGTCGCCGTAGACGATAAACATCAAGGCTCCTGCCATGGTCTGCCCTGTGCCGATGGCCGTCCATCCATTTGCGTTCCAGCGAGTGATGGTAAGGTGGAAGTAGATGTCGTGAGAGGCAGTGGTGGTGTTGGGGAGGGAGAAGAGGGAGAGGCAGAAGTCGGCTGCTCCTGAAGTAAGACCGGTTTGGCAGTATTGGACCTTGTTGTTGTTGTTGTTGTTGTTGTTGTTGTTGTCGGTGGTTGTGGTTGTGGTAGTGGTAGTTGAAGCGCCGAGGAGGGGCTGTGTGAAGAGGGAGACGGAGAGGAGCAGCGCTCCGAGGAGGGAGGTGAGGCGCGCCATTGGGTAGATTGTAGAAGACCTGGAGTTGCTGGGCGATGCAACAACTCACTCAAGGAAAAGAATGAGAGGATGATGTGGGAAGAGGGAGAAGAGGAAAAGTTTCATGGGATGGAATGATAAAACGGGCCACTCGGGACTCGGCGTGCGCTAGTGTAGTAGCAGATCTGCTGCCCGATGGCTGGGACGGCGGGGAGGGGTGATGAGTGGGGCGCTGACGGGCCGCGTTGGTGGGTTCCATGTTCCTTGCTGAGTGACCGATGACCGATGTGGTTTTTGGTCCCCTTTCCTCTTTCCTCTTCTTTTTTTTCAACTTATTAGTTCAATGTCCCGTTCTTCCGTTTTCTTCCTCATCGTTGTCAATTCATAATGGACGCTATCACAAATTACCGAACGAGTCGAGAAGAAACCATAAGCCAACTACACTACACTACTTTGGCGCAACCACAGACATGTGACATATTTGGCGCGCACTCTTGCGGCTTTTTGGCGCGAAAAAGGTCACCTAGCTTGCCTAGAGGTACCTCGGTAGTCAGGCGCAAATCCTCACCTCAGCTTCTTTGGAACCGAGGGCGCTGTCGTGCACCGCTGCCTGACCACCACCACTGCGACGGATCACCAATCGCCGAGAGTTCCGGTAGAGGTATCTGTCCCGGCCGCTGAGTGGCTGAATCGCATGCATGGACTTCTCATTCTCCGATTGTTCGGCAGTGCGTCTATGACGTCTTCTCCACGATTATCGATACCGACTGGTGCTCGGAATAGTGGCATAAATATTCATTTCCCTTTTGTAGTGTACACAGGCCAATCCATACCAGGCCGACGGTAGCGGGTCCGGCCGCTATTGCCACTGATGTGCGCAGGGATCCCAGGGCCCGGGAGTCAGACACGCCAGGCACGCCAGGCACGCCGCGGGCCACGGAAAAGGGACGAACAAGGACGACATCTCGCGGAGAGGTAAAGGGGAGATGGGACGAACGAGTGGATCTTTGAACTGACTTCATTTTGAGCGAGGACTCATGGACAACGGACAATGGCCTCTCCTACAACCAGCACTAGCACAAACAACTATCCTATCAAAATGCCGGCCCTAGCAATCAATATACCCAAAGGTGATGATGTAAAACAAGAGGGACCTCCAAAGCCCCTAACACACCTCCAAACCCCCTTTTTGCGCCGTTCACGATACTTGACAAATGCTTACCGCAGAGCCGTTAACCTTTCTCCCGGCCTTCCTTGCGCCACCAAAAAGAGCCATCCATCAAAGCAGAACCAACCAAACGACCATGACCATGTCCAGTACAAACCTCACTCCATCCCTTTCTCCACCCTTTCATACAAACCCGTCATTTGCATACCTGACCTAATCAAAAGCACCCGCCTCAACCTCAAACTGATAAGCCCCGACGTCCATATGGTCCGGCGTCACCTGCCCCACCCCATTCCCAACCACACTCCCCGGATGCGGGCCCACGGACCCAATCTGCGGCTGCTGCTGTGCCGCTGCTGCTGGATGCGGCGCCATCCCAAACTGCGCCGGATGATGGGCCGCCACAAACTGGCCAGGCGCTCCCCACGCCGCATGCGTCCCCGTCGCCGCTGGGTGGTGCGGTGGCGGCGGGAACATGGCGTAGCTGGTGTAAAAGTAGTTGGCGGCCGGACCCGCAGAAGCCACGGAGGGGTCTTCGGCTGTCATGGTGTACCCGTTCACAGCGGACATGGCCGCCGCCGCGTGGGGGGACACGGCCATGGGGCCGTTGCCCGTGAGGGGGGAGTGGGACATGAATTGCGGTTGGTGAGTGGTGGCGGGTGAGGGGTGGCCGTAGTGGCTGTGCGAGTGCGAGTGCGAGTGGAACGGAGACGTGGGGATACCGTGCTGCGCGTACGGGTTGATTTGCTGTTGTTGTTGTTGTTGTTGGGGGTTGTTGTTCCGGGTACCGGTCCCGAGGGAGGTGGGGGCGGTGCCTGTGGTGGTGTTGCTCATCTGGTGCGAAGCGGCCGTGGCGGGCGCCGAGAGGTGCGTGGAGGAGCCGCCTACGATCGAGAGACGGTTGCGTCCACCGGGCCCGTTGGAGAGCTCCGAGGACGAGGTTTCCGTCGAGAGGTGCCCGTGTAATGAGACGTACGCTTTGAAGGTCTGTTGGACGACAGATTTGAGGCGCTCGCGGACAATGTCAGTTCCCGATGCAAAGTCAATGTCTTGAAGCTTGATTTTGTGGTCGAGGATGTCGAGAAAGAGTTTGGAGAAGGCGTCACCGTCTTTAGAGGGGGAGAAGGGCGTGATGCGCGGTTTGATGTCGTGCCCTGGCTGATGTCAGTGATCTCGATTTCGTGAGGAAAAGTGAGGGAAAAGAAAGGCATACTCACAGGGCGTTTCGGGACGTTTGGCACCGGGAAAGAGCACGTCCCAGATCTCGAACCACTTCTCCAGCTTATGCGCCTCCTGGTTCTTCTTGCGGTTTTGCCGCTCGAGAGCCGCCCATTGGACTGCGTCGATGCCTTCCTTTTTGGACGCGTCCCCCAGTTCGCACGCGTCACTTTCTTTTTGGTGTTCTGATAAGTTGGCCAGGCAAGTTGCTCGATCTGTCCCCGGGAAGATCTTGTAGCAGCGGTTACATTGGACGGGTGAATGCACCCGTTTCAGATGTTCCCTATATCACCGGCGGGTTAACTCAGAACACACACACACGCACGCACACATACACAGCGCTTAATGATAAGGTAAGTCTTCGGGACGGGAACTCACTTTAACCGCTGGATACTCTTGAACCCCGGCCCCGTACACGCCCTGTACTTGTGTTTCTTCCCATTCGCCGAGTTAGTTTGCTGAATCCCGTATTTTTCCGGATCCCGCTTGTGGAACGGACACGCCAGCATCGGTTGCGACTCCTCGTTGCCAGCCACGCCAGGGCCAGATCCCGTGTCGATGTTCTTTTCCTCGTCTTCATCGCCATCATCACCATCACCACCACCACCGCCTCCACCTCTGCCTCCGCCTCCTCCCCACTCACCACTTCCTCGTCCACCTCCTGCACCACCACCACCACCACCGCCAAACCCCCTTCCTTCCCTACCTCCTCCGTCCGAGTTAGACCGCCGCCTTCTCTTCCGCGAGTTACCATTCCCGTTACCCCCAGATCCGCCCCCAGGTGCTGAAGAATCCGTATAAGAAGACTTCCCACCCCTCGACGCATCCGAATTGCCCCTCTCTCTCAGGTTATTCCCTCCACCACCATGAGCAGCTCCGCTAGTAGTACCCGAGCCCGTATTGTTTCCAAACTGCCAACTCTCCACCTTATTCTTCACCGCCAGGTTATAATCCCGATGCAGGATCGGAATCAGATACGCAGCCAGCGGCAGATCCCCGTTGACGGCTTCAATCACCGCCGACTCCAGATTTCCGTTTTGGCCTGACCAGTCGTTGTCGTCTTCCTCTTCTTCGTCATCTTCTTCCTCTTCCTCTTCCTCGGAGAAATTGTCATCAAGGTAATCGCCCATAATGTCCATGTCGTCTTCGTCGTCTTCTGACTCGCCACTGTCGGCGTCATCGTCGTCGTCGTCATCATCATCGGACATCATGTCTTTTGCCTCTGCTGAGCGGGCATGAGGCCCATGCCCATGGCCGTGACCGCCGCCGCTGCCGCTGCCGGGAGCCGAAGAGTCGACGGCGAATAGGGCGTTCCGTAAGCTACTGGGACGTGAAGGTGAGCGCGTCCCTGACGTGCTGTTGCTGCTACTGTTGCTGCTGCTGCTTCCGCCGCCGCCGGGGCCACCGCCACCGCCGCCATTGATGCCGTTAGGTGCATTATACCGGCCCTTTTTGGCGGGACGACGGCCGCCGTTGCCGCCGCCGCCGCCGCCGGTGACGGTGAAGCGGCTGACGGGGGTGGTGTTGGTGATGGGGGATCTTGATGATAAGGTTCTGTATGTAATAGAAATCTCATTAACATATGCACACTCACTTTATGTTTACTAGACCTAGACTTGCTGTGCCATGGTCCTTTATTTTTTCAAACAAAAAAAAAAAAAAAAAAAAAAAAAAAAAAAAAAAAAAAAAACAACAAAGGAACTTGACTTACTCATCATTCCACTTATTCCCCATGCCCATGCCCACTCTCTCACTCTCACTCGGCTCCAAATCGCCCTCGGGGAAATTGCACTCGGTAGCCGTACTGGGCGGATTCGAAGTCACCCAGCTGCTGATGGACGCAGCGTAGCAATTGGACCCCAGGTCCGAATGCGTGCCCGGCGAAGGCGAGCGGGAGCTGGCGGATGTGGCCGCCGAGACCATGCTGCTGCCGCCGCTGCTTTTGCGGGCAGACCAGGCTGCTTCACTGTGACTGTGGTGGTGGTGGTGGTGGCTGTTCATGGGGGTGTGGTGTTCGGGCTTGACTAAGGAGGCTAGATTGGGGTGGTGGTGGTGATGATGTTGGGAGTGCTGGTGTTGGTGTTGGTGCTGGTGTTGATAAGTGGGCTGGGGGGAATGCCATTTTGGTTGAGGTGCTGTTAGATGTTGCTGTGTTTGTTGTTGTGGTTGTTGTTGTTGTTGCCTTCCGTGACTGACGCCGTCTCCTAGGGTGGCCGCTGAGAGCGGCCCTGTGTGATGTCGAGACATTGTTTGAGATGAGCTTATTGATAGGTATTGTTGGCAATGATAATGACGATATGCAGTGTATAGGAGGTCTGTCAAAGAGAGAGGTAGGTAGATAAGGTATAGATAGATAGATAGATAGATAGATATGAGGGGATGATGGTGGTTGCCAGTGATGACTCTCACTGATGCTACAGTTTGTTCTTCAGATTGCTTGAGATCGATCAAGGATGAGATCAAGTTATGTGGCAAAAGTGCTTTGTAAGAGGTGAAAGAAAGAATAAGTTTGGGAAGAAAAAAAGGATTTCCTTCCCCTCGGTCACGAAAAAAAAGATGTAAGTAGGGGGACCAGAACAACGATCGGGGGCATAGCCCTCCCTCCCTTTTTGATGACCAGATATGGATCAGACCACGAGCCCTACCTGTGTCAACCTGGGCCGTGTCCGCCGGTCCGTTGGCCGGGGCCCTGTCAATCTGTGTTGGATTGGATCATGCTTCCCCCCCCAATCCCCGCGGACGCGGACGCGGGACTAGGAAGGGAAAGCCGCCGCCCATTCTGTGTGCTGTGTGCTGATGTGGAATCACCAGAAACAACAACAACAACAACAACAGCAGATGCTGGGTGTGTTTTCCGCAAGTTTCCAGGTGCTCCATAGCGTCAAAGGCGCTGGCGATGATGGCCTAAAGTGCGCGCTGACGCATTTGCGATGGTGGGCAGATTATGGATGGATGCCCATTGGATTGTGACCCGAAATGGCCTCGAGTTACTTTTTTGTTTTCTGCCATCCAATGTTGCAACAAGTTAACTTGAAAGAGACACACAGTTTGGCTTGGAAAAGCAGAAAAGAACCGTCTCTTCCCTGTCCGGTTCCTGCAGCGGCCATTGGATCGATGGATGGTGCATAATACCACTGTAATACAACGCCACGTCGCCCTCTGAACCCTGAAAGGCGAAGGAACCCAAGCTGTTTTAGGTAGACCAGCCTTCAGGTTCCCGGCTCCAGCTTCTCGGGGGGACCAAGAGGCCCGCCAACGAGACGCCCGTCCTGGCATTGCGCTACAGGGGGTTGGCTTTTTAGTGTTGTTGGGCGGTGGACATAACATCACCTACAAGGGAACCCAAGGGGGACAAGAGCCGCGCGCACTTGCGATGGACTTTGTCATCTCAGACAACGCTTGTGGGGAGATGACGATGGGGAAGAAAATGTGGGTGAAAAAAGAGACAAGGCAAGTGTTTGTTTTTCCTGTCATCCTTTTTTTATGAACTGGATGGTGAGAAAGGAAACAGGAACACAACTGAACAAACACAAACATATCGTGACGGAACTCGCTCTTTATTTCCATGTCCACAAGCGAGACCTTTTGTACGCGTGCAAGGGTATCTCCAACATATGTAAATCCTACCCCTACTCCCGTCCCTCCTAGGCATTTGGGCTATTTGGGGGCGCGTCACAGTGAGCAGCCAGCTCTCGGAGAATAAAAGGGGGCGCGAGAGGGAGACCGGGGAAGCGTCAGGTTGACCGTCCGGTAGTGCAAAATGAATTGTACAGTTGATATGATGCAGACCAATATCGTTAATTCCGGCCGGGTAAGCGAAACATGACAGTCCAGCAGCAGCAGGCAAGGCGAGCCGATTCGTGCTCCATCTTGTAGGTATTCGACGCAAATGCGTTGCGTCAATGTTGGGGCTTTACCGTATCTGTGTTTGTAAACAGGGCCAGCCTACCAGAGCTCAGGGGTGAACGGACGACGGTCCGGTCCGGGGCTGGGGCACCGGGGACAGCATGCAACAACAACAAGGTGGATGGGCCTCCATGCTCCACCAACCGAACGTTGTCGACTTAATGCCGGCATGAAGCCATGGTGCCAGCCCAACCTTCTGGACAACCTCGACCATTTCTACTTGCTGTTGATCAGGATTGTGTGGTGGTGTGACCTGTCAAGGCAAGAAGAATACGAGGGGGACACACGTCTATCGTTCCGCTGGTGTTGATCGGGACTGCCACCCACCTACCCACCCACATCATGTGTTCCCGATCTTGGGAGGTGGGATGCTGTTACTACCCACGAAAACAGTCCATCTCGCATCACATCAGATGCGCAACTGAGAGTTTGATACCGCCGACCTGCGGCTCGGGCTGGTCGCAGAGAGGGCCGTAAGGGATCCACGTGGCTGGGTGACATGTCCCGGGTCCAGCGCCGACCTGCCACCGAGGGACTCAGACAAAGCCGAGCTGAGGACGTCTCCAGTGCGCCCCCCCTGGATCGAGTTACTGCAGTAACATGCGGCTCATGTCGTCTGCAGCCCCCCTGTCCTTTTCAAGTAACCAATGGGGTGAGAGGTCGGAGCTCTTCTTTTGACGACATGTCATGCCGGGTGAATATGTCCACCCCGAGCCACCAACTGCCGATGCCGTGTCTAGCTGTCCATTCTCGTTTTGTACTGAGCGATGGGTGTGATCCTTCTTACGAATGGACTCGCTAATGGTTTTCTCTAGATTTGCCCCTACCAGGCAAGCTGTTACAGGTTGGTGGTGTGGTCCATGCTGGATGTTGATGGAAAAGAACCCGGAGCAGAGGGAGGGGGTAAAGCCGGGCGTCGACAGGCTCATAGTATGGCAATATCTCTGATTTGAACATTTCCAGGACGACCAATGGTTAAAGAGGTTGTTTGTCTAGTTTGTTTCCCATCAAGGGGGCGGAATAAGTCGAGGATATGCCATCTTTGTTGACTGATGGCCTCGAAGGAGGGGGGCGGATCATGAATGTTGGTTTGCCAAGACAAATCAGGGTTAGGGCTGGACATGTGATGCTGAGTTCCCACCCAACAAGATGCGCCATCAGCGAACCCAAACATGGCCTATTAGGTGGACCTAGCTTGATAACCACGTTGAAGCCATAAGTGTCCATTTCAAGGCCGTGACAAAGAAACATTTATTGCCAAATGGGATGGCATCAAATTGACTTGTTCAAGGATCCTGACCTGGGAGTTCATGGGGCCGTATGCTTGAACTTGGACATCATGGCTGAAGGATGCCCGTTTCCTTCCGAAAGATATGACCCAAGGAACACCAAAGCCTTTGATGACAGGAAACTGAATGGATACCAGACAAGTGAGATAGAGGCGAGAGATGGGCGGTAACTGCCGGTCGGGACGTCGTCTTCCGTTCCTCAAGTCGCGTACTTTATTGGAATGTCAACTTGACGATTGTCCAAACACCTACTGAAACCGAGACGATGCCATGAAGAGAGCTGGGACTGGAAACAGTCATGTTAAATAGAGCTAAGGTTCAGTTGTAGTACTGTAGTAAAAGGACAACAGGGGTAAAGGGGCAGGGCCGTTCCGGGGCGAGGCACGTGCCAGGAACAGTGAGAGCTAGAGGACCCCGCCGCTGCCTTTTTTGCGCAAGGCTAAATTGCTAGCACTAGAGTAACTGAAAAGTACAAGAATAAAAGGACTGTGCTTGGCGCTATCAAGACTCGAGACAAGTGACGTCGAGAGGCGAAGTGCACATCTAGCGGGTGCCAACAAAATCTAGCTGACTGATTAGTAGGTAATTTACACCAAGATGTAGACTGTACAGTTCTTCATCTGTATATTCTCTCCCATCTTAAAGCTTCGTTGTAAAGAGACACTCAACATGTCTGGACTAGGTACTCAACCAACACTGTCCTTCTAAAGAGATCCCCGGCAAGCTCACCCACCGGCGTCATCACCTACTTATCCGGTGGGTGTCTGGGGCCCCACATTTGCAGCAACATCAAGCTAGTATACGCTTAGGTGCCGTGCTTGCTGGCCTATCTTCAGCGGTCATTCGCTAGAAACAGACCTGGAAAGCTGCGACATTGAACCTTCTTGATCTTCAATCATTCGCGCACCTGGATGGAACTTGCAATTTCCGCTTATCGCTCGCTCGCAATCATCTCTTTCTCGCTCCCTACAATCTTCCAACTTTTCCATTTCCCCTCCTTCTTTCGTCGAGGAACCTCGACAACCCCTCCGGATCCCTAACAGTCTGTCGCCATTCACGCCTCTTCCAAGACCGACACGCGCCATCAAGTAGCTGTCTGCTTGTCTCTCTTTTTGGATACCCATTTGCTATTCATCGCGCCTGCTCCCCACACACGGCACTCGGGCGGAGGACGGCTTCGCAATCACACCTCATCTCGGTCCTCGCCATCCCGAATAACGATTCCCCTTACATTAGCGCGACCCCGCCTATCGGCTGACGACATCATCATCAGGCGACGACAAAAACAACAACAACAACAACAACGACGACGGTCTCTCTCTTTCTCGTCTCTTCCACCCCGACCACTACAACACCGAACCAAGTTTACTTCTCCCACAGTTGACATTGAGCCACCATTAATTGCTCCCGATCCGTCCGCGGGACAACGCTCCCTTGGGGGTATTCGATGCCATCTCCCTAACCACGTCGATCCTCGCTAAACTTCGCCTGTCACATAGCCTCGCCGCACGAGCTCCTATCACATACACACACACACACACACACACACACATATATATATATATATATATATATATATACCTTTGAGGTACCCGCGAGTAGTAGCAGTCGAGATAGATGGCCCCGACAATGTTATCACGACTACATCTCCGACGACCACCTTCCACGCCGTCATCTCCCGTGCCCGGCCAAGTGAGCTCCTTGGACCTGGATACAGCATCGCAGCCTCCGACAGCTCCCGATGGCCGACCACAGCCAACCAGATCAGCTAGCTCCTCCCACCTTCCATCCACCCTCTCGACAACCCCAAAACCGATACCGAATATCAGCGACAATGGAGGCATCAGTGCAGCAGCTTCAGTTAGTGGAATGCCTCTACAGATGTATCAGTCTGCCGGAAGTTCGGCCTCCAGCCAACCTTCGGAAAGTCACAAGTCGAGAACAAGGCAGGCCCCGCCGCCCATCGACACTACCGCCGCTACTCGGGCGTCCTTGGCTACGAGACTGAGTAAGATCTCGTCCTTCGTGACCCCAACCGACCTCAATAGCAGTGGCCCTTTTGGCAAACGTCCGACGGGGAAGCGCATGGCTAGCGAGCCAGCCACCAAAGCCATCACCACCCCGGAATCCGCAAAATCCAAAAAGTCTTTGCCTTTCCTCAAGAAACACTCGGTATCCAATTTGTGGATGAGGAGGAAGACTGCGCAAAACCCACCAGATCTGCCACCTCTGTCCTCCTCGGCTGAGCCTACTTATGACCCACGTATCCGGGGCACAAAGGTCCACGACTTCAGTGCTCCTAGACCCAAGCGGACGACGTCGCAGAAGGAGGCTGCTGTCAGTCCTGTTAAGGAGTCTCCAAGTAACGATGCTACGTCAATCTCACATGCAGCGGAAGCGAGTACAGGTAGCACATTCGCGGGCACTTCACAAATTCTGACTCCTGGTCTCGATGACGTTCCCTTTTTCCCTTCATCGGGGGTGCAGGTCGTGGGACCGACCAGGGGCAACAGTGATGCGAGATCAATACCAGTAGATAGCTTACCATCACCGTCTCTTGCCAACTCTTCGCCGGTTGAACAGGATGCGCGGCCGTCAGTACAGCTCAGGGATGATCCCGTTCCCGCACAGGATCCTTCGTCATCGGTCGCATCTCAGGACACTCTGACTGTGACCAGACCCGGCCCCAACGCCAACGCTTCAGTCCGAACCGCGACATCACGCAACGTATCCAGGCGATCTATTCGAGACTCTGCCTTGTTCGGCCTTCCGAAACACATGAAGAGCACATCGTCTCGGTTCAGTTTCGACATGATGGGCTCAGCCGATGAGGAGAAGGCGTTGGAAGAACGACATCGACAGCGTCAGCGAGAGAAGGGGGGCGGCGCCGCAAGTGCGCTAAGGCAAGAACACGATTCCAGATTTGATGACCTGGAAGAGGAAGATTTCGACTATGACGCCATGATGGACGACGACGGCCTAGAAGAGCCGATCCCCGGTGTTAATGCGGATTACGAGGATGACTACATGGAGGAACCAATTCCGGGGGCTAACGCGGACTACGATGATCTAGAGGAGCCGATTCCGGGCCTCAATGCTGGTTATGAAGAGCTTTCTGGGGAAAGTCAAGGCAACGAGCATGATACGGATTCAGACCCAGACAATGATCAAGAGAACTTTGCTGGGTTTGAGTTTCAGCGATCAAACAAAGGCTCCGGCCCCATCACCCCCCGTAGCCCTCTCATTGCTTCAACGCCCAGCAATGAGACCGACCAGCCCGTCGCTTCATCCGTAACGGAGAACAGTACTCCCGATTTACCAAAATGGGCCACGATGCCTGACCAGGCGGCTCCCGCACCAGCCATTCCAGTACCACAGCAGTCTTCAAGCCCCGAAACTGCTCATGCACGAATCACGGCAGAGCCTGTCCCTATCGGGCTGCCACCGACCAACCCCACCCGCAGAGAGGATGATGGCGACATCTATTTTGACAACGGCTTGGCAGATGAACTAGACTTTCAGGGCGATGGTACCCATTTCGACGAATCCCTCTTTGATCTCGACGACACCGATCAATATGGCCGCCCCATCCCCGGTGCTTTTGCTCGGGCAGCTGAGCAGGCGCGGGCTCGGCAGCTGGCCCAACTTGCAGAGTCCAACGCCGCAGCTGCCCCTGGTGTTGACCCAGCGCAGTCGACGGCTTCTGGCTCCATGAATACCCTTGCGACTGGAGAAGACCCTTCTTCCACCCAGCTCCCTCAGATGCCTACCCAAGCCATGCAACAAATGTCGATATCTGGCCTTGATCTGGCATACCAGGCGGCCCTGGCCGAAGCGGCACAAAGAGCAGCAGAATCTGGCAAGTTCCAGAGAAGTTCGTCACCTGACATACCCGAAGAGCCTACTGTCATGTCACCCACCGATTCGGCCCAGTCGCACGACTTCGTACAACGAAACGAACTGGACGACTACGAAAACGATGATGATGGCTTTGGCGACGGCTTAGACGATTACGACTTTGACGATGAGGCCATCATTGCTGAAGCGAACGCTAGTGCACTAGCGAACGACTCTGATGGTTGGTACGGTCAAGAATTCGGCTTCTACTCTGCTCCCTTGGCCCAATCAGGCCATGGCTACGGCAGTTCATCCTCTAGTCGCAATTCCCCGGACTCAGAGGACCCCTTCCAGTATTCTTATGGTGGCTACTTCGGCCCTGTAGGCGAGGGCGTCTTCCGGTCCAAGAGTGGCCGTGTCGTATGTCGCGAACCTACTCTGACACCCATCACGGAAACGTCCGAGTACTCTAACCGTAACTCCATCATGAGTCTCAACCTTCCGCCATCCATTGATGCTCGTAACTCGGCATCTCTGCAGAGTCCTACCCTCGCTCAACTGGCCCTCATGGACGATGACGAGTTTGATTCGATTAACAAGCTGCGCAGAAAAACGTGGGCAGGCTCTCAAGCTAGTCTTATGAACTCCCGGGAGGGAAGTCCCAGGGCAGAAAGGGCGTCGTATCTCATTGACTCGACTGGTTCGCCGTTCGCTGCCACGGCTGGCGGCCATTTTGGGGCGGGCCTTGGTACATATGATCATGCTAAGAGAAGTTCCTACTCGATGTTGAATCCTTCGCAGCCAGAAGGTGAGGGAAGATCGGTCAGTCCCACGCTTACGAACAAGATTCAAGCGGTGACCATGCCGATTGGTCCTGTTCCGGGGTTTGTCCCACCCAAAGACATGGGGCTTCCCCAGCAACAACCTTCGCTTCTCGGCCCGCCTGTTATGATGCCTACGTCAGCACCGCAACAGTTCGCGGTGGAAACAGGACTAAAAAGTGGACAAGGCTATCGTCCGGTTGAGGAAAATGACGAAGCCTTGGGGGTGGTGTCGGGCAGTTCACAGAAGCCGCTTCAAGAAGTTGCTGGAGTCAATGGCGGAATAACATACGATTCATTGGGAAGAAGGACATCTGTTGTTAAAGGTGTCGAACAACAGGAGCAAAAGAAGAAGGTGGTAGGTTGGGCATAATTTGGATATGTCCTTGTTGTTGAGAAGTTGAATCATTTGCATATATACCTACCTTACTACTTGTTGGATACCATAGGGGACATATTTCAGTGTTAGTGACATATTGGATACAGTCCGTTTTTTCTGTCATGCGTTGTCCTCGCCGTTGCTCTGGTAGTGTCGGGGAAAATGTCACATCAAACTGGGTCACATGTCAATTCATAAAGGCATCACAAACTTCTCACAAGGAACACGATATGGCTTTGAACAAAACAGCAACATTCCATATTAACAGATCTAGCAAGGTGTCGACCATCAACAACCAACATCCCATATTACAACAAGATTCCCCCACTGATTTACCCCAAAACAGCAACAAATCCAAAACAAAAACAACAAGCTGAGTGCCGAGGACCCTAACAAAGTCGACCCACCCATTTACTTACCGTACCAGACAACTTACAGCACCACAACCACAGCCACAACCGGCCCCAAACACCAACAAAACCATCAACAACCTAACGGAACCCAAGATGAACCCTCGCCCTCCTCTGCACCTCCTCCCGAATCAACACCACCTTCATCCTACACTTGATACTCTCCCGATCCAAACCAGGCCACATCTCCCTTCCGCGAGCGATATCCGCCTCCGTGACGACCACAGTAGGGGGCTCAGACGGGTAAGTATTTCTTCCATTGCCACCACCACCATTACCACCACCGTTATTGCCACCATGCTGCTGATTGCTGCTGCTGCTGCTGCTGCGGGGAGGGGGTTGTTGTTGTTGTTGGCGCCGGTTAGAATCACGCCTCATATCGATCACAAGCGTGCTATCAGTTGAGAAAGTGGATCCCCCACCAGCGTCGGAATCAGCGTAGGGAAGTAATTGCGGGCCGCCCTGGTTTTGAGACTGAGTAGTCGAGGCGAGGGAAACTACCGTGGGGGCATGTGAGCCACCTTGGGCATGGAGCAGGGATAGTTCTCGCGCGGATAAGTCACGACCGCGACCGCGGGGGTGGCTGCTGCGATTCATGCCGCCCGAAGAAGAAGAAGCTCCAACTTGACTGAGGGAGTCATCGGGGCGGACGGTGGAAGCGTGGCTGGCACGGCTGGCGCGGGAGTTGGTGGATACCACGGAACCGACTTGGCTGCTGGAGTCGGAAGGGTCGACGTCACGGAGGGAGTGGTATGAGCCTTGGTGGGACTGGCGAGAGGCACGGCTGCTGATTTGGCTGGCGGGGTAGTCGATGCCTAGTTGGCCTTGTGAGTTCACGTATGTAGGACGGATGGTGGACTGGGAGGAGGCGGTCGAGGGCGCCACGGAGCCGACGGTGGAGCCGGGGCCGCGGCCGGAGTTTATGTAGTACTCGACCGGGTGGGTGTAGCCGGCGCTGCTGTAGTAGGATTCGGGCATTTTGGGCGAGAGTGTTTGGTGGAGTGGTTTTCTAAGAAGGGTCGCAGATGAAGTGAGTTGTTGTTGTTGTCGTTGTTCTTTGCTGGTTGTTGCTGCTGCTGTTGTTGCTGGCTGTTGACTTTTTCGGTTTGAACTTTTCGGAAACGAGTCGGTCCACGACCAGATTTATACCTCATTCCATCTCCTCCTCGAGACCTCTCGATCCTTCGTCTCGTCCCCTTGACAATGGAATTCTTCACCGATCTTCTTTCTTGCCAGCGCAGCGATATGGATGGATGGATGGAACAGACTCGCTGTTCACTCCCTGAACTTTGCCAGAAGTAATCGAAACAATGGGCTTCTTCACAGTTCTCTTTCGCACACAACCGTCATGCAAGGAACACACTCGGTATCTCTTTTGTGGACTCCTTGGTTCTCGGTAAATCTTCGTCGGGTAGATGGTCAAAGTCACAGACAATGCGTTTTTTTTTTATCCCGTATTCATTACCAGGTACACCAGGTATGCATTGTTTTTCTTGCTCAGATGCTCAGAAAAAGGGGGCCGGGCAGGATGGATCTGTTCACAAGACACACAAAGGCAGCTTAATTCTGCCAAGTGTGTCCAATTGTTTCCTTTACAAGGCCATTGTCTCTCTCTCTCTCACCCGGCACCGGCTCGGCAGCTTCGCAAGATTCCTCTTTTTTTCTTTGTTGACTGACTGACGGATTTCCTCTTTTGATCTGAATGTCCCTGGAAATTGAATGCTTGGCCGCCTTGGCTTTGGACCCTAACCATGCCTCTACATAGAGGTATCGTTGTCTCTTCCATCTTTCAGGATTTTTTCGACTGAGCACTCCCAAGATTAAACGGCCAACCATCCTTTTGAGGACAAGGGCTGAAGATGACAGTAGGTATGTAATGGGGACTTGTCGTGGTCGAGCGGCAGGCCAGATCACCTTTAGGCTACCTGCCTAGAGGTAGGAAATTGATTACTAGTTTATGTCCTGGCTAGTGCATCGACTTATTCATGTTGGGTTCTTTCGGGATTTCTTTCTGTTTGGATTTTTTTCTGAACTCGATACTGCTTCATGGCATTCTTTCCTCCATGAAGTTTCCATCCATCCCTGGTACATACGTCCCAAGAAGCACTCGTGTTCACTCAGTGTGGAAAGCGTACAGGCTCCTAGCAGATGACCATCAATGATGGCCCTAGTGATCAGAGTTCAAGAGGTCGGACTCCTTCATACAAGCAGACAGCGTTGGATGCTCCTCTCTACCATCGTGAGGCGAATGAGGACTCGTGGTTCTCTGCCCGAATCAGGGAAATGCTTAAAAAAGAGAGATATGTGATTCTCCCTCAGATGCCTGCGGATAGGAAGCACTGTTGTCGGGTTTACCTAGTTAGCGCCTTCATCCTTCGGCGAGAAACACGAGATAAAGCAAGATCATCCTATGTCACCATTCTATCTCTTGTGTTTTTGTGGGCTTACTCACCTTCCGCTACTTCCCTCTGATGGTGATGCAATTTGATTTTCCCGGGTTTTAGTCCGATCAGGACACCACTTTGAACATCTGGCTTGGAGAGTAACCGATCACGTACAAGAGATTGTCGATGAATGTAGGGCTGGAGACAGGGGTATGGGAACAATGTGTTTGGGTGGATGGTACAGGCATGGTGTTTTTTATATTGAGCTTCATGCTTCGTACCGGTACATGGGTAGGGGTACCTACCTGCCTTGCCACAACGTAGTCTGGACTGGTCTAATCATGTTGAATCATATCGCTTTTCTCCCATTCTTCTGCATGTTGTCCTTAATCCCACTTTGCTCGTTCGTTTCATTTTAACTAGCGGAAAGCATGCGTACTAGGCGAGTCTTGGCAGGAACCGTACCTAGGCTCGAAGACACCATCGTACAAGGCGGGCTGGCCCGCAAACACTACCTTATTTCAACCCTTGTCGTTATGTTTCATCCTGTGAAAAGGTGCCTCTATATTGCCGGCGGTCATGGGCAAACACGGACGCGGTTCGGATGGAAAGCGGAAGCATACCTACACCAACAACGCAAGAAACCGGGAATTCGGCATGCCTTGAACTGTGTGAGGGTTGCAAAAGCTGTGAAGTATGGTAGTATCTATATAAACCTAGGTCCCCCTCGCCATCGATCGAGTCAATTGCTTCTTCACCTCCCTCACCCACGCACTCTCTCAATCTCCTAATTTCCGGCAAAGAGTTCTTTCCCACGACCACTTGCGCGCAACAACTCTTTTCTCTCAACCCTCAATTCACAACAGCAACCATGCGTTCCCCCACTTGTACCAGCTCCCTCGCCTCCCTGGCCATTTTCATGGTAAGTCTCTCTCCCCCCTTCTCTCCCCACAACCTCACCATCTAACGTCCCCCCTCACAGTCCTCCCTCACTCTCATCCTCCCCGCGGTCCACGCCATCCCGACCCTGGACCTCCTCGGTCTCGACGACCTCCTCGGTTTCGACGACGATCTCGGTCTCGACGACGACCCGACTCTCAACGCTACCGCCCTCCAAATCCTCACTCCTCCCGAACCCCTCACCGTCCTTCCCCCCGACGACACAATCACCATCACCTCCAACTCCAGCACCATGAGCACCCTGAGCATCGGCACCACCGGCCCCTGGATTGCCGGCTGCATCCAAGTCGACAACATCGGCACCGGCAGCCCTGCCTCCTCCAAGCACATCCGAGAGGGCATCAAGTACCTGCGTGGCGTCCCCGGTCAGCCACAGATCACCCACTACGGGTGCTCGCAGGTGAGCTGCAGCTACAAGAGCGCCATCTTTTGGTGTAACGAGGAGCTGGGGTGGGGGTTGCGATTGAACAGTTTTGCGGATATTGCGGATGGGGCGCAGGCGATCATGGACAGGTGCGGCAAGGGGAAGGACGTGATGGGGAAGTCGACGACGGGGTGGGCGCCGGATCAGCAGAAGGGGCAGCAGTGGAGTGTTGTTGTTACGGGAGGGGATTGTTGAGGTATCAGCCGGTGGGTGGGTGAGTGGATGGTTTTGGGAAGGGTGAGTGGGATTCTAAAATGGGGATGGGGATGGAAGCTGAAGAAAGGAAAGGGGGATGGGTGGTGAATGTTGATGCTGCCCTCGGGCGTTCCTAGGAGGAATTCGTGATGGAAAAAGGAAACTGGCGTGGTTTGAGATAGAGGAAGGATGTTTCGATGGGAGAACAATAATAGAGTCTCATGGTTTTAGCCACTGAATGAGGAAGAAGCCGAAGGATAGGCAATAACAAGTACCATGAAGTAATACGATCAAAGATCCAAATGCCAGAACCTCAACCCACTACCTCAAGCACACGTATTACCCTTGACAAGAACTGACCATCCACCCGCAAAGAATACAAGATCAGCAAGCTGTGTCTCCCACATACCCTTCTCATCTCCTCAGTTAACCAAAGGATGACACTTATCAAGGTCACCAAAGGCTTCGATATATGCACCTCGATCCAAAAGCAATTACACCACGGTCATTTTTTGGATTTAGATGGCGCGCCCGAGCCACTTATCAAGAACTGTTTGTCCTTTCTGGTAGGTTCGTAGAATGACATGTCTTCCCCGACAATGGACTGTACGTTTCGTCGCTTGTCGCGCTGCTCGGGTAACGACGACGCACTGCATCCATGACCGTACCGTTGTATCCGCCGAAGTGAATACGCTCGCGGACTCAACATGTACTTGGTGTGTAGAGAATGCGGGATTTGCCATTGTGTGTCAGCATGCATCTGAGAAACGATTGGAGCACAGAGGGCTCGACCTGAGGGTTTGCTGGGATAAGTTTGGTGCTGTTTGGTGAAAGTACCTTTACACAACGTCTCCATAGAAAGAGACGAATAAGCAATATAGACATAGGCGCTGTGTGCAGCCTTCATTTCTGACATTTTCGAGTGACCGTATGGCTCCAACAATGAGGCGCAGGGCTTTGCGAACGGTTGAATTCTCTGTCGGTCTGCTTAGGCGCTTCTCATATGCATCCTTTACAGACGTTGGCAACGTCGTGAAAATATGTTCAATGCCGTCCGCCGTCTTTTTTCAAGATTGAAATCGTTCATCGTCGACAAGCAGGGCAACCCAAAGGCACGTGCAGTGTGCAGTCTTGGACAGCATATCGTGTGTTTATTCCTCAGATCAACGTGGAAGACGTTTTCTTTAGCAAACTGTCCCAACACTGTTCGATGGCAAGGATGACCTCTTACTGATATCATGGCACTGATCTTCGCCCGTAATTCGCACATATGACGGAACGACGTTTTCCAGGGAAGCAAACTGGGAGATGATTTTATAAAGGCCGGTTCTGAAGAGGAATTTGGTGTTAACAAACTTTGCCATGTTCTGATGAAGATCTGGGACCAGGGACTTTATAGGTCAGAGGTACCACATCCATCGAGCGCGTCCATGACAATTACCTTTATTGGCGCCAGCTTCAGGGTCGCGTACTGCCTGCCAAAAGATGGTCCAGAGCCACGATGGGATATTGACAAGCCCCTGAGAATCTCATAAGAGTGGATCCATGGCATACTTTTTGAGCAATATCGGTGTGTTGAAGAAGAGATGACGAAGTATAGTGTTTGAGACATTCTGGTTCATCGGGGTTCTTTGAGGAAGAAGTAGCGAATAGTATTACGCAGTAGGAGGGGTCCGGAACTTTGTTCCATCCACTGGCAAAAGCTTCGCTGTCGATCAAAACCGACCGTCTGCCACTAGTCAAGGGGTATGCAGGTAAGCCCGCTAACCATTCAGCTTAGTGCGGGCGATTTTAGCGCGTAGGGGTTTTGGTACATAGCTACACGAACTCTACTCTTTGGTCACTTTGTAGGTGTCCGTGTTTGTTGAACGTTGCTGTTGCAGGCACTCGATTTCTTTATACGACATTTCTCGCTTGTCCCTTCGCTGTGCTTCGGCTTGCTGGAACTTGTAGTGCTCAGTGAAGGCGATCAGAATTTCCTATCCAACCTGCAACTGTTTCTCGGTCGTGTTGACGATCTTTTGTTGTGGTGTTCTTGGCTTCGAGAAGCAGAGTAGAAGCGGTGACCAGCTTTACTCGTCTGGGCTAGAGGCGTTTCTAGCCCAGACAAGTAGTTCTAGGCCTTGGTTCTGTGGAGCTTTTGCCTTCTCATTGTTGGCCCGCAACTCCTTCCACGTTTTCAGCTTGAAGGTCTCCTTAACGAACGTCTTGGCAGTATGTTCATAACCCCGAAGAACTGTACGGCTCTGCACCTTTGGTAAGACATTGTAGATTATCTCAAAATACACCTCCATCACCACCTCTAGATGCAAATTCAAGGGGTTGCCCCGTAGGGGAAACAGCGGTTCGAGAGCGGAGTAGTACTGCATCTTGTGAATGGTATATGTGAAGCCTTCGCGGTTAGCTTCTTCAGCTTCGAACTGGTTGGTCAAAAGTGGGAGGATCAGACATACGGCGACCCAGGCTACTGATGTTTCGGAGAACGTGCTCACGGCTTGGTAGCGAATCCTTTGATCGTACGCAGACACTATACCGTTCCTCCCATGACATTGCCTGTGCATCCTATCACCCTCTCTTCGGTTGTCCCCAGCCGGCTGGGGTATTGAACATCGAGGTAATAGACAACCCAAGTCAAGTGTAGTCGTAAATGCCCCTGGATACTAGATCCGTCCCTTGATGGTAAACATCCTTGATGGACGCAATCGTCAAAGAACAGACAGTCTGAGTCGACAAAATAAAGCAACTCATGGAAGTCCACCTCACATAACGGTCGTCAATTGTCGCTTTTCTCCTATCGAACCATTGCTGTTTACAGGCTCCTTTCTGTCTTTGGCGTTTTCCCAATGTCGAATTGTTGATCCACGTGTCGCCGTGCTCCTCTAGCAGGCCAATAATCAACCCATTTAGAGCGAGAGGTTGACTCTCGACAGCCTCTCGGCTTTTGGGCAGATTATTTTATCATCAGCTAGTCAATCAGTCTGATCTCGGATACTTTAGCACCTGTGATGGTGAGATGTATGTGCCCCTATTCACCGAAGAACCTTGGCAGGCTTAGGTGTCGGCAACAATAACAGGCGCCGTACCCGAGGAGTTCTTGTTGCCAATTTTTCTGTTGAAAAAGCCTTGAGGCGGTGTAAGAAGTCCTGCGCGCGAGGGGTGCTCAGCGGCTTTCCGTCGAGCACACTCCTGGTGAAGTGGTCATTTCCAGGAGTTTGAATCTCCAGATTGTAACAGAGAAAATTGAGTAGTATGTATGAGAAAAGACTGGCAATGTAGTGCCAGATGAGCAGAGGGTATGGGTTAAAGTAGCGTTGGCATTTACCAGGAGTGGGGTTTCAAATGTGAGCGAGTGCTTCGAGATGTGGAAGGTAGGTAGGTACCTGCTCGGTCCAGGCCAAGGTGACACTCCTGCTGAAGCGCATCATGGGACGCAGCCGACTGATTGGATCAACGAGGAAGGATTCTATCAACCTCTGGTAGACAATTATTGCATGCATTGCCACCAGACGCTGCTCATCTTCTCGGAAGAAGTCGCACTGTATCTGACAGTCATCTCCGATTCTGAAATAACATCGGATCCCCAACTCTCCGTACGGGCTTCGCCTGGGTAGATGTAGATGGCGCTCACTGTTGTATGAGGACCTGCGTTGTTCTGGCTGCCTCCTATATCGTCACCGCTCGAGTGCACCTCAGAAGTTGGGGATGACGGCGATGAAGTCTCAATGAGCCGAAAGATCTCCTTGTATCCCGTGGACACAAAACCCAAGCGCGCGAATGTCTTCTTTCCCGCAGGCGTTGCCGTGAGTGCTGTTGATCAAGGAACCAATCCCGTCAGTCTTGATATTTCCAACCCAGTCAAAGCAACAGAGCCTTCGAGTTACTCACCAGAGAATCCCAAAACATCCCACCTCCTCTCCGCCGCCTCAGCATTGAATGCCTTGACCCTCCTCTGGATCTCTGCCAATGCCATGTCCGCAAATCGCATGCTGCCATACTCACAGCCTCCCACTGTCACCGTTGCAGGCTGCGCACCAGTCTTCTGCGAGGCGTCTCCGGCGTCCCATGCAGTGAATCGTTCGATGTGGAACACATGCAATCCGACCTCCACAGGCGCCTGCAGTTGCATCTCACTCTCCATCTCCGTGCTGCTTCCACCACCACCGCCAACACCCGCGAACATCTCTCCAGCATCAATGTCCACCTCCTTGATCTTGCCCACCAGTAAGTCCTCCCAATACTTCTTCACAAGAGGAAGGACAATGATGACGCCCAGTGGAATTTCCGAGCCATCATTGCTGGCACTGAAGCAGACTGATAACTCGGGACAGGCGTCTCTCCAACTTTGTAGGCGCTCATAGGTCAACGGAGCCGGGTACATTTCTTGGTCGGAAGCGTAGATGGTGTGGAGGAGGGCGTCGCTGATTCGACTGGTGTGGATGAGGCTGGATATGGTCATTGTGGCAGAGGGTGTCGAGGGGTGACAGGATTCAAGCGAGAGTGACCGCGGAAATGTGGAATAAACCGAAGTTGTGGAAGACTGTGGGCGACAATGACGACAAAGGTGTCCGTTGAGGATGTCCTTTTTGGCCTCTGGTGCAACGGAGTGCTGCGGTGTGACTGGTGGAAGTTAGAAATCCCAGAGTTCGACTGAAGTCCAGCAATTTGAATTCGATCTTCACTAAAAGGAGGAAAGAACTCGGCCGGCGATTAACGAGTGAACGGAGGAAGCTAGATACACAAGGAAGGAATGACAATGACAACTTGAGTGAAGAAATTGCACCCGTTATGACTCGCGAGAGGTACACGAGAAGTACTCAGTATGCCAGTCAGCGGAGATGGTGGAAGCTATCGAGTTTACGCAGTTTTAAGATGAGAATTTTTTCTAGCAGCCCAATAAAATTGAAACATCACAGCAGCCGATGAAACCTCAAGCCACACAGCTCTGGAGGCATCAAAGACATACAGAAACTACATTCCTTTGAAAGGTCATTGTACAGAAACTTGATCATCACAAGCCACAAAGGCAAAAAAGAAAGAGAAACGAGAGATACACGAAAGCGAAAGATGCAAAAAAGATGATGTTGTCCTTGAAGGAACATCGGGAATTGAGCCCGACGTGGGGGTCGAACCCACAACCTTGAGATTAAGAGTCTCACGCTCTACCGATTGAGCTAGCCGGGCAGCGCAAGCTGCCATTGGTTGATAGTTTGCATCAAAACTTTACACTATATTTGAATGTAGGTGCCACACAGCCCAAATTTCTCACTTGAAGTGAGAAACACCACCGCACAAAGGCAGCCACTCTTCGTTTTGATCGTCCAAAACCATCCACTATGTCTAGAGTCTTCTGACATTTTCATTCAATGATATAAGACGTCCTCATAAATTTGAGTTTTTCTTCCAAATGCAGGGCATGTAATGGTAGCCGCACATCACCAATCCACATCCCCGGACGGAACACAGAGCGCGCCCATCCAGCCCCCTGCAAGGCTTACTATGTACACTAGATTTCCAGAGGCCATCTATTTTCCGATAAGCGATCCGACGCCTCGGGATTTTGTCATTACCATGACAGCCATGACAGGAAGGGATCTACACGCTAACCCGATGCTGAAGTGAAGCACGACATGAACATCACGCAGGTCCCACATCCAAAGAGGCTAACTACATTCGCCGTAATATGCATACCGCTTTTTGCATATGTCGTGTTGGGTCCATTGGGCTTCAAGTTGCTGCCATCAAGGTGCGGCGGTCACGGCAGGAAGCAACTCAAAAAGAAAACTCATCATCCACGAAGCGGATCTGAATGTTTTAGAGTTGAGAGTGTGTCAATCACCAGACCTTGAGCTTAGGTGGTGACAAGTTGCCATCAAGCGGCAGAAAGTTGAAAAAGTTCATCATCATCCATGAAAGGAAAGGAACTCAAAGTTTTAGGGTTAAGAGAGTGTATTAATCACCAGGCCTTAGTGATACATAGCTATGTGTAAAAGAAAAAGGAAAATAGTAAAGCAGATCTTAACAGGAAGAGACACGCATTGTAGATATCGATCCAATCCATCAACTCATCACCTTCATCCCCCAAAACCAAATCCCAAGATTATCGGCTTCTGTTGCGTCCAGACATGCTTGTGTAGCAGCTCGTTGTGCTGCCAGTCCAGCAGAAGGGGCTCCTTGCTGCAGAAGGGGTGCTGGACTGGCAGCAGCGTTGAGAAGGCATTGCCTAGACTTTGCGCTGTTGCCGCGTAAAGACTTAGGCAACGCAGTTGGCGGCGTTGATGATGAGGAAAGAGTTGCCGGTCTTTTTTCGTCGGCACAAAAGCGAAGGTTAGCAAGGGGAACTGTTGCTGAATAGAATGCGCTGTAGTGTGGAGTGAGAAGGAGGAAAAACTTACGTTGGTAACATCGTCCTTGCAGCACTTGACGCTGGCACCACATTGGGAGCCGATGACACCGACAACGCAGCCGAGCGAGGCGCTGAGGTCGACGGGGATGAGGTTGAGGAGACCAGGGGAGCCGGCGGGGCCGGACATAGACTGGCAGCAGTAAGGCTTGTAGTCGTCGATGGAGCAGGTGTTGGGGCCGATGGTAGTGGCGCGGGGAACAACCTCAGCCGGGGCCGCAGCGGCGGTCATGGCAACGGCGAGGATGGTGAAGACGGTGGTGAACTGCATTTTGGCGGTTGGGGGTTTGCTGAAAGAAGCTGGGAGTTGGTTTTGAAGGTGGTTTGGAAGGTGAGTTGGAAGGTTGAGAAGATGTTGTGAAGTGAAGATGTTGATGCTGATGATGAGAAGATTAGAAGCTCTGAGGTGGACGAGAGACGAGGTTTATATACACTTTTGGACCTCAATCCAAACGCTGTGTTTGAAGACATCTTCCATCAAACTTGGCCAAGTTCTCCGGTATTCCTGCTTCTCCTTCCTCCTATCCGCCGTGGCTTGGTGTTGTTGATTCATCGACACTCGTCATTTCCAGATCTGGCATCCGGCCTGGCACTCATCCGGACCCAATCGACCCAGGCTCTTGGAGCTGACGATCAAGAATTGTGACAACGAGATCATGCTTTGGACTCCCAATGGGGAAAAGCAACGAGTATGCGGCGCAAACCTCCATTAGCTTGTTTGGAAATCTGGCCACGATAGCCGACATCGTGGCTCGGAATCTGGAAAGAGCAATGACGATCCTTTCACTAGAGTACCTGATGCTGCCAGATGTCAGACATGAGGAACACCAAGTCCGGACCATATCTAGATTCAGCACTGTTCTGAACTAGTGTACACGCTTAGAAGTGCGCCAATGACGAACGTGGCTCCTCCCAGGAACGGGAAAGGACATGGAGCCTCATCAGTATTTGCATTGATACAGGCAAGTGAAATCTCAGCTAAGGGATTGTCGGAATTGGGTACGAGTCTCGTAGGAAGTAATGCAACCCAGTATCTAGAGATCTGAGCCGCCAGACGCAGGGAGGTTGCAAGGTACCTGTAGATTGATGGCACGATAGCACCCATTTCCAGCGGGAATACAGCTTCCAAGTCCATTGGAGTCTGGACTCTGGGGCACCAGAGAGTAGACATCTAGCAAGCTGGGTTGCGATCTTCATGGTAATCTTGAACATCAGTAGATGCCAAGGCGATAATGGGGGACCAGATGTTTGCTGGCAGCCCGATACCGTACCTTTGACTCGGGAAGTATCTTTACCGACGGACAAGGGGTTGGGAAATGCATGGTCACATAGCAACCACGAGACTCGGTTGCCAAGTGCAAGTGAAAGACATCAAACCACGACCAACGGTGTTAACCCCGGCGGTGAGATTCGCGAGATGGCGACCTGCAGCTCGGAAAAGTAGCCAATGGTCAACATGCCAGCATCATCCTACTATCCAAGTGTTGAACATAACGGGTTCGGGCTGGAATGGACCCGAGGAGCCGCACATCATTTTCCCACCCGCGAATACTGTGTAGAAGGGTGAACATGCAGAAAGCAAGAACTACCTACTGAGTTGTACAATGGCAAGTGCAGTTATTCGGGCAAAGATCGAAGCTACTGTCGGCGCACGCTTAGCGTGAAACTTTTGTCTTTGAAACTGTTTCACTTGATTAATACTGACAGACTGGTAACGAATTTGCGGGTTTATGAGTATGGCCGGAGGAAACTTCCGGCAGGAGAAAAGGTCCAGTCGGTTACAAGGATGGCTTAGCTTGCACGCGATGATTTACGATGACAGGTGGCATTAGCTGCATTACCCCATATTTACTTGTGGGGATGCGGTTAAGGTTTAATGCCACCAGAGGTGTACACCGTTGCATGGATATGCCTAAGCGCTAGTAGTTCTACAGAAAATAAGATTGATACAGTAGCCAAAATGCTTGTTTCTTGTAAACACTGCCACCCGACCTTTAAGATGCCCGGCCACCTCCAGAGATCGCCCAGTTCACGAGGTGCCCTTTTACACCTCTGCCAGCATCAGACTGTTAGCGCGATGATTTTCAAGTGGCAATAACTCTAATGTTCGCACAGAAAATGGCTGGTTTGACTACATCTCATCCCCTGAATACTAGGTGGTGATACCACACTAACGTCAGTCTTACGAAGTCATACGTACCATATGTTCAATCTTCTTATCTACCCTAATTCCTATTTCAACCTCCTCCTTGAATTCGTTGATGAAACTCATTCAGAAAAGTGCCTGGTCCGTCTCCGTTTGGAGTCTGAGCATGCAAAGCGTGATAGTATGGATGAAAATGGAATACAGAAGCACACTGACATCACAGCAATGAGAGCCTCAGACAATACCTGGTAGGTACGTAACGGTTTTAACGTTTTCGGGATCGGGTAACGCAACCGTTCGTGTTTTCAGCCGCTCCAGTTCCAGCCACGGAACTGCAGCGTACCGCCTCTTGGTTGCGCACCCGGATGGGCGAAGAGGAATTCCCCCGTGCCCATTCGTCAGGAGCAATGTTTCCACCCGTGGATGACAGCAGCCGTCGCAGCTGCCAATGTCACGGAACTGCATAACGGTGTAACTCTCGTACCTTGATTGCCTGGCCTCCTATATTCCACGCGCCCGGGTCAAGTTGTCCTTCATCAGATCCGTCTTCACTACTTTTTCTCTTGACAATGTCTTTGCTCAAAAGAGAAGGCATCCCCAGATTTACGTGACCAGGGGCATCCGATCACAAGCTGCACCCCCCTGTAGTGTACATAGTAGCCAGGACCACGGACAAATGGTCCGGCACGGAGCTAACAGTGTCCATGTCGCTGGTGCAACCAATTATAATGGCCCTCTCCTCTTTTCTTTTTTTCTTCAATCGTCTGATCTCCCATTCTCCATGTGGACAAGATCAACCTTGATCGATCTGTTGGCAAGAGATCGATCTCGATCTTGGATGCGACCTCGAATTGACACCGTGTTTGCCTAGACCCTTCTTGGCCTAATGCTTGGAACACATCCATCTCTTATTCCCAGCAGAAAATGTTCGTCCATAAATTGCATAACTTTATGCACTCTCTCAATAAGGCGGTCTATAGAGCCAAGGATCGACGACGCAAAACCGGACATACAGTCCTGAAAATGGCAACCAACCAATCCGGGGGGGCGTCCTGTGAAACGTGCCAAACCTCCAAAAGTCATACGACGGTGCATACAATTATGATCGTCAGGGTCGCACGGCATTCAGACAGTATCCGATTGCGCCGTTTGTCCTCTCAGCGGGACGCACCAAACAGCAACAACACTTTACACTACTGTGTAGAAGTCTGATGCAGACGCACGCCACGAATCCGTTTCTGTCTAGGTCGTTCATGATCATAGCCCTTTACGGCTTGTTTGCCAGCCCAAGTCCTTGGAAATGTTGCAAGACGAGATTCCGATGGCAACATCTTTTCCGGGCTTCTCGTTTGTGGTCAATCTCACCTTGATACCTAGACTCGGCGAATGAAGGAAGCAGAAATCGTATTGACGGATGACTGAGCAATTCATTGTCATGGAGTTGAGCACTTCCACTGTGATGCTGCCAACAACAGTCCGGAAACAAGGGGCAACGCTTCACAACCTTTCTGTCCACCTGAAGGCGCAGTTGGGCTCAGCTGGAAATTGGGCAAGACCTGTTTGTCCATTACAGAAGTCTCGAGCTGAATGTTGTCATCCGCTCTCAACCTAACTCTGCGTTGTTCGGATCGCCGCATTGTGGTCTGTAAGTACGCTGTTGTCACCGCAGGTAGTGGGTCGTATGCGAACATGGTCTTGGGGTCCTGACGGTACGTACGTACAACAGAGAGCAATTGCCCCGCCAGCTGTTTTCGTTGCCTGTTTCGGACAAAGCATCCAACAAGACACTGAACAACTAGATCCCCTTCCCCCGATGGAGACGCTGATCGTTCTTTGGTGTGTTGGGGAGTGAACATCACGCGGACAATGAACTTGTAGCTCCTGAATCGCCCTCCCCAATCGTGTATATACCTGCCACAAAGTCCTTCATCCAAGCCTTCACTACCCGTTCCGTCAGCAACGGGCAAGCATCATGAGACTGACAAGCTATAGCCACACGACTCCTCGGCTGAAAGGTCTATTCGCTCACGTTACTCCCGTCTTCTCGAGCCATGGCTGTTGTTGCATGATCATTCTTGGGAAAAAGTCGTTCATGATGATGATGAGCCACCCACCCACTTACACACGACACGATGCGTCGTCACGCCGGCCATTCTCCAGACCAAGAAGCCTGGGATGCTGATCAAGTTTTCCTGCGTGCGGTGGTGCATCGGACGGGTCGGAATCTCGTTCAGCCTCCAAGCCTCGCTCAAGGTAAAGAAGACAGGAGCTTCGGGAGGTTGTAGCCTCGAAATCCGAGGGGCCCGGCATGTTGAAGGCCGTGACAGGGCATACAACCAGAAATTGGATCGAGTTCAATATTTCGGTCCCCAATAGATAATTCCGGCGCGTAAACTCCCCACCGCTCACCCTCCGCCTCAGCCGTTCGTTTTCTCTATGTCGGGAAAGACCTTCATCGGCTGCACATGACTGTCCGTTTCAAGACAATAGTTTTGAATCGTCAACGTCATAGTATTTCTCGCCAAGTTGGCGGTTGATGTTGCACATGAGGGCAATACTCATTACCAGACAAGCAAGATTCTAGTCGTTGTATTTTCTCTTTCTCAAGCCTCGAGGGAGTGGCAATGTAGTCGGCGAGGACACCTGATTTCTTTGAAGACGTGTTAAGGTGAGGCGTAAACGGAGGGAAAGCGGGCGGCGGCCGCAGTCGCAGGCGCGTGCCCGTAAGTATGAACAAGAGGATATCGGAAGAAGACCAGGTTTGCAATTGTGTTGATGGCGGGACTGGTCGCTCAACTCAATGCCAGCCGAAATCTTGCCTCTTTGCAAACAACCGAAATGAGGCCCAAAGCATCAATGTCATAATAGAAATTCAAATCTCCCCAATCCCAATGAAGTTAGTGGTTCTCCCTTCTAAGGACGCAGGCAACAAGTGGTTAAAAGTGGAGAGCTGCAGGTCACCAATCACCACTCTCGACTCTGCCAAGCAAGGACATCCTTCAGGTTTGTAAGCGCCAACAGGACCACGTCACTTTACTCCACCATAGGTGGCTGTGCCCGGCCTGGTTCCCTTGTCCAACTTGCCCAATGCTCTGTCGGCTTGCCCACCGATTTTCATTTCCTTTTTCTCCCACCCCTTCTTCATAAACCCACCTGCCAGACCAATTACCAACAACCAACTACGACAGCTGAGTAACAGTTGTACATCTTCCGTAGTATAGTGGTCAGTATGTGAGCTTGTCAAGCTTGAACATCAGTTCGATTCGCTCGAGACCCGGGTTCAATTCCCGGCGGGAGAGACCATATTCTTTTTTGGCACCTTCCTCGCTCGTTCACTTTTTTCTAGTGTTGTCTTCTTCGTAGCTAGTTAGGTATGTATGTTCACTTGCAAGATTAATTGATGTTTTTGACCGTGGTGCTTTTCTTTTTGTACCTGCTATATGTTCTTAACGTTGACATGTAATGTGATTTTAACTGACAAGTTGTTTTACGAAAACATACATGTACACTTCAGTTAGTTTCGTGAACAGAACAGTAGAGTTATAAAGTCAACAACTTTAAAAAGTTTCGTACTGTGACAGACATCTGGCTTTTACAGCAATGACAAGTGCATGATAAGAGTTTGGAAATCAATTACAGAAAATGCACAAAGGAGTTAATGATCCAGTGTCCATAAAGTATTGAGCTTTGAGAGTTCACATAACCCTGTCCTTTGCAAGACACCCAGTGTCTAGGTCGCACCGAGAAAACAATTAACATGAACTACGTAACTCCAATTGATATATCTCCTCCCTATCTTTTTCTTATTGTAGCTTCCACTTTGTCATGCTGCACATGAGAAAATCTGTCTGGATTTCTTGCTCATCTCCAAGTAGATATATCACAACGGTCATACTTAGTATCAATGACGGACGATCTGAACAATGTTCGTCCTGATCAACCTATTGTAGCTGGCCAAGATGTCTATGCTGGCGATACTCTCTTGATCAACACCATGAATGGATGCATGTAGTTGGATTGTCAGGGAACGAGATAACACAACGTCGACCCCAAGAATCAAGAATACTCGCAATTTCTACACTGTTTTCGCTTTATGGAAGCGTGATCCCAAGAGTAATAAGATAGCAATACTACAAGCCACAGATCAAGGTAATATCAAGTGATAGGAAGGAGAACGAAGGCATCAGGAATCTGGTCAGACAGATATATGTCAGATCTGCCACTCGTCGCCGCTTTCCTAATCCGTACACCAAAGCCTATCGATAAGGATAAGGATAGGAACCATCCGAGGTCTGTACCTAGGTATCATGGGTGTTCTATCCCATTGGCCAGTGGCCGGTCCGCCGGTAACCCATGTAAAACCCATCCAGCCATGCCACGACAGCACAGCGTTTAGCGGCGGACTGATATCAAAAAGACATCGTTCCTTCTCTACTATAAATCCCAACTACCTTATGTGAATCACCGATTCACGCGTTGCTTTTCGTTTACGAGCGGCTTCCTAACTATAAAATTAATCATACACACAAGTTAAACCCCCTGATGGTGAAAAGGCGGGGAAAAAAAAATATCGACTGACCATAGCCGTTACCATGCCCATTATGACTGCTTGGATAACATCTATGAGGAGCAGGAACGAGTCCGAGAGAAATCAAGCCTCAACGTCTCGCCTCGTTGGTGACGACACGACCAATGCACGACTGAACGAGATCATACAGAACCTTGGGATCCTTGTTCCATCTGTCCCAACCATTGCAAATGAGAGTGGTGATGACATCCCTCTTCTTGAGCGTGGACAATAAACTCTTCATGGTGATGGCGCGCTGGATAAACCCCGTCTCGTAGACGTCGGGCTGGACTTCTTTGTCGGGCTCAGCGATGGTGTCGAAGACATTAATTGATGAAGCCGAGGCAGTCGAGTTCGACTTCGAAGCGGTGTTCCCAATCATTAATGTTGTGCTCGCCCTCGAGATTGACGAGGCAGGATATAGAGAAAGACATGTCGGCGGTAGTGATGAGGACACAACGGTACCTTTGATTGCGGTTGGGACGGGACGAGGGACAAACGTTGAGATATATTTACCTTCTCCAACGTCCCGCCTTCTAATCTTGAAGTCAGGCGAACGAACCAACGTCGAAAACCTTTGTTTCCTCCCGGCCAGTCGCGTGAATTACCATCTCGTGAACCATGACCGTCTTTGCGGTGAGTATTAGACGCTCGCAAGCAGCTTGTGATCAACTGCTTAACCGCTGGCTGTGAGAATATGTGACTATAATTTGTATAAAGATGCGCAAGGCTTCAGCGTTCGAGGTCCGGATATCTACAATCCTACAGGTCAACGATCACCATACGTCTGAATAACACCATCACCCAATAACCACAAAGACAACCTCCACCACAGTCTTTACCACAACCCCACTCCAACAACAACCCCAAGCAAATCTCAAAGACACCACACAAGAATGTGTCTCTACTTCCCCTACCCCGGTGTCTTTGCCTGCGGATGCGATCTCGACCCCGGCTTCGTCGCCTTTTGCAACTACAACTGCCACCCCTCCCAACGTCAACGAGCCCCCTTATCTAGGGACGCGTATGGACAAGTGTTTCACAGCTTTGGCGAGATGTGTCCCCAGTGTTATCGGGATGGGTGGGTTTATGTGAGGGGAAGAGGGTGGGTAAGGAGGTTGGGACCTAAGTTGTAGGTACCCATTCGGCCCACTAAGGAGATAATGGCTGGGAGATGAGAGAAGTGGGAAGTTTCTGGCGGGGCTGGGGAGGAGGAGAGACGTTGACGGAATGAAGGATATGGAGTAGTGAGGTGGATGGATGGAAGGTTGGTTGGGTGAAGGTTTATTTCACACTGAGAGAGTGGCTGCAGAGAGGACTGGATATGGCTGAGGAGGTCACCTTACTATAAGGTACCCGCCGGAATGGGAGCTTGGGTGGAAGTAACTGGATACTGAAATGGAGAGAGATAACCGCTAGCGGCACCAACAGGCATTGTGAGAACAAAAGGAACGAGTAGCCAAACGGCACAACCGTGATCCCATATACCCTGTAAACCCTGAGAGATCCGAACGGACAGGTATCGTGAAGGACTCGCGGCACAAGCTAGTGTCCTCGGTACGTATCGCCAAGGTCTTCTAATGTCGCTGAACTTTACCGACGAAACTGAAGGAAACCTGGTCTTGAGTCTGCGTCAGAAGGTGTCCTCACAACCAGAAAGACGTGAAGTGAAGTGAGGTAGCCACGCTAGCGAAATGCCCAACTCGACAAAGTTCCGAACGTGAGTTTGATCCTCCACCTTGTCAGCGCGGCAACTAGACGCGACCCCGCGGGTTGGATGTTGGGAAGGGTGACCGGAATTGAGACGTGGTCTGACAACAACAACATGCACGACACTTGCCGCGTGACAACGAAGACAGGTCATAAATTGTCAGCGATGGGTTCAAAGGGTTGGCCACGAGGAGTTCGCCATGTGTCTTCAGTAACCAGTAAGGCGATTTCGCCAGTACTTGTGCTGACCCGTGGTCGGCACCGATGTTCGGTTCGGCTCACTTCCGTAAGGCTGAGGAGGAACCGTGCCGCCACTGTTATTGATCCAACCGCAAGTTACGGCAGCACACCCAAAATCGAGCCGTCTTACCCCAGAAGCGTGGCAGCCCGCCAGACCAAGCCACCGAAATGGGCTGTGGCATATATCTGCCAAAATGTGGTAGTGCTGTGAGGATAAACTTGGCACTCTCAGCCAGAAGACGAGTTGTTCCAGAAAGGTGGCCGATGAACATGATCAGGGGCAATTTCGCCTCGAACGATAACAGTGAAAAAGGGGGAGAAAGCAAAGAAAAAACTAGCACCCAATAGCTCCGAAGTGTGCACCCTTGGAACAGACAGAGAGAAATCCTGAGAATACTGTGGAACAAGCCCCCAATCGACCCCCGGATTTGGCAGGTGATGGAGACAAGTTAACAGCCATGCCACAGATGAACAAACGTGGTGACACAAGGCCCATTGTGGTCAGCAATCCACGCGGTTGCGCTTAGCTCCCTCAAGCCCAAGCCAATCGGAAGACGAAATGGTGATATGCATTGCGCTTATGTGTGCAAGATGGCGGCCTGAAATACAACCCAGCCAAGTCGCACGGCAGTGACGGGGCGAGTTTTTGAGGTTGACTTTTCCCTTTCTGCTCATCCAAGGGTTGCAGTGAGCCGATAGGGCTGTAAGACGCATGCGCATGGCTCGAACCATGGCGCCCTCAAACAACAGGTAGAAACCTTGGGTTCCCAATCAGGTAAAGCTCGTGGGCAAACTGGCTTTCCGATGGTGTAGGTGTTTTGTCAATGATTGGCCGAGTGGCCGCGTGTTTTGCGGGCAGAACAGCAGTAGCGCTAGGTATATCCAGATCCACGTTGAAACGCACACCTATTGCCGATGAACAAGACAAGTTGGCTATATGGCTGTTGTCAGAATGGAAGCTGAGTTCTAATTCCGCCAATTGTACTACTCGATCCAGCATCCAGTCCGAGGTACGCCATTTGAGGCATGGTTTGGTGGAGAGAGATGGGGGCCTCACGAGCCCCAGGGCGTTCTTTCTGGTAGGGGGGTCGTCGACGTCTATTGTCATCTAGGGTCTTCCGGATTCGATGCAGAAAGTAGCTGCCTTGACAACCAGATAAAAGCCACGCTGCCTGAGTTGTCAGCGCTCAACACAGGGAGGTCGGTCCCCTTTACCTCAACTCAACATTCGCAGAGAAATATTAGTGACATTTCGCTCACAATGCCCAACAGCAAGCAGTAAGACTGATATCCTTCATGACAAGTCTCGCTGATGATGACTGACATGACCTCGACAGAAGCAGCTCGTCTGCTGGAAAATCGGGTGAGTACGGGAGGAATGCCCGACTCGAAATGTTCCAGATAGAAGAGAGACAGGAGGGCAATATTCTTGTGCGGGTGCCACACAGACCTCGGAAACCGCGGGAGACTCGGCGGACTATGGCGAGGAAGATTCGACGCATCATGGAGCCCTTTGATGTGCCCAGGTAGTAAGTGATGATGGTTCCTTTTCGAATGGCCGAGGTTCGAATAACACTCAAGTTGGAAGGATGGGAGGCAACCTGGCCGATAGACGACGGTATGTCCAGCAGAATGTGTTGTTCATAACAGGGTTGAACACAACGTTCGAGATGCGACACTCCAGTTGAAATCCTTCAGCAATTGATGTCGGCGATCCTCTTGTGCCTTGTTTTGTTGTTGCCGACTGGAAGCTTGACATGGCCTGCGCTGACGAGTTCACATCCAGCTCCGCGCCCGTGTAGGGTTCATGAAAATCGGAATGAGGATGTTGACTTATCGACAAGAGGTGGTCCAAGGCCGCATGAAGTCGGATGGCATTGAACCTGCAAGATACGAGTTGGGAACGGAGTTCATCTGTTGTTGTTGCGGACACTGCAGGGAAGAAAATGTAAGCCTAAACTGAAGCTGAAGGACACTGGGACACTTTCAATTTGGAGGCTGCCTGGATTTGGACCAATATCTCTGCCCGGTCGGTGCCTTGCGCCTTCCCTCAAGACTGCCAACTTCAGGGTGATTCGGTGAGAATTAGGTAATGATTACATCCGGGGAAGGAACAGATGACCGGACTCAATACTGAGGTGGTGGACAGTACTTAGGTAGGTTGCCGCCTTCTATATGTTCGTGGTGTGTTTGTCGGTGTGGCCTCTTCTCGTTCCCTGACTCCGCTGCTAGTAGTGTTTTACATGCGGACGGCAATGGATGAGGTGCGACGTCAATGATGTGCGACAAAAAAGGCATTTGACGAGATGGTGGCGTAGCGGAATGACGGCTATTGTCAACATCCTTGGTCCAAAATGCGGAGATCTGGCGGTGATGGTGATCCATGTCTTTGGCGGTTTGGATGAAACATTGAAACACGGCAGCAGGGCTGTGGGGGACAAGAGCCCCAGGGTCGTGTTGAGTCGCGTGAGACGGATCACATGGGCTACAGGTTAATCACAGCCATGGTGGGTTTGGACTGTGTCTGCCAGCAATGAGAATGGATATTTTGTAGTGCACCCCTTGTTATCGGCCGCTCTTACCCCTGTCCAGGGAAGGGCACGGCTACCCCTCAGGATCCCCTGCCCTATTCTTGCCATGTGCTCACTTTCAGGCGCTCCTCTGAGCTAAGCGGATATCATGTGCTGTTACCGCGCCCAGCCATCACTAACAGCAACAGCCTTAATATTACAAGCCAAGGCATTAGTACAACCTGCTTGAACCAACAGTGATGGCGAAATGCAAAACAAGGGAAGCGAGGTCAGGAGCCCACCACAGCGGCTGGCAGCCCAACTGGAGCCGTTGCCATGGCCTGCGCCTCCACTTTGGCTTCCAAATGGCGATACAAGTTCCAATCATCCACTGCAACTATACCATAGTCCCCGACTTGTCAGCGAGAGACACCACCAACGACGGGACATCCGTCCTCAACGCAGTTCCATCAACAAACACAACTTACCTCCCGCCTTCTCAAAAGCTTGTTTCTAGACAAGACACCTACTACTGTCTGCTATTATATCTTCATGCGCCGCCCTGATTGAGACGGCCTGCAACATCAGTCGTCGCCAGCATCTTGAAGGGCTTTTTGTCATCCCGTCAAACCGATTCACTATCTCTTTATTTGAAGCGACCAAGACCCTGTCGCCAAACGCCCCCGGCCCGGTCTAGACGTAGCTTCCGCCATCTACGCGCCCTCGAATCTCCCATCTCTGCCCAACATCTGCTAGAGGTGCCGACCCGACAACACAAGCCATCCCGCCTGACGTGATCTCCTTTTTGCGACACGACCATTTGCCCTGAACACCACAAGCTCTATCACATCCATCAGACAGCAAGGCAGCGCAGCACATGATGAATGTCCCGGGTCCCGGCCGCCCCATGCAGCGACGCCCCCCCGCCCCGGGCACCGAACCCGGTGGTGGTGGTGGTGGTGGTGGTGGTGGTGGTGGTGGCCCGCCCCCCAACATGCCGGCCCGCTCGATATCGCCTGCCGTTGGGATGGGAGGACATATGGGTCCCCAAGCTGGCATGTCGAGGTCTTCAGCTGGCTCAAGTCGCTCAGTTCAAGGTCCCGGCGGCGGTCCCGGCGGCGGTGGGAGCACAAGGCGAAACAATGTGAGTAATCATGTTGTTACCATCGGCCTGTTTTGCGGCCCCCCCCCCCCCCCCCCCCCTTCTCTCGAGTCTTTCCATCTACATGCGCGCGTCATGATACCTCTCTCCTCTCCTCTGTTCCAATCCTCCTCTGCCGTTTGCCAGCTCGCCGCTAACCATGGCATCTGACAACAGTCATCTGGCGGCTCGTCGTCCGTCCCACTATCGCAAATCGAAAGGAGCGTCACACATCTACTTGTGGCCACCAAGCAACTGCTCGAAACCCTGACACAATGGTCCCGTGGAAATGCAACCGATACCCAGGTCTCCGACGTCTACGTACGGCTGGGCTACGAGTTTAATATGGCCTGCCGAGCCTTTACTGCCATCAATGTCGATATTGACGACTTGGGCAACGTGCCCGAGATGCTGCGCACTATCCTGGAGGCCACTCTAAGTCAAGAAGCCAGCGCTGAAAGTCTCGAGAAATACCTGCCAAAGATACGTGATATTATCATAAATCTGCTGCATGGTTTAAAAAGAAAACAGCAAAAGCTAAGGCATCGCCAGCAACGGGATAGAGAGCCGAGTATCGCAGGAGACGATGGAGGCTATGGTCCAAGTCGCGGACCTGGGCCCAGTAGCAGTGGCGTGCCCACCAGAACTACGAGTACTAGTACCATGGCTAGTGTTAATTCTGGGCTCACCAACATGTTGAACGAAGGGCTGGAGAGCAATGGCTACCGACCGGACTCTCTCAGGGATGATTCTCGGAATTCTGGTCCCACAACGGCATCACCCACCAGACGTTTTCCCACGCAACGGGACCAATCTCGCGGCTCTGTCACCTCTGACCAGTCCAGCCTGTCGAGCAACACGATGCAAAACATACCCGTTCTGGCGCCTTACCCAGGTGAAGAGACAATTCCAACGGGCCCACCGGCACCCCCGGAAATCAGCGTCGACAACTTCCCTCCGCCGCCGCCGCCGCCCAAGGAATCGGGACAGAGCGCCTTGGCGGCCCTCCAAAAAGGAGGTAATCTGGAAAGACGAGCTTCCCGCAGATATGATGCATACCAGATTTCCAAGTACCTTGGCACTATGGTCCCACCCCAGACAACGCCGATACCTGATAGGAACCGGGGCGATTTCAGAGAGTCGCTCCGGGCGATGCAATCAAGGGGAAACCCCCGCCACAGCCGCAATATTTCGAGCCAGTCCCAACGTACCATTGGCCTCGATTCCTCTCCCGTTCGAGTTCCCAGCCGGGTTCCTGAAGAGCCTGAAACCGCCGATTCGTATACATTCAGCAAGGCCGACAACTTGAATGTCCAGGCGCCAGATGACAAGTATCCTACTCCAAGCGCTACTCTTAATGGCCCGCTCGCAGATCCTATCCCGATGGTGGATGAGGTAGACTCGTCTAAGCCCGCTGCTACGAGGCCTGCTCCTGCGCCTGCCGCTCCTCAGCATCAACACAAGCCGTCCATTCGCGCCCCGACGCCCGATAAACAACCGCCTAGCTCGTTTATGCTTGAGAACTCGCCCCCCGCAACCAAGGAATTGACCCTCTTCCTGCAGTACAAGTCCAAGGTCAAGAAGTTCGTGCTCCCTGAGGGCTACGATAATCTGTCTATCGCTCGTCTTCAACTGGCCTTTATCGAGAAGTTCTCGTGGAACACACAGCAGAATGGAGCGGATCTACCGGAAATTTACATTCAAGACCCCGTCTCCGGTGTCCGCCATGAGCTCGAGGATCTGTCAGATATCAAGGACCGTACAGTACTTGTGTTGAATGTAGAGGCTTTGGACGAAGTCAAGAAGCATATTGACAAGAGCATTGGGTCCCTCAAGACCATTATCCAGCAGGTTAAACAAAATGTCGACGATCAAAACGCCACCATTCAACGTGTGTCGGAGCGCCAACAGGAGACCGCCAAGGATCTCGCTCGCATTGCCGCCACGCCACCTCCCACTATCATCGCACCGAGTGGTATGGACTCGATGGCTTCGCCACGTTCTTCGTCTTCCTCTGTCGCGGGTGCTGCTGCCCTTGCCGGTCCCTCGTCCAAGAAGCTCAGCCCAAGCCAGCTTACCGAGATCCAATCCCTTCGTCGCGACCTCGCCGTTCTTCGCCAGACCTACTCCAACTTCCAGTCCGAAGTCCAAGGGTCCATGACTGCTCTTCGCAACAAGGCCAACAATGTCAAGACCGCCGCCGCCAAGTTGTCCGTTCCCGATGGGGAAGGCGACTCGGGTCGCGCTTACGTCACCAAGGGTCGTAAACTGCTCAATGCCGATAGTGACTGGCTTGTCAACAAGGTAGACGACCTGCAAGATCTCATTGAGGACCTCCGCAAGGACGTTGTCCACCGCGGCGTCCGCCCACGCCCCAACCAGCTCGAGTCCGTCACCAAGGACATCACCACGCTCACCAAGGAGCTCAAGAAGATGGAAGAGTTTATGAAGAAGGAGAAACCCATCTGGACCAAGATCTGGGAAAAGGAGCTCGAAGAGGTCTGCCAAGGTCGCGACGAGTTGCGCCTCATGGAAGATCTGATGATCGACTTGCGCGACGACTTGGAGAAGGCCAGCGAAACCTTTGCGCTTGTCGAGCAGGCAACCAAGGAGCAGATGAAAGAGGGCGGACAGGGCAATACGGTTAACGGCTCAGTGTCCAACGGCCCCACGCCCTTTGGCGCCTTTAGTCGCGGGCTGAAGAGCATCTCGGAGAAGGTGACGCATGCGGATCCTAGCGAGGCCAAGGAGGGCGTTCTGGGCGAGGTGCGCGCCTTGCAGCCGAATCATCAGAGCCGATTGGAGGCAATTGAGAGGGCGGAGAAGCTGAGGCAGAAGGAGTTGCAGACCAGGATGGTCAACCCGCTTACGAAGGAGCTGGCCTCTTTTGTGGAGGAGGGGAAGCTGAAGAAGAGTGGTGGTGTCGAGGAGGTGGAGAGGGCGCGGAAGGCCAAGGATGATCAGATCAGACGGGAGGTGTGGGAGCGCATGAATGGCCTTATTGCGGAGAATGATGATGGTGAGGACGAGGAGGATGACGAAGAAGAGGAGGAGGAAGAGGAGGAAGAGGAGGGAGAGGAGGAGGAGGAGGAGGAGGAAGGAGAGGACCAGGAAGAAGGAGAAGAGGGCGAGGAAAAAGCGAGTGGCTCTGCTAGGGAGTCTGTCGATGGAGAGGAGGATAAGGAGGAGGCGAAGGAGAAGAACAAGGAGAACGTCAAGGTTGAAGAGAAGTTAGATGCGGATGAGGGCGAGAAGGAAAGCAAGGTGAAGGCCGAAGCCGCGAAAGAGCCTGGTGCAACTGCTTGAGGAGAACCAGTTTACCGGGGTCTGAGTACGTGGTGATGTCCGCGCGTACACAAGTGGTGGGTGAAGTAAGGGCTGTTGGAAATAACAATACATCAGTACATATCATTTCCTGTCCACGGGCTCGATGAAGGTTTGAGTAGTCTACAAGAGAAGAGAGAGAGAGAGCGTCAGGAGGCATGGAAATCTTATACCCCCCCCTTTTTTGGTCTAAACAATCATGTTTGACTTTTGTTGTAGTAACCAATTGAATAGTTTAGGTACCCAAGTCCGATGTATTCTGGTGTCATCATTTCTGAACTGGTGATTATATTTCACCGGATAATACAAACCTCATATTCGCAATATAACTCGGGAAACTATCATGGCCTCTCCTCCGGCTGTTTTTCGACCATACATATACGTAGTAGACCTACGTCCCAATTCCAGACAACTGGATGTGTATTCCCTCAAGTCTAAACCCAACTACCCAAGTTACTGTGTAAAAAAGACGGGCACCCGCCTGCTCCCATTTATGGCCTGTTCCTTTCCCTTCCCCTTCCCTTCCCCTTCGTTCCGACATTCTGCCTGGAAGCCCCAGAGGGGGGCATTAGCTTTCCGGCACCTCACTTCCCTTCCAGTCTTCCAGTTCCCGTTCCTGCCCCCCCTCGAGGCCCCTTGACGGGTATTTCCCCGCACCGCGGCACCAGCCGCACCACATCCGACAGCCCACAGCGCTTTCCTCGGGAACTAGGGAGTAGGGACTACCTAGGTAGGGACTAGGACTGGGGAAGGGTGAGACATGCATTGCATACCTACATGCATGCATGCGTAGGTAGGCTGGACTAGACTTCTGCTAGACTAAATCAACTAATTGACCCCTCTTTTCTTTCTTGGAAGTTGTCGTTCGTTCGTTCGTTCTTCGACCATTCACGACGACATCTTGGTGCGGTGTTCGAATCCGTGTGGAAACACAAGCGACGACGCAACAGACAACCGACGGCACTCGACGGTAAGTAACGAGGTGGTCAACGAGCTAAGTTAATACTCCCTCTTACTCGTCGGGTCGGTATGGAGTTGGGATTACCTGTGTCATTGGCATGGTAGATGGAGTATGGTTATATCGATGGGGTTGTGGTTGCCGGTGACCGACGGGTTCGATGGCGGGTGACTAGCGGGAGGAGGTGGGAGGTGTGAAAGATCTGCAAGCAAGTGTGTGACGGGCGAGGGCACGTATACATTAGGCTGTGTGTGTTTCGTTTCTTTCTCTCAGCCGGGAGACGGCAGATGGGAGACGGCAGAAGTTGGGGTTATAAAGACTGTTGAACCTCCTTACCTCTACTTCAATTACTGACTGTTCAGCAGCAGGATCTCATCAGGCCGGCACTTACTCGCCTTACCTTTGATAAGTACCACACACCAAAAAGCAGTACTCAACAAACACTCATTCACCATGGCACCCACCTACAACTTAGAAACCACCATCCAAAAGGCCATCGACGACGGAATCGTCCCCGGTGTAGTCCTCTACGCCCGCAACAAAGATGGTCCGTCCTTTCTTCCTCTCTTCTCTTGCTTCCCTTTCCTTCGTTCACCGTCACCGTCCGCGACTCATTCTAACCAACACCTCGACAGGAACCCTCAACTACTCCCACGCCGCCGGCTATGCCTCCCTCTGCCCTTCCAATCCGCGCCCCATGACAACGCACACCATCCTCGCCCTAGCTTCCATGACCAAACTCCTTACCTCCATCTCCATCCTCCAACTTCTCGACTCTCCCTCCTACCGTGACTCATTTCCCCTAGGCCTCGACACTCCCGTCACCGACCCCTCCTACCCTAAAACTTACCTCCCCGACCTTGCTTCGTTGCCTATTTTGTCTCCAACAACCACCGACCCCTTCGCCACCCGCTCCCGCACAAAGCATATAACAGCCAGACACCTGCTCACCCACTCCTCCGGGTGCGGGTACACCTTCCTCCACCCCTCCCTGATCGCCTGGAATGAATGGAAGCTAAAGCAGCAAGGCAAGACCCCCCATTTGCCGATAGCAACGGCCTTTGCGCAGACGGTTCCCGAACAGTTTTCCTGTCCGCTTTTGTTTGAACCGGGCGAAGGGTGGGCGTACGGGTGCGGGATAGATTGGGTCGGGTGGATGCTCGAAAAAGTGAGTGGTATGAGTTTGGATGATTGGCTGCAAGAGAATTTGGTGAAGAAGTTGGGATTGGAAAAGGGCAAGGTGACGTTCTATCCCGAGAGGGTGTGGCCGACTGAGGGGGAAGAGGGGAAGAGGGAACGAGTGGCGGAGATGGGGAAGAGGGAGGAAGGGAATGGGGTGGGGACGGCGGGAGGTGGAGGATATGCAAGAAAGACCAAACACGTTGACTCGCCGCAGCTGATGAAGCCGGCTGATCGAGGGGCGTTTGGTGGGCAGGGAGGGTTTGCGGATTTGGGGGCGTTTTGTGAGGTGGTGCATTCATTGCTGGTGGATGATGAACGACTCTTGAAGAAGGAGACGGCGCAGCTGCTTTTTGAGGGGCAGTTGAAGGAGGAAAAAGCGAAGCAAGCTATAAATGAGGGTATGAAGACGCCTGAGTGGGTGGTGGGTTATGTGGAGGTGCCAGCCGAGGCAAAGGGGTTGGTATATGATTGGAGTGCGGGTGGACTGCACGTTGTTGAACCGGGGAAGGCAGACCAAAGTGGGAGGTGGAGGAGGAAGGGGTATCTGGGGTGGGGAGGGGTATTCAACTTGAATTGGGTAAGTCTGGAGTTTTCGTTTGTTTTCTTGATTTGAACCATGACGAAGAGAAGTATTCGCTAACCTTGATATGTAAACACAGTTCGTCGATCGAGAGGCCGGTGTTTGTGGAGTGTTTGGGGCGCAGACTTTGGACCCGTGTGACCCCTTGATTGAACCCTTGATCAAGGATTTCGAGAAGGAGATCTATGAGAAGCATGGCGTGAAGTGATCAAGATAAGAACAAGAGTACTTGCTGAGTACCTTGGGGCAGCCAGGGCGTCCAGTTGTCAGATAGTGAAATGTAGCAGTTTCTGATGGAATAACAGGAAGGTTATGATAAGATGGTGGTGGAGATGTGACTGTGGTGTTATTTGAATTGATGGGTGTTGAATATCCCAGGGATGATCTCCATCATTCAAACAGAAGCGGTATCCATTCTCGCCGCGGCCCGCTCCGTCCCGTCCTGGGTCGCTGCAAGGGGTAGGTAGGTTTTATGCGGAGTCGAGCAGTTAGGTAGGTCGGAGAAAAAGACAGAGCTCAGCACTGACTGCATAAGCGATAATTAATCCGGCCTCGTAGGACAGATTTTCATGGGATGGCGGTCCGAGAAAAGGAAATCTCACATAATGAGCGGTGAAGGACCAGGAGAAAGTTGCCAGAGGTACGTCTGCGATGGCTGCCACTAGAAAAACCATTACGATCCTTAGCAGGATGCTTGGGAGACACTCAGCAGTTTTCCCCGAAACAGAAACTCTCAGCCTATTCCATACTATCATTTCGACAGCGCGACCCGAGAAAAATGCAGACACCGGGGTTTCTAGGTGGCCGCCTAAAATCTAATCCAGTTGGGATAGCTCCAATCACGAGTCACGATAGCCAACCGCACAATTCACCACCATCCCCTACAATTCTGTATCGGTTTCTTGAGCTTAAGCCAGACAATTGACCTTCAAATGGAGCACTGCGTTCACTGGAATAGTACAAGCATGTGGCAATCAATACCTGAAACCGGCGAACTAGCTCTCGGCTGCGACCACGTCGAGGTTTGGGTACGACGCGCCCCCCAACCCGTGTGTTACATCGGCTACCTATCATTCAAAAGGTAGCGTCAAATGATCTTTCTTTCGCCGGCTCTTGTTGAAGAGGGAAGGATTCTCACGCTTAAACCCCCGCTCAATCGTTTTTTTTTCTATTTCCCTCTCCTTCTCCTCATCCTCGTCGTTCAAAGCTGCTGTTTGCATGGTTTCCGAAGGTGGTTGAACCTTCAAGTCTACTACGACCTAGATACAATGCACTTTACCACTTTACTACGCCCGAAACGTCGAGTGAATGGGGCAGCGAGGGATGCCACTGGCCCTCCTGCCCTGTGTTACAATGAGTGCAGTATGTCTTTCTAGGGCTTTCTGCTCTTTGAATTGGTTCTAGTGGTGCTGTTACTAGCTGGAACTAGGCAACGCGTATATTGAAGCACAAGAAGTTGGGAAAAGTCCTAAAATATGTTCGAAGGATGGTAGCTTCATGCGCTCCTACAATAACTGCTATTCCTGCGCTCTCGCTTTATCTGAGGATCCTAGGGAAGCTGTTCATGCTTATCTTGATCCCAAAATTTCTCCGTACATTTTGTATTGCTAAGAACCAAAATCCATCGACCCAACCTGGTACACATCGACGACAACATGGGCAATAGCCACGTATGTGATCGACCATGGACCTACAACAATCGTAACCGTGTTGGTTGACACCACGGTTCTTCGTTCCGACTGGACAGGCTTCCAGACTACTACATCCTTGCCACCTTCAACAACAAAAGGTATGACCTTGCGAGAGTCCAGTAATGACAGCATATATGCCACCATGCCTAGCGGATGTATCCATTTCTTTTGAAGCAAATAGCAACCAACGCACTGACATCTCCGCCTCTTCATCACAGCAAGTCCATCATTCCAAGCCGGCACCATCACCTCCGCCTCTCAACCCCTAACTACCACCAATTTGACTCCCGACGAATCCAGCACCAGAGGGGCAAGAACACACGGCTCAAGCTCTTGGGTATGTCATCGCACTAGCAATCGTCGGGCTGGGAATCCTTCTCTACTTGTACAGAAAGGGAAAACTCCGCTTCATCAATAAGATGAAGTTGGGCATGGCGTCAGCAGCACACTCACGTTCACACGAGCTCGACGGCGATTTCGCTTGGCGAACTGGAGATAAACCGGAGTTGCACGGGGGAAATATTCTTGAGGCCGCTGCTGCTACGATACCGGCAAAAGAGCTGCCCACGCAATCCAGCGAGCCGAAGGAACTTGATTCGAATGTTGAGCCGGTTGAGTTGCCTGCTGAGGTTCATGATGGTGGACGCACAACTAGAAATTTGTCGGAGGATGGGCATGGAAGTGGAAAAGAAGCAAAGGGTGAACGTCATTGATGGTTCAAATACACCAACCAGGCTGTGATGACGGAGCCCAACTCAAATCCGCCCTACTCTCGTGCAAACTGACGGCAGTTGAGCTCATCGTGGAACTTGTGGAGCTTATCGCGTGCTTGCATGAAGCCCACCCCTACAAAAACACCGAAACCTGGCGGTTTGTCACTTGTCAGACACTCCCAGAGTCATCCTTCAAAGCAGGTAACTTTACCCATGATGGGTTCGTGGCCAGGACAGAAGACCTGACACTTCCAGTTCTGCGGGTTTTGTAGACGACCCAGACTTTTCGGCCCATGAACAGATCCAGGATGAAGGCCAATACGGCGGCCCATCTTTGGTTGGAGTTCAAGGATAAGAGTGCTCTGAACATGATGGGTTGAGACGCTGATGGGCACCATAACGCGTGATAGATGCTCCAAAGCCTGAGACTCTAAATGAATTATGCGAGTTGGGTGGTCTGGGAGTAATGATGAAGAAGAAGCTGTGCTAAGAAAGAGGAGTATCCCAACTCCAACCGCCTCCAGAATAAAGGAGGCTTACATCATCACGTTGTATAAACTTGTGAGGAATGGTGACCACATGCGAATGGCAAGCTCAACCGCGGCAGTAGACGAATGAGAAACTTGTCAGCAGCGGCAGATAAGGCTAAAAACACGGTGAGCCCTCGTCGACGAGGAGCTCCGGGAGTCTGGGGTGTGATATAATGCGAAGAAAGAGATGTAACCGGAAGAGGTGTTGGCTGATGGCAGCATCAGACTGTTTTCTTTACTTTTGGACATCAGCATTCTAAGGCTTCCATACCGAGCCAGGAGGTTGAGATAAGGTTTGGTGCGGCCGTCTCGACTTTCAAGCCACACAAAGCCACGAATGGGCGCACGAGTCGTGCAACATGGGAGAAAGCTATGATGGGAAAAAGCCATGTGATAGAAAAACGCCATGTGATGGAAGATTTGGCGGAACCTTCGGTGAGTCTTGAGCTCCGCTTGACCCCAGATGGGGTCCTCGGGACGGGTCAACGGGAGAGGGTCTGGGGACTTGGGGGAGGAGCTGGAGACATTGTCATTCCCTTGCCCCGCAAGGCGCGAAGAGCTCGAGTCAGGTCGAGCATGACAAGCTTCGCGGGTCCAGGGGGGGGGGGGGGGGTTGCCATGGGGATATCAAGGTGTTACATCAGTTGGAACTGAACCTGGAGAATAGGAGGAAGGATTGGAAAGATTTGTAGGTGATTTGGGATTATTCGCGTAGTATTCATGACCGCCAGTGCTGCCTTGCCATCGCGCTTCAACATCATGGCGACAATGATTTGAGGTTTGCGGACAAGCCGGGATGGATTGGAGTCCCGTCATGCCTGTGCTCTGCTCGAGTCAGTGGACCTGTCAACAAGGTAAGTGACAGCAACATGCGCGGGGAGGGCTTGTCATTGTGAGTGTGGCAAGCGGGGCCCCCAGACGTCATTGTCAACATTGCAATGTTTACCGCGACCCGGTGTACGTTGTAGAGTCGAAGGATTTGATGTTTCTGTTTGTAACCAACTCCCATAATTTCATCCCAAAGCTGCTGACGGATGGAGACTGACACAGTTTGGCCGAGGATAGGCGCACGAAGCACGGGCCCTGCACCAGCCGCGTGCAACTGCCGCGAGCTGGCAAAGAGCTGCTAGGTAGGTAAGGTAGGTAGGAGCTGGCTGTGCGGGCGGCAGAGCTCTCTGTCATCGGCCACCGCCTCGGCACCCAGCACGTCTCCAAAAAAACAACGGCAAAGCTGTTAGTGATTGGCTCAGGTAGGGCCGACGATGTTATCAGCGAGTCCATAATGGATCCCAATCGGTCCTAATCAGTCCTAATCAGGGCCCGTAGCGCAACAGCAGCAGAACTCGAAGGGGGGAGCTAGGTCCAGTCCCCTCGTCGGGCGGGAAGAACTTGGCAGGTGTTGCATCGTCATTTTCACAGTCCCTGAAATCGCTGCAAAATATTCCTTCTCCCAACATCATCACCAACCCACCTCATCCTCTACCGTATCCCATCCGCCGCATCCTCACCATGTTCAAGCTCGGCCGCAACCGCGCATTGGCTTCTGCCTTTGCTGCCACCTCCAGGGTTCGTCGCCGCCCCCCTCAGCCAGCCGTGATGTTGTTCTATGCACCGTCGCATCGCATCGCATCCAAAACAAAGCAACAAGCAAGCTGACAACATCTTCCAAACACACAGGCTCCCCTCGCCTCCAGACTCCCCAGCGTTTCCCAACAACAAAGGAGAGCCCTCAGCATTCACGAATACCTCTCTGCTGATCTCCTCCGTCAGGTCAGTACACACCCCCAGAGCTCTGGTGCCCATAGAATTGGCTTATCTCTCTCTCTCTCTCTACCTCTGCGTACCTACCCCGCCCCGCCCCGTCGCTATCTGACTCCATCGATCGGTCCCGATTTCTAACGCGACACCACACATAACAGTATGGCATCGGTGTTCCCAAGGGTGATGTCGCCAGGACCGGCGCCGAGGCCGAGGCCATCGCCAAGCAGATTGGCGGCGAGGACATGGTCATCAAGGCCCAGGTTCTTGCTGGTGGCCGTGGAAAGGGTACCTTCGACAACGGCCTCAAGGGCGGTGTTCGCGTCATCTACTCCCCCACCGAGGCCAAGATGTTCGCCGAGCAGATGATCGGCCACAAGCTCATCACCAAGCAGACGGGCGCCCAGGGCCGTCTCTGCAGCGCCGTCTACATTTGCGAGCGCAAGTTCGCCCGCCGCGAGTTCTACCTCGCCGTCCTCATGGACCGTGCCTCTCAGGGCCCCGTCATTGTTTCGTCGTCCCAGGGTGGCATGGACATTGAGGGCGTCGCCAAGGAGAACCCCGAAGCCATCCACACCACCTACATCGACATCAACGTCGGTGTCACCGATGAGATGGCCCGCGACATCGCCACCAAGCTCGGCTTCAGCGAGCAGTGCGTCGAGGAGGCCAAGGACACCATCCAGAAGCTCTACAAGATCTTCTGCGAGAAGGATGCCACCCAGATCGAGATCAACCCTCTTTCCGAGACCTCTGACCACAAGGTCATGGCCATGGACGCCAAGTTCGGCTTCGATGACAACGCTGATTTCAGGCAACCCGACGTCTTCAAGCTCCGCGACACCACCCAGGAGGATCCCGATGAGGTTCGCGCCGCCCAGGCCGGCCTTAACTTCATCAAGCTCGATGGTGACATTGGCTGCCTTGTCAACGGTGCCGGTCTCGCCATGGCTACCATGGACATTATCAAGCTGAACGGTGGCCAGCCCGCCAACTTCCTTGACGTCGGTGGTGGTGCTACCCCCGCGGCCATTAGGGAGGCCTTCGAGCTCATCACCAGCGACCCCAAGGTTACCGCCATCTTTGTCAACATTTTCGGTGGTATCGTCCGCTGCGACGCCATCGCCCACGGTCTCATCAACACGGTCAAGTCTCTGGACCTCAAGATCCCCATCATTGCCCGTCTCCAGGGTACCAACATGGAGGCTGCCCGCCAGCTCATCAACGACTCTGGCATGAAGATCTTCTCCATCGATGATCTCCAGAGCGCTGCTGAGAAGTCTGTCCAGCTCTCCAAGGTCGTCAAGATGGGTAAGTTCATTTTTCCCCCCCCCTTCGACTTGGCAAAGTAGAGCATGTGTGTGCTAACTCTTTTATTTTCCCAGCTCGTGACATTGATGTCGGCGTTGAGTTCACCCTTGGTATTTAAGCGAATCTCGGTCTTTGGGAATTATAGACAGGCGGGTGGTTACGGCTGACATGGATATTTCTAGCTTGATTTAGACTCTTACTATCTCTCTCTCAGCGTATGTGTGTGTGTGTGTATGTGTGGTTGGCAGGCATGATTGAAGGTTCTTTTTTTTTTCCCCGTCTCTTTTCCTGTGTACCTAATTGTTAGACGATGCACTGCACCGAGCCCTTTGATGTTGTTGTTGGTTTCTTCGGTTGCATGCATCGTCTAGTCGACAAAAAGTTCTCCGTGGTGTGTTGCATGTCGAGGGAAAAAGTGGAAGGGCCGAGCTGTCATTGTCATTGGGACCTGGGAAGATACCTCTCATTACAATACTGATGATACCATATCTTTGCTTGGCTTATACCGTGTCAAAATGCCTTCAACGCAACCAGATCTACGGATGACTGGGTATGCTAAGTGGTCGATACATCATGTCCACACACACTTTGACATTGCTCAAGACACGATAATACTTCTGCTCTTCCCCCCTCACACGTGAGTTCGTGATTGAAGCCAACACGAAGCTCTCCTCCACGCACTTCATCTTGCGCTCTTCATTGGTCAGACAATAATAGTTAGTGCTATTTGATCTCCATACTTGTATGTGTCACTGCTGCTGTGGGTCTTATGGGTGTATAAGTGGGGAATCGCGGTTTGACGCGTCCCCGGCCCAACGTCAAACGATCTTCCAAGTTCTATCATCTCATCCACTTATTCCTTTCTCTTGGTTTTCATTTTCTTGCTCAGCATCTACCTCTTTTACTCAACTCGGTGATGAAAAATCTGGCTTCTCTCCAAACAGTATGTCCAAGATCGATCGCTCTGAATGTTGCCGCGCCTTTGAACAAGAAAAGGGGGGTTACTGATCAACCAACCCCTTGGTCAAACAAATGCCGACGGAAATATGTGGTCAAATCCAGAGAGGCGCATATCGAGCCTAATTGATAGCCTTCCGTCAACTGGCAAGCTGGAACGCTAAAATCTATGGGTAGTACGATGGGGCCCGCTGAATTGTTGTATCATCTTTGTCTTCGATATGGTTGCAGTGTGCTATCGATACCTCTAGGTATGCAAGGTACGCCCCTCCTGATGTTTGCGTGTTTCCTCCGCCTCATGGCAATTGGTCTGAGCCCACGAACAGCCGACCAGGATCAGAATGGCGTTCGTCTGAATGTTTGCCCAAGTGCACCACCACCGAGTCTCAGACCCCTGTTCGACCACAATGAGTTTGCCAAACACCCTATGATTCTCCCTTGGAAACGATATGACATGCATTTGTGGAGATTGATATTACATGTCAGGACTCTGGACGAACATGAACAGTGATGAAGAACAAGCGGCCAGACGCCTCCTTTCGCTGGAAGCAGCATATCAGTGGCGGTTGGGATGGAAGACCTGGTTTTGTGGTAAATAGTTGGTGGCTAGGAGTCTTCGGTGCTATCGCCATACGGCAGGCACTACGACACCATTGTTCTAGGGATTGGGGAAACATATACCGTGGTGTGAAAGAGAGGGAGGATAGGTTTGTACATCGTGAACCCGTCCTTCTGTATTCTCAAACATTCTGTTGCTAGTTCCCGTCGTTTTTGACACAAGAACTAACTCCATGATGCTCATGTCCGAATACCTACCCTCTCCTCAGTATTGGCAAAGGCTTGCTCCCACTCTCATCCTTCGACATTTGGACGGATCATCAAGATGCGAGTTTTATCAGCACATGATATCAACAACCAACTCAGCAACCCATTCAAACGCGCCACATCCTTCCCTCGGCAATGCTCTGATTCCTGCCGTAAGCCGAATCTTTCATCCAACTGAATTTATACTACCGCAATCCAACCTATGATAAAGAGCTCTTACTATCGTCTGGACCGTAGACTAACAGAGGGAACGTCAACAGGCAATGCCCAACTAGAATGCCAACGAAACCCACTGTCCCCCGCCCTCTGCGGTCCAGGGAGCAGCTTTCTCCAGCAATATAACCAATGTCAGTCATGCATCGAAAACAACAGCAGCAATCCGGAGCTGGTCAAGGCAAGTCTGGCGATGAGGTTCATGAAGTGTACCGGGTATTGCAAGTTACAAGCAAGCACCAGTGCGCCTTCGTCAGCAACTCAAACGAAAATTCCCACTACCGGACAAGATGGAGACCTGTTTACGACAGCAACAACGAAGACTTCCAGCACTTCTTCCACTGCTGCTATACAAACAATAATAACCACGAGTTTAAATGTGGCCTACAAAGCGGAGACAACCACTTCCACGATACCTGCAACATCAAAGCCGACAGCATCCCCGACAACAAGTAACCCACCCACCTTACCCAAACCTTCAACTTCCGCTCACCCATCATCACCCACCCTCCCCTCTTCTTCTTCTTCTTTCTCCTCCTCATTGTTAGCATCAACCTCCACATCCCTCAGCACCATCCTCGACACCACCACACAAACCCAGACATCATCACTCACCTCCCCCACGGACGACAAAAGTCTTATAAATTCCACTTTACTACCTCTACAACCAAGCGCCGATACCAGCAATAACACCAGCACCAGCATCAAAACCGCACCCTGGGTCTGGGTCATCGTCGGCATAACCATCACCGTCGTCTTCCTCCTTTCCAGCGGGAGTTTCTTCTTTTTTTATAAAAAGGGGAGATCGAAACGGGGCTTGAACAGACATGAGGGAATGAAAGGAATGGTGGAGTTGAAGGAGACGACGGTGGGGAACCATGGGTTTGTTGATGGGTGGAGTGATGCTTGTTTTAGGACGGGGACCGGGAGGGCTGGGATAATGAGGGGGGTGCCAGATGAAGCGGGTGGACCTGGTAGTAACGTGATGGAATTGGAAGGCAGTGGCAGTGGCAGTGGCAGTGGCAGTGGTGGAGGGAGGGGTGTTGGGGGAATAGGAACTACTAAGGGGAATGGGAATGGGAATGTACCGCCGGTTGAGATGAGTTCTTGTGGGAATGGGTTTGCGGAGTTGCCTACGGAGTTTAATCGGAGGGAGGAGGGAGGAGGAGGTGGTGAAGTGAGGAAGGTGGGTGAGGAAGACTTGTGAGGAAGGACCGATGCTACATTGAGTTGTGCCGGGTGGTACGAGCGAACTGCATCCATGCGAAAATGCTCGAATGTGGATGCTACTTCCGTTTTGATACTGAGGTTCAAATCAGTTGCTGTGGCGGGATCCCGAATTCCAGTCATCAGCAAGTCATACGTATGGGAAAGAGCTACCCGAGAAGTGGGAACGGAAGAAAGAAATGGAGCTAGTATTGGAGATGAAAATAAACGAGTGTGAAAACAAGGAATACCCGCCCCTACCAAATTATGTTTGAGGATACCTACGCGTGCGATGAGTAATGCTGCCTCTGCCATCCATCCGTGAAGACGACTCCTTGGAAACTGAAGGAAATCTTCCGACAATAAAAGGAAGAAAAACTCACTGAAAAGGACAAGAAAACAAAAAGGAGAAGAGAACACGAGATGACAGAAATTTAAATGACCTTGCCACTGGCTGCAGTGTTGGATGTCTGTGATCCAGTGTCATCTGCAGTAACCTACCTAGGTTAAGAGTCGAGAGTACCTTGCCTTCCTTCCTTCCTCCCTTCCCTCCTTCCCTCCTTCCCTCCCAACACTAACAAAAAACCCTCCAACTCCGTCCCACGGAGGGGCATGTGCATCCTCCCCTTCCTCGTCAAAATCAACACACGCCCCCCCCCCACAGAGCCACCACAGCCTTTTGCACATTATCATCCACTCACCCCGGCCCGTTGTAAAAGATGACAGCGGCACAAGGGATGTCCAGTGTCCTGCTAGACTGCGGCTGACAGCTGGTGCCAGCTTGGATGGTCATGACTGTGTTGATATGGTTGTGTTGGTGCAGTTGGTGCAGTTGGGGAGTTGGGGGAGTTGTAGAGGTAGATGAGGGGGGTGGTTGCGGTAGATGAGGGAGGTGGCAGTGGTGAGGAAGGGATGTGGGCGGTGGTGTGTGGTAGACGAGTCATCGTGTGTGGTTTTTTTTTTCTTCTTGAGAAACTTTTGGTAAAGTCGAGACAAACGAGACAGCGGTATCTGGGCTCTGGGGTGAAGTAAGTATTCGTCGTGATTTTATTCCATCCAGTTTTCTTCTTCTCTAGATGGGTTCCAAGTTGAGAATCGCGATGAGATGACTACAGTAGTCTGATCGTGGCTGCTACTGAGTCCGAGGGGCCTCGGTCTGGTTTCAGCTCGCCTCAACATACTAGGCGTTTCATTTTCCAACACTCTGGTGAGATACCTGCATATTAAAGGACATTATGATTCGTCTTATATTGAGTGCTTACATACCGCAATGGCCCAGTTGGGAAAGACAGCTGTTGAGGACATTGACCCACAGTTCGAGTTGCAGCAGCTAGGAACGAATGGGTTGGAAGGGTGTAGAGGGTTGAGATGGGGAAATACATGTCGGGATGGATGTGTATGTAACAGAGACGCAAGAATGACGGACATGATGTTTTGTGGATTCACCAAGTGGCAAGTATTGTATTATCTTTATAGCAAAAGAGGGGGGGAATTGTCTGAAGCTAGCTATTGTCTGGAAAAAGCAATTGACGAGGAAGAAGACAAGGAAAAAAAAAAGAAACAGAGAAACAGGGGAGAAGGAAAGAGAAAGAACATGTGAGAAAAACTGGACTTCATCCTCAGCTCACCTTCATGGTGTCGAAACCTGAAGTAGTCCATCATGTCTAGTGAGGAAAGGAGAAAACAAGAAAACTTTAGGCCATACAACTAGTATTCTTCCAACATGCATCGAAATCTCCCAAAGATGCTCCAACACTCGACCCTTTAATTAACCCCAGAGACACTTGTTGCCAAGCTTAGGATCTACACCATCTTACCCACAACTCCAACCCTGGTTGTAACTTGAAGTTAATGTACGGCTCAGAGGCCGCTAATTGAAGTATGAAAAAAGACACCCGGCGATCGACCGTCGTAAATTCTTTCGAAAGTGAATTGAGCTCGGTCAGTGTAGGTTTCACCAACTCTTTTGCACCCAAAATCGCAGAGTGGCAAGCCAGGGACCTGGGCACTTCCCCGCCACTCCACATACCCAATACCAGCAGTATCCTCTTACCATCAATGTTCAAGATAAATAATAGACTGTGTGAGGGGGTCTCGGATGGCTGCCAGCCGTGGTTTGTCCACCTATTGCTCCAACGATCCGCCTCGTAAGCGTCGACCTTTGTGGCTTTGGGAGCCGTCGCAGTTCTAAGGATGACGAACCGATGTGGCTGTCTTGACAGGGGAGGACATATCATCTCCACATCGAATTTCGAATTGTCCTGCCCAGGCCATGGTGGCTCTTTCCGGAAGGCCATCTCCAAAACAAACAATGTTGACCAATCAAGAAGAACCAACAGAGAGAAATAAGATATCGCTAGCATGATAACAGGCCATATCATTCTTCAAGTACCTGAACGCCTGTTATGAGAGACTAGATACCAGAGAGTTAAAAAAAAAACCAGTATAAAGAAGGGCGCGGAGAAAAATTGATTCGTCCTTCACCCTTCAAAATTGGTACAACAGTCAAGCTCGCCAAAAGCTAGCAAGCCCGAGCTACCGCCATGCCCGTCGTTATTGAGCCGGACTCTGACCCCCAAAGCGGCAAGAACCACGACTGGGCTACGTCGTCGCCCTCAAACCTACTCTACCACACCTCGGCCAACCACTCCCACTATCCCACTCTACACTCATCGTTCAGCTCTCAGCACGATCCTAGCGGTTCCACGAACTCCCCCTTCTCCAATTGTGGGCAACAAGAATGGCTTCGTCCATACCGTCATCCGCGCCCGGTAGCACGACCTGCACCTAAGGATCCGGCCCGACGATGTGTGGCTCGCCATTCTCACCCAGTTTAGTTTCTTCACCAACAGGAACGCCGAGGCGCTCCGTCATCTCTTCGTTTCCCATCATGGTCAGCAGGAGGTCGTTGTCGATGTCGATGCCCCCTCGGTCGGGGCTGTAACCTGGTAAGTGACACTGTCTATGCCTACCACCGTATCCATCACTAATAGCAAACAATAGGCAATCGGGCTGAGGACGCGCTGGAACAAGATCTCTTCTTGCAGTGTCCATCCACAGGTAAACCAAGCGTAGAGGTAGTCTCTCCATTCGTCTCGTGGTGCTGCCAGTGTTTGATATTAATATGGGCGCCTGTTATCGACTCGTTGATATCTTGACCAAGACTCTTTGTTGAATGGATTCATTCCAGATGCTGATGCCTGGAAGCTCTGCTTGGGCGTCAATTACGAGCAGCAGCTACTATTGTGAATATTGAGAGACCTCAGCCATAAGCTGGAGCTGGGCGGCTTTGTCATTTTCGTCGTCCTGGATGATGCAGAAAGCGTGTCCACCCAGTGGTAGCGGATGCCCATGTCAGAAGGTAAATTTGATCGCAGCTAACATTGTCTGCAGTCCTAGCACTCGTTGAATATCAGCTAACTGTAGCCGATCAAGATTGTCGTGCTTCCAGGGTACTTTTGTGGCCGTTGGCTCCCCATTCGGTACATAGCTGAGAGTTACATGCTATATATCCCCAAGACGGTGCTTCGTGAACTCAGCAACTACTCAAGTACTCGTATCAATAAGGCAAGCGGTAGAAGCCGTTCTGTTCTGGCTCCTATACAGAGAATAAGCGTCCTTCGTGGTCTACCGAACAAGTACGTAGCCAGCGCCGCGGCAGGTCAGGGGCAATGTTGGCTGGCCTCTCGCGCGCCCACCAAAGAGGCTGCGTGGTATGTGGACGCTGGCATCGCCGAAATTCACGTCCTCTGCCGGATCCAGAGTCTGAAGGCAGTCGAAAAACGTAAGACTCGGCTGCCGCGTAAAGGCAGTCACTGGTACGTTCCACGTCAAGGTGCGACGGGGAGAGACAAACTAGACCTCACCGCTTTTGCTTCGCGGCCTCTTTATATCGTGTCGTTGTTGCCAGCGCATCTAGACACCTCGATCGCAGGTCCATCAACCAACCTCCTCAAAATCGTGGTGGTCGTATCCAGTCCATATATTCTAGGCAAGGTTAAAGTGGTTTAACACAAGGGACAACTGACTGCAGAGCGGTCTATGTGCGACTTGGCTTTTCGAGCTTTTGGTCTAACTTGAAGCCCGGCCTCGATAACATACTGATTGACGCCTCTTTGGGGTCCATATGGAAAGGAGTACATACTCCTCCAGGAGATCTTTTCCTTTGGTCAAAGCCTGTAAGCCTTCAATTCAAGGGTAAGGAGGCGCATCGGTTCGAAGTCGATGGATGGCTGCGCAGTATGTAGTGTAGTCGCAGAGCTCGCCCGCGTCCGGACACATTATCGGATCTTCGGCGCCGTAGCAGGGGAGTATGTACAATTCTGGGGCTTTCGCTTGTTAGCCCGGCTTTTTTTTTTTTTTTTTTTTTTTTTTTTTTTTTTTTTTTTTTTGGCGGTGTACGCAGCATCGTTTGTGGCGATGTCCATCTTGGATGATACTGAACAGACTCGTCTCCAGATCGATTTCCAAAAAAATGACCGGGAATAGAACATCATGCCATGATGCCGTTTGTGCCGTTAATGATGTCTGAAGTGGAAGTCAGACGTGAGGTGAGGTCTTGTGCGACTTGGTTACTCCCGGCCAGCCCCGTTGTTGTCTCTCATTCCAACACAACACTCTTTCCAAAGAAGTTGAGACTTCCCTTCTTCCATGCCGTCCAATCCGGTTCGATGGAATCTTTGCCGCGCAACACCCGCGTTGTGGTGTAGTGTACACTACAAACCCAGACTGCCGGATATTGCTTCTTTTTCATCCTCGGTTGTCTGGGAAATGGATCCCTTCCTTGCAGCCCTGGAAGCATTTGGACGTGGAGGGAGGAAGGTCTTCGGGCAATTACGTGCATCCTTTCGAAAGAGTTCCCACTTTAAGTCGTCACAACCGTGGCTGTGATTGGTTGATGGCGGCCCATGGACTCCTTCCCCTTTTGCCGGTCACCGAACTGCCCCCCCAGAACGGTCCCCCAAAGAGCGCCGGGATACCGGAGCATGGCATGGGTGAAAGGGAGAGATGCCCCATAAAAAAAGAACCACCCCCGCTATAATGGATCTGATGCTAAAACACGCAACCCCGCCATTTATATCTCGATCTTCAATTTCCCAAGCACATGCTATTCCTGCTGCCACCTATTGACTTGTATGTATGTAGGTAGTCTCGGGTGTCAGGATCAAGTGCCGGATCGCCGACCACCGCTGAGGGATATTTGGACTGCCTAAAATACATCGATGTGTTCTGGTAAAGGGTCAGACACGGACACACCAACCCGCCTCCAGCGCGCCGTCTGTCTGACTGACCATCTTCGGTGGAGTCTCAATTCATCAGTACAAACAGCACTGGTCAGGAGAACAAGACAAGGAACAAGAGACTAGAACAAAGAAACGGCATGTTGTCTACAGTATCGAGATGTCCAACACATGCTACATAGTAGATGCCAGCCAAGTGGGATATTGCCCGAGGGCCACACGGAAAGACTCCATCCAACCTACCATATGTACCCCATCCGATTCCCCATCAGTTTCCCCGTTCTTATTCATTCACAAGGAAGGCCAAACAAGTCCCCGGACCCGGCATGTATGTACATATGGATTAGACGGACCCTCCCATCATCATATGCTCCATTCGGGTCTTGGTGATGATGTAGAGAGGTATCCATCCCCCGCCCGTGTTGGCAGCCCTTGTTGCTTGTGGACACTCAAACCACCCAGAGCCAAGGGAGGCTGTGGGAAGGCTTTTGAGATGTTGGACGATGCTCGAGTCGCGTGCATGCATGGGTTAAGTTGTTGGGTTTGGAGAATCAAGAAATCCCTATAAGACAGGGCGTTTTCCCGGTCACCCGGTAGTATTCTTATTGTTGTTTCTTTTCCTTTTCCTTTCTTCCTTTCTTCCCTACCTACCATCCATCTTCGACATCTTCGACATCAACACCACCGAGGTGCCACCACCAACATCAACAACAACAACCACATTTGTCCAAAGCGGAGGGCATATTAACAACACCGTCCAATCATTATTATACTACCTACCTACCTACACACCCCTAAATACAAACACAATGGCTCCCATCAAGCCCCACTGGGTCCAGCCCTCCCACCCGGACCGTCTTCACCTCATCGTCAACGAGGCCGAGTTCACGTCCAAGAGCATCTCCAAGATTGCTCTGCCGCCCTTTGCGCTGTTCGCCAAGCTCGAGTTCCCCCCCTGCACGCCAGCCGACAAGCCGACGTATGCTACCGTCCAGTGTGGCCGTGACAAGCACCTGGATCTCAACAGCGACTTGCTGTACATCAACCACTCTTGCGAGCCGTCTCTTGTATGTGTAATGTTCCTGACTGCCCTTCTCCTCTCTGTTAAAACAACTGAACTCTCTGTGGGAGTACTAGTCAGTAACACAAGGTTGTTAACGAAATGTTGAAAAAAAAAATAGATCTTTGACACGGGTAACATGAACGTCATCGCCGGCCCGAAAGGGATTCAAATCGGCGAGGAATTGACTGTATTTCCCCCCTCCCCTCCTTCCCCTTCCTTCCTTTCCTTTCCCCCGGCAACAAGCAGACTAATACCCACCCCAACAACAAAGTTCTTCTACCCCTCAACCGAATGGACCATGGCCCAGCCCTTCGACTGTCTCTGCGCCAAACCCACCTGCCGCGGCCGCATCTCCGGCGCCCGCGACATGACCGACGCCCAACTTTCGGGTGCCTGGCTAAACGGCCACATCCGCGACCTTCTCGAAGAACAACGTGGTCCCACCACTACCTTTTCCTCTTCCTCTTCTATCCCTACCGCCACTACTGCCAATGCTTCCACCACCACCACCACAGCTTCTTCTTCATCATCCCTCAACGGCAGCAACTCCGCCACTTACACCATCCCCGAAAAGAACTCCTCTGAAAAAAACGGCTTCCACAAAGTCGGAGAGTTGGACCAAATTGCGCAGAGCCTTCGAGATGCATTGACGCATGCCGAAAAGGTGGTGGAAGCCGCGAGGAATGCGCTGATGAGCTATGTCGGGGCTGTCAATGATGCTGCTACTGCTGCTAACAATGGGGCGGCGAAGAAAAAGGAGGAGGAAGAGGAAGAAGAAAGTCCCGAGGGGGCGCGGAGACGGGGACCGACGAGTAGGGAGCTTAGTGGAGAGATGGGGGGTGATACGATGGAGGTTTTGGCTTAGGGGAGTGGGGGGGGGGGGGGGGGGGGGGGGGGGGGGGGAGGGGGAGGCATGTCGCTGAATACTTATACTCCTAAAGGGGAAGAAGGGGATATGAAGCACATGCCTACCTACCTGTGTTGATGGTGGAGGAGGGCTGCTACGGTCTCTTTTTCTTTTTTTGGATATGGGAGGAAAACAAAAGAAAAGAGACATGAGCGGCCTGAGGAATCTGCCGTCCTGTCGTTACTGGTTGTTTTGAATTTATATAAAACCTTGGAAACAGACAAAAACCAGTATTGGATATGATAGCCAAATACGCATTGTACATGGCGAAAGAGTGAAAAGGGGGTGAAGAAAAGGGGTGAGAAGATATCATGGATATAGAAATACATATTGTTGTACAGTAACAATGCTTGCCTTTTGTCTTTGGCACCGTGGGACCACACTTCTCGCCCTGAGAAGGTCCTTCATTATCGTCCTCATCCTCATCATGCATCCCAAAACACACCAACCCCAGGTTTCCCATTCCCAATGCCATCAAATGTCCCTCATAAACCCAGTTGCCAGCATCACCTCACCTCACCTCACCACCTGCTTCATCAGCCTGCCTTGCCGTAAAAGCCGGACATGTTCCTCCTTCCCCTTCCCTCGCCCCCTTCATCCCACCCAACAACCAATCCGTCAACCCAACCACCGTCGCACCCACCCCCTTTTCAACCTCCCCATCCTGCTGCGCATGCTCAATCGTATGACTCAATATTCTCCCCTCCCCATCAAACTCAAAGATGAACAGCCCCGTGAACTCTGACTTCTTGCTGTTATCCCTGCCCGCGGACGGTTCCGCATCGCCCACCGGCGCTTTATACTCCGTCGCCGTTCCCTTGTCCGCTGTTTCCCTGACCCCCTTCGTGTCACTTCCTGCCTCGCTGCTGCCATTGATAAAACTCAAGCCCCAATTCTTGGCGTTGCCGATGGTCCGCCAGCGCACAATCAGTTGCTCGGGATAGGCGCCGATGCGCCGGTTTTGCGACGGGGGTTTGTAAAGGGGGCGGTCGACCATGCGTTCGGACAGGATTTCGAGGCGGACGTTGCCGATGATCGGAAGGCGGTTCCAGGCCAAGGGGGCGGTCCATAGGGCGGCAATGTAGGCGACGCGGCCCCTGACGGTCGGGAGGTGCGGGTGGGTGGAGGGGAAGAGGTGGAGGGAGATTTGGGGGGAGAGGATGGAGGTGGGTAAGGGGGACTGGAGGATGGTTGGGAGGTGGGCTTGGAGGATTCGGAGGGCTGGTTGACGGAGAGGATGGTGTTAGTTTGTTCGTTGGTGAAGATGATGGAGGGATGAAGGGGCTTCGCACTTTTGCCTAGCTTGACTTTGCGCTCGTCTGGGGGCTTGTTCAGCCCGCCGGGGCCATCTGGAGGTCGGATCTCATCGCTGCTGGATTCTGATTTCGCGGGGGTTTGAATATTGTTGTTGGGGTTGAACCAGGTTTCGGGGAGGTTGCGCGGTTTTGTTTCTGGGAGGGTGGATGTTGAGCGCTTGTTGATAGTGGTGTTTGCGGATGACGATGATGCGCCACTAACTTTTGTTGTTGATGATTTGGGTGGCGGCGGCTGTGATGAGGTCGGTTGCGAATGTGTTGGAGGCTGGTTTGAGAGAAAGTAGGATCGGCATTGGGCTGGTTGTTGTTGTTTGCCCACCACGCCACCAGCAGCTATTCGTATCCTCGTGGGCGCCGACATGGTGCAGTGGGTGTTTAGACACTTTGGTGGTCGGGTACCTGGGCCGACACGAGTGGACTCGCAACGTGGGCTGTCGGAACACGCCGCGCTGAGATGGACAGTGTAAGTAGTGTATAGTATGGGGTGTGTTGTATAGGGCTGGGATCGATGCAAGATAAGGCCGGGTTGAATGCCATTTGCAAGACTGTGAAAACGCCAAGTGGTTGACTTGTCTCTCTGACGAAGAGTGCCGCACACCGGGTGGAATGATGTCAGTGACGGATTGGCTCGGATGGTTGACCACACAGCTGATAAGAGGGTCGGGCGTCTTAGTATCGGAGTATTGTACAGTACTGTGTGTCGGTATGGTAATCGGGTGGATCAGCTTCCATTTGCTCACCGGGTCTCCCCACGGACAGGGATTCCGACAGCGACGTTTTGTGGGGTTGGATCTTGATCATCAATACTCTATCCATGGACATAGCGATTGTGGTGTAGGTCAGGAGTCTTTGAGAGCAACATAGTTGCATAGAATGAAACTACCAATGCTTCATCGTGATTTTGGTTGTGGTCAAATATACAGAACCGTGAATTCCCATTTGGCACACTTGTTTCACATGAACCCTATCTTATCGGCATACATAAAAGTGAAAGGTAGGTACATACATAGGAGTGCTGGATGATGGAACCCAAGCTAGAAGCTTCCTAAAGATCAGGAGTTCGTTGGACCCGTGAATCGATGTTGCTCCCAGATCCAAAAAGGGAATCATTCATTCATTCATTCATTGGAAGCCCATGTGGACACCGCTCAGGTGGCCCAGCCTCCAAGTCCACGATAATAAAGGAAGCCATGGGAACAACGACAAAAGCACTTTCGAGGCATACCAAAACAAAAAAAAGTTTCGTAGCCGTACTTTGTTGTCGCCTCTTGGACAAACAACAACCTGGAATCTCAACCACATTTCACCATCATTGTTTTTTTGTCTTTTTTCTTTTGGGACTTGTTTGGCTGTGAAATGCACATCATCGGGACGACACCAAAATTGTTAGTGCAATACCGTACCGCAACTGAAGTGGGAAAGGGTCAGGAGGCGGCTGCTGCGTCACGTGCATCGTCACCGCTTGAGTCCCCTGTTTTGGATGGATAAGTGTCCCGCCTCTTGGCCGGCGGTCGCCAATCACCCCCCCAGTGGAGGACCGGGACCCTCTGACGCCTTGACGCAGCTGACACTGGTGGTGAGCCGCCCGGAGAGTGTGCGGGTGGTGTGGACGGGCTGCCACTGCCACTCGCTGCCAGCAGTCAGCGGCGCTCTCCCATTCCATCAACTGTTGCTCTGCGTGTTGCCCGTTCCAGGTTCTATGCTGCGTGCTGTTGCTGCCTTTCCATCCACCCACCTACACTACTAGAGTTCTACAATCCTCCACATCATCAATCAACCAACAGACCGACCTACACCTAATCTCCTTCAACGAACCTAACCATCCCTCTTTCGCTCCACACCGTCTACCATACGATACCCGCCTTAATTCTTCGCTGTCCAACTCAACCCAACACCACCTCATCGCATAGCGCGTCCCTCGTTGCCCATCATGAACCCCGAGTAGTATGTTTAATCACGTCTCCTGTTGCCCTTCTCCTGCTCTTCCCAAATCCCCGGAAGCCGCCGCCACGCTGCCGGCACCTACAATCATCGCCGCCGCCCGTATACCATGTTGTTTCCATGACCGATTGCTAACATATTTGTCCTTCAGGGTGCCCACCGCTTCCCCTCATCACCCGACGTCGTCCCCTTCCCTTTCGCGACTCGACCGATCACCGCCGCCACCACCCCAAAGAACCCTGCTGACCATGCAACCAGATACGACTACCTCTTCAAGCTCCTCCTCATCGGTGACTCCGGTGTCGGAAAGTCTTGCTTGCTCCTTCGTTTTGCCGACGATACCTACACCGAGTCCTATATCTCCACCATCGGTGTCGACTTTGTACGTCCTGCTATCCTGCCTGCGCAACACATCCGTTCGATCCCACTCAACATGCTGACCGTTTGGCTAGAAAATCCGCACTATCGAGCTTGATGGCAAGACCGTGAAGCTCCAGATCGTAAGCAACCCCCCGGCACTCCTGGACACCTTGGAAATCCAAATTCGCTGACCCAGTCGCCTATCCAGTGGGATACCGCTGGCCAAGAACGTTTCCGTACCATCACCTCTTCCTACTACCGTGGCGCCCACGGCATCTGCGTTGTCTACGATGTCACGGATATGGACTCCTTCAACAACGTGAAGCAATGGCTTCAGGAGATTGACCGTTACGCCACCGAGGGCGTCAACAAGCTCCTCGTCGGCAACAAGAGCGATATGACCGACAAGAAGGTTGTCGAGTACACAGTCGCCAAGGTACACAGCCACCCCTAACCCTCGTGTCTAAGCCACATACTTACACATCAACCAACAGGAGTTCGCCGACAGCCTGGGCATTCCCTTCCTCGAGACCTCCGCCAAGAACGCTAGCAACGTCGAGCAGGCTTTCCTTACCATGGCCCGCCAGATCAAGGAGCGCATGGGCAGCTCCATCGCCACCAACAACACGAAAGCCAGCGTCAACGTCTCCCCCGGCCACGGCGTCTCCAACAACTCTTCCGGCGGCTGCTGCTAAAGCGTCTGTGCCTTGCGGCATTGGTTGCGCTCTTGGCGTTACGGTTTCGCATCGGACGGTGTTTGACGACATGATGATGCGATTGAATGTTACGGCGTGGGCATTGGGTTGAGCTGTAATGCAAATACTGCTCCAATGGGATCTCAGTTAGGAATGTTTCGGCTCTGCTTCTGTGGTTTTGCGAGGAACATGGGAGGAGACTTGAGGCGGCTTTACATGCTACCTTGGGGATTCATCACACGGTTCCGCGGGCCCTTCCTCGCTTGCCGGGACAGGTTAGGGTGGGGCTTAAGAGGATGATGATCGAACGCACCGGAAAAGGGAGCTTAATAGTTGGCTCATCACCAGTGTTCGTCACAATTCCTGGCAAAGGGCAAGGGGGGAAAGAGTGGCTGGCTGAGACATGGGATGGGCGGCGGGCTTCTTAGAGAGCTTCCACGACCCTTGATGATTTTGGGGGTGTGTGTGTTGCGTGTGTGTATTTTCGGTCTTGGGCATAACTGAGGACGCGGCACGGTTTTTTTTTTTAACACATTTGTTACTTTTGGTTTTTTTTCAAGGAGCTAGACTACAGTTTTTGCTATTTTCTGTGTTTTGAGGCAAACCCACTGATCTTTTCCATGCTACAGCTCTCTCTCTCACAGAGGAAACCTTTCGCTTCAGAGAGATGACCGGCACATTTACACCAAGAAGAACCACACGTACAGGCACACCCATGCATAAAAACAGACGCTCACCAATATCAAGCTATGAATCAGCTCTAGACGTCCTCGATGGTCACTCGCGCTTGATGAAGTCTCTCATAGCAACGGACTTGGTTATGCTAGTAGAGTTCGATAGTCCAACTGGATCTCTAAACGTTGAGATTTTCGACGTCCTGCCGGCTGATCCAACGGCCATGATCAGACTGCTGAGGATAACCTACTCTCCAGGGTCTTGACAGCAGTATATTGATGAGAAGTCCAGTCGACGGTCGGCAAATACCCCTTGTCCCATATCACGCAAAGTATAGCGGGCCGTATCACGGTCGAGCGTTTGTTGTGTTGAAACACCCCAATTCAAAAGTAATCGCAGGTATCAACAGCGCAAAGGTTGAAGAGACACTCGGTTATAAAAGCTTGCTTCATAACCATACTGTAAACAAGATTTGACTGCCCGATGTTTGTCAAGCTCTCTTCTTCTCCGTGGTAAAATTGCATGCTATACGTACCTCTACCTACATTCTCCCATACTTACTGACCTCGGAGCTCTTCGCCTGCGTTGTTGATAGACTAACAGTAGGTTAGGTACCTCTAGATGGTGATTGCGGGCATAGTGAGTGAGTGAGTGAGTGAGTGAGTGAGTGAGTAGACGTATACGCATTTTTTCCCCTTTTCTTTCTGTCCCCCCCCTTTTTTTACTACTACTACTACTACTACTACTACTACTACTACTACTACTACTACTACTACTACTACTACTACTACTACTACTACTACTACTACTACTACTACTACTACTACTACTACTACTACTACTACTACTACTACTACTACTACTACTACTACTACTACTACTACTTCTTCTTCTTCTTCTTCTTCTCCCTTCTTTGTTTCCCTCCTTCCTTCTCTTTCTTCCTTCTTTCTCTCCCCTCTTTTCCTATTATGCCACTCACCTCCCAAGCTTACCCCCTTACTTCCTTACTCCATTACAACAAACATGTACTTGTAATGGTTTCTGGAACATCAGAGGCAAGATTTCTCCCGAAAGAGTGAAGAGAAGAAGACAGACAGACGAAACACAGAGGTAAGTGTAACGACGGGCGCCGAGTGAATCTACCAGACATCGGACGTCCATTGTTCCAAATTCAAGAATTTCCATCTGACTAGTTCGTCGACACAGAATGAAGTATCTGGCCTACTGTGGCTCTTTAAGCAGTCCTTAAAATCAAGCAGTGTTTAAAATTTTGAGTCGTCCATTTTGTGACGGACATTAGAAGCCTCACTTGCTTTCCATGTTGTTCTCAACATCAATTAACAACTCACATTTTACATGGTTGGAACGTTTAGGCTTCAATCGGTAGGTAGATACCTCGTCATATTATGTAACTTATTGATTGATTGACTTGTAAGGAGGTCGCTGTTAAACTTATGATGAAGGTCTGAAAGTTAGTACATATATAGTTATTGACGGTCCATAACAATTAACTCGCTGAATCAGTTCAAGATATCAATACAACTCAAGGTGAGAGTCACTTTGATCGAGCTTGAGACTGTTTATGAACCCAGGATAACTCAATCAGGGCACCATCTTGAATCATCCTCTTATCCATCATGGCCCTGACTCCCGGGACAGAGTTGGAAATCAGTACGTGCTAAATACTACAGTTAGAGTACTAATTTGTATCAAGATTGTAGTACAGGTCCAATACAAGACTAGGTAGACGTAACTACCCCCAAGAATGACCGGGAGTGTATCCGGAATACCCTCCATATTCCTCCTTGCAATGGCACAGCACCGCACTACAATCGTTATATGCGGTGATTTTGGGACCCATCCAGACCCAAAAGAAATAGCACCGATTCATTACCGCCCCTCCCAGTTTCTCATATGCGCTGTGGCAACTGCAAGCATCAATGGGTACGTGAAAGTACTTGATGCAGTCGTCCTCGTCGTGCACATACTCACACCCATCTTCGACGTACAGGCCCCATTCGAGCCACCACACCTGCTTTTGGAATTTGTTCACATGGCTCACCGGCACCGATTGAATGCGGAGTTTTACCGTGAGCGGGCCCTTGAGCACCTTGCCGTGGAGCGGGCTCCCGGATCCGCAGAACCGCTTCATCTGCTCCATGGCGTCTGCGCGGCTAAACCATGTTATAGATTTACGAAGATCGCTATACTGCCAGTCAGGATAGCAATACAAGAAGTTGTCGGCGGGGTTGCCCTGGTGGTGGCCGGGTTCCGAATAGGCAGTCGACTCGATGTGGTCGAAATGGGCAAGGTCTCGAATGCTGCTGTCATAACCCAGGTGTAGCTTACTCCAGCCCGCGGCCCTGAGCTCGGCGGCAAAGTCCGTCAGGTTGACCGCTTGGAGGACAGTCGCGTCGGCAGGCATGTTTGTGGGAGCTTTGCGGGCTTCGTAGCCGCCGTCGAACGTGACACCCTTGCAAGAATTTCCAGCTTGGGCAACGATGGGGAAGAGGGCCACCAGCGACGCCAGGAGGACGGTCGCGAGGGTGACCGTGGTTTTGAACGACATCATCGTGTTGTATCGTAGTGATACCGTTGTGGGCGGTTGCTGAGATGATGTTCTGCGTTTCGAAAAGGTTAGAATTGGAGGCACACTCTGCGAGATGGGTGACGGTATCATCAAGCTATTTCGTGAATCGATGTTTCCTAGACGTACCCCTATTTCTCACAGTCCTCTGGGGCTTTTTCACCCGAATCCACGCCACACCCTCCAAGAAGAGTATTCTGTAAGAATTCGGGCCTATAATTTTCTCTCTTGAGCCTTTATCTTCTTGTTGGAATACTCATATGCAGTGTTGGAAGGTTAGTTGCATAGGAAGGCGCAGCGAATGCGATAGGGAAGCGGCTTGCTGATACCAAGATCGGAATAAGTATAGGAAGAAAAAAGGTCTTTAGTACATGGGACGAGTGCTAGGGGCTGTGGGACACGCGGTTTTGTACATGGGACGAGTGCTGGTGACTTTGGAATGAAAGGTTTTGTACAGTAATGTTGTCGTAGTGGTCGATGATCATGAAAGATCCCAAGGATAAGTGTAGGCAATCGTAGTGTATGTGTAGACTACCCCATACAGAATTCTGGTCGAGGGGAAAAAGGACAAGGACGAGAATGAGGTCAAGGAAGGTGTATGACAAGTGAAACTAGACTGATTTGCTAAGAGAGACGTACCGTTATGAACAGACACGTACCAGCAACGGGACCTTGAAAATCCAAGAAAAGAGCGAAGGCACCGGTTGATGAAGCGTTGAAGAAGAAAATGACGAAACGTGTGGAGCCAGTAGACTTGAAGTGAACGGCAAAGTGAATGCTTAATGAATAGCTGGTTGTAAGAAAAGAAGGAGGCTGACTGGATGATGAGAATGGCAGACGGCTGATCTGGTGGAAAGAAGAGGAAGATAGGCACCAAGGGGAAACGGGACAAACCTGACCTTTAATACCTCTAGGAATTACCCCAAGTAACAGGTTGCAGACGAGATGCACTTGCCTCATGTACAAAGAAGCAAGGAAAGACAGCACGTAGAAGGTCCGGATGGAAAAGACCGGCGTTCTGACCACGAATCCAGATGGCAGGTGCCAAACAGGACGATACACAGCACTATCTGCAAGCTGTTCTCGCTGTAACTCCATGGCACCCGCATACATAAGCACCGTATGCCCTTGGCCTTCCTAACCAGGAATATGCGGACAACGTGCCGGCAAAGACAGCACAACCTGTTCAGTTCGATTAGATTCCTGTCATGAGCTGAATCCGTCTGCCTACTCTGACTCTTCCCCATCATCACGACCGCCATCCTCTTCTGTCTGTTTCCCATTAACTGGCGCTCCCTCTCCGCCCTCGACCTGCGCAGCCTTTCTCCTCTTCTTCTTGTTCTTCTTCTTTTTCCTGTTTTCGTTTTCCTTCTTTTTCTTGGCCTGTTGAGACTGCCCAGAAGTTGTGCCAGGTTCGCTATCTGCTGGCTTGGGCGTATCTGTTGGCGGAGTCGTGGTGGTGGCTGTCGTCGGACTTGGTTGCTGCTTTGCGCTTGCGTCTGGTTTACGCTGGCCATCCGTGACTTCGTTCGTGGCAGCAGCAGCAGAAGCAGGATTTTCCTCTGCCTTATCCGGCTGACCCTGTCCTTCATTCACCACCTTGTTATCACCCGCCACTGCCTTGCTCCCCTGTCCAAGCATTGCCCCTGACACAGGCAAAGGCACAGCTCCCCTCCCCTTCGCATCACCACCACCAGGCTTGCCTTTTTTTCCCGCTCCTCTTCCCCCCCTTGAATTTCCATCCAAATCCGCAGAAACCACACCCCTCCTCTTCCCCCTGACAGCCCCCGCCCTGCCCACCTCCTCCTCACTCTCACTCTCCTCCTCCATCTTTTTTCTCTTCTGTCCCTGCTGCTGCTGCTGTCCGCCGGGCTGCTGCCACTTTAACCCCATCTTCCTCCTTAACTCCCTGTCTTCTTTGCTCCCCTGCATTCCTCCTTGGCTTCCACCGTTGTTGTTGTTGTCAGACTTGGACGGCGGCACCCAACCCAATCCAGCATTGGGAGGTTGGTTGAGTATCGACCTGATTTCTTCTTCGTGGTCTGGGATTTTGCGGTCTTCGTCTTTTTCTTCTCCCTCCTGCTCTGCATGTGTCGTCGTCGATGCTGATTTTTGCTGCTGCAGAAGGGTTGAGAATCCCCCGGACTTGGTGGTCGGCTTGCTTGCTGTTGTTGAACCGCTGGTGGTGGTAGTGGAAGCCGAAGGGCGATGCTTGGAGAGAGAGGCCAACAAGCCGCGGTGCTTGGACATGGAGAGGGAGATGGAGTTGAGGACTTGGTTGAGGTCGGGGGCGACGGGGGGTTTGCCTCCGTTGCCGTTGGGGCCGGACCCGTTGGATGAGGGTTTGGACATTTTGGTGTGTGCTTGGTGAATGAGGCGCAATTTTCTCTGCTAGGGGTTGGCTGAGTGGTGATTGCAGTTGAGATTCGCAATTGCAGCGCCTTCTTAGTTGGATGAGAATAATCGGAACTGAAATCCGCTTCACCAACTTGAGTGAGTAAAAGCGTGGTTCCCGCTGCGCTACGTACGATCCGATCCCGGATAGCGTGAGATTCCAGAATGAAAAGTGCAGAATCGAATGTTACTATCCCGTGACCGCGTCGTCGCAACTGGAAAAAGTTCAAAAACTCGAAAGAACGTCGTCGAACCACTCGATTCCAGAAAGAACGTCGAAGTTGGAAAGGTGCTTATCGGAAATTTCGCTGCCTTATCGGAAAGCGTTATTTCATTGGTTTTTCTCGTCAGATTTGAGACCCACCTATTGCCGCCCGCTTAGCGGAGCCCGGGCCCGGGCCCGGATGGAAGCTCACGAGCCGCACGGGCGGCCAAATGGAGGAATCTCCCCTCGGGAGGCCGGTGACTGTTGCCGTCCATGTCTTTTCTTTGTTACGTCATCGCCCTTTGTATAGTGCCGATATCGGTGTCATGTTCAAGATTCGGCAGATTGCTGCGCCGGGATGCACACAGAAGCCGCTGTCCGCGGTGCTCTGAGGTGGAGTGTTGGTTCGGTCTCAAGGTGCCCGGGATTAAGTTGATCGATGGATGTCAAGGACAGAGTAGGCACAAGACTGATGGTTGTGTTCCTGGAAACTGCAGTGGCAGTGTTTCCGTCTGAGAGCGACACACAGCCCAGATATACCTGGGAAGTACTGGTAGTTCACATCCTTGGATAACCATTTGCGTCATTCTGTAACACTCGCCCTAGTTGGGTACTTTATGCTTGATTCGATTATTGTAGCACTATACTACTGGTAAATTACTACACCCGCTCGTTTGGAGAGCCTCGCTGTCAAGGTCGGTGAGTGAACAACAGGTAGCTTCTACCAATCTCACTCTCACTGACTGCTCCAGTTTTTTCGGGAAATACCATATCTCGCCAAATTCCCGACCCGCCGTCAGCCGTACCGCCTCCATCCATTTCACCATGCTTCCCCATCCTTCCCCATGAGTAATGCAAAGCGAACAACAAGAAAAGATAGAATATAGATGAAAAGGAAAAAAAAAGAGTTTGGAGGAGACAGCCATGAACTTCAGAGTTGCCACGCAAGTATTAGGTCAGTTTAGTAGTGTAATTATCCAATAACTATCCAACGGCATCTCCTGGATCCACCGCAAGTAAAAGGAACAGATAATCTAGCAAAAGAAACAAGGAAAAAGGAAAATGATGGCGGTACGATCAGTCCGAATGTGTTTTGGTATAGTGGAAAATACTTTGATTAATGACAAGGAGGAGGAGGAGGAGGGTAACGGTGGTTGGTTATGGTGGTTTATTAGACGCTGTGTTCGACGTCTCTGATGCTTTTTATTTCCTTGAAATATTTCCAATCTCAAGATGCTGACAAAAGCTTGTACCCTGAAATCTCGAGGTTAAATCCTCTGCATTTGGTTCGGATGGTGTTGCACAGGCAGTCGATGTTTGAGAAGGTCGTTTCAACATGATTATAAAAAGGATTATATGGACAACATGACGTCTCAAGATGCGTTTTGGCAACCTCAGATCAGACGTTTTCGTTTGCGGTCTTCATCGCCTCGGGGATCCTCGTCCTCGTCGTCTCTTTCCGCAGTATCGGTTGGGTTCAGGATATGGGCCATGCTTCCTCTCCTCGTGGGCGGTGCCGAGTGATCCCTCACCGAAAGATTCTTGTTATCACGGCCAGCCGAGTTCCAAGACCAATTCCCAAAAGTGTCCCCTCCACCGTTAGTAGAGAAGGTCGGAGGAGGAGGCGGCGACGCTGGCCTGGAACGAGGATGCGAAGCAGACTGCAGAGAGTAGTGTGAAAACGAATCGCGAATACGTTGGTCTTCGGAAAACCCAGGACGATTTGGCGACGAAGGCCATTGCGAGGATGGAGGGCCAGAGAAGGTCGGAGGAGGGTTAGGAGGAGGAGGGTTGCCTTGCCAGCCGGCAGCACGGATGTCAGCAGAGGTATGTCTCCTAGCCAAGCCCGGGTGCAGGTCAACGCTCGACAGCGGATGCGGAGGTGGAGGCGGCGGGTGCGGGCGGAGGGAAGATGGCGATGTCCCTGTCGAGTTGCCGCTAGTGGAGCCAAACGGCCTACGACCCGGAGTACTTATCGACAGGTTTGAAGGGACGGCAGGACGATAATTGTTGTAAGTTGGAAGCCGAGGTGGTTGACCGGGAACCGTCAAAGTAGAGCCAGATCTTCGCGGGTCGTCTTGGGGCATCTGCCGCGGTGATACGGGGGCATTCTCCACATTGGAAAAGTAAGGACGGGTACTAGCGAAGACCGACCCGTGAGGCTCATCTAGCGAGCGGAACTCCTCCATCTGGCGCTGAACCTGCCCTTGCAAAGACGATACTGGAAAGCATATTAGAAATCCGGTCACCCGCATTCTTCCAAGTAAAGGACTTACCGTCGTGGTGTATCGGGTTGTCAGGAGAAGGAGCAAGAGCAAGAACGGCCCGGGAAAGGTCATGGTTGAACTGAAGCAAACGCGATACCGTGTCCATAATGGCCTGATGCTTGATATGCATAAACTGGGCGTTCTCTTCATGCCGCTGAAGTCGAGTGCTGAGATCATATAGAGTATGCTCGATATTGTTCAGCCGAGGATCTCCTCCTTGAACTTCCTGCATGGGAGGCATAGGCTCGGCCGGGGTACCTGGTTGTGATGGCGGAGCCTTCTGGTTGTTGCTGTACTCTCTATGTACCAGAGAATGCCGAGAAGCTCGACGCTTAATCTCCCGCAAGCTAACCAGGTCTCCGCGTTTAAAGTTGCCGTTGCCATGCTTGAACTCCCAAATGGTGGCGTCTGGAGCTCCATGGTGGAAGACATCGCTCACTTTTTGACCATGTTAGTGACTGTTGGTAACCAGCTACATCGGGTAACCAGCTACATCGGGAAACTCCTTACCTTTGTGAAATCCGTACATGTTGAGCTGGCGAACGAAGGAGGAAATGTTGGTATGTTTAAAGTATTGACTGCTGGCTGTTAGCGATCTGGTTCAGTCCAGAGCTGGTCGTGATTTTCCAACTTACGCCAAGACCTTGGAGAACTCTTGCGACGGCTGCATGACGAAGCTCTCAGAGGTGGGTGACCATGATATCAGATGCTGTATCGACTTATCCTCCAACATGTTATATAGCTTATGGATGAAGGCCGTCTGAACAATCTTGGGCTGGTGAACCGCGGGGGCAGCGGCAGCCGGTGCTGGCATGATGATGTTATCGGGAGACAACTGATCGTTTGCGGATGAGAGTTGCGGTCGGCCATTGGGGGCTGCCTGGGCGTTTAATGTATCCTCGACCGGGCTCTTGGGCGGCGGTAGGGAATCCGAATTACTTGGAGCTGCCATGGTAGCGTTGTTGTTGTTAATGCTATTGCTGTTACTGTTGCTGCTGCTGTTGCTGTTGCTGGAGGTGATATCCATTGGGTCGCCCGGGGGAGCCGACATATGGATGGTTGGTGTGATGATCGATAGGTTTCTTCCACCCATTGAGTTCTCTGGCTTGTCGGCCAGGTGGTTTCTCGGTGCGCTTTCAGTTGCGGTAGCCATCTGCACTGTACGTGGGCGACGACCGTGTCAGCAAAGCGCAACGAAGTAACATGAGAAGAGTTTGAGGAAGAAAGGATATGTTCCATCCAATCCAGCACTCCGGACCGGACCTCGGATGACACATGCTGGGTGTGCTCCGTGTAGTGAAAGGGAAGCCGGCGATAGACCGGATGATAGGCCGGCCGATAGACGGCAGACCCCGGGCCACTTTGCCCATATAGAATCCATTCTACCTCGATTGCACATTGTTTGCGCAGCGATGTTTGCGCAGCGAGCATCCCAGAAGACATGGAGGGGAGGGGGATATTAGCCTACCTCATCGCGTGGCGCAAAAGAAGCTGATGGTTCGTTGCGCGTCAATTCAGTCAAGAAAGTCCCCCACCGTGTCGAGGCTAACTTTTTTGTCTATGCTTTGTTCGCGACGGCGACTCGTCAAGAGGTTTGAGGCTTGCCCGTGTCTGTCTCCTGCTCTTTCCCGTAGCGTGTGGCCAGGACCCGCTTAAAGTGCTATTTCAAGATGGCAGTTGTTGAAATCTGTGCGAGCGACCAAGACAATGGGCGTGGTAACAGGTAGTCGGTAGCCTTGATGCAAGTCGTGGACCCAAGCTGTCCCAGACAATGGGTTCTCGTTCTGCAGCCGGGGGCGGTGGGCGGTGGGCGGCCGGGAGGTCGATCGAGAAGCGTCGGTGGCAGACAACCAGAATGTCCGTCTGTCTTGCTTGTGGTGGGAATGAGCAAGCAGCAGGGAGGGAGGGAGAAGGACGAGTTGGGCGAACGGAGATGGCGTGGGGAGGAGGAGGGAGGGGGGGGGGGGGGGGGTAAACGGGAGATGGTCGGCTCGGATTAGAAACCTGGTGGAAGAAAGTGGACTTCTAGTCCTTGCTGGTTTGATGGGTCGGCAGCACGGTCGGGGGCTAGTGAGTTGTCGGGAGAGTGGAGCGAAAAGACATTTGTGTTTTTTTTTTTTTCTTCCTCGAGCGCTCGCTCCTCTGCTGCCGGTCGGTGGCGCGACAAGGACGGAGAACGGAGTCGACTCGGGGGCTAAAGGAACCGGTGGTCGACCTCGAAACGGGGGCGGGAACAATTGTGTCGAATCTACGAATCGATGTCCAGGAAGTGGGCAAGCGGGTGGAGGACCATAGAGAGCCGTGGGAGGGCCAAAGCAGCCGATTGATTGGTTCAACAGCGGAAGCTTGGTCGGTGGTCAATCTGGGGGAGCGACTTCCTAGGCCAAGCACCACAAGGGAGACCCGGGCCTGACCACGACGGCTCCTTGTCGACGGAACTCCTCTGGACTAACTCCGCCAAGTCATCAAACCCCCTTGTGGATAGGTATGTATGTACCTAGCTAGGCTAGGTATGGAGAGGCTACCAGGCTATCTCGGGCAAGAGACCACAAAGTCGTGGGAACGTGTACAAGCAGATGTACCCACGAAGGATTGTTGACTTGGTCGACCAACCTAAGAGAGTCTTGGACAACGATGACGTTGACAAGGCCAATGGACATGAAGGTTATATGGGGAGAGGGTTCGCATGTAATCCAGGGGCTGCTGTTCCTCCGGGATTCGATGGATGCTGAACGGAGGCAATAGACTCCAAATGGAAGCACTGGCCGCTGTTGCATGGAAAATCAAACACGCATCCACCAAGCCTATCTGCGCCCTTACAGGCACGTTTGCATAAGTAGGTACTTCAGTTTGAGGCTGCATTCAACGTGTGCATAAGATGGAATGTGCAGCAGAAGAACCCAAGACGCCTTCTTCTTTTTGTGCAGCGCCCTTGCCAGTTCGAGTCCTTACAGCCTGGAACAGCTGTCGAGTGAGTGACGGAAAGAATGAATAGCTTCGAAGTGCTTCACTAATAATTGAGACACACTTCTGTGGCCCATGCAGTTAGTACAGTACCTCGCCTGTACTTTCCATAATGCCGCCGCCCAACGCTCAGGTACTAGGTATACCTAACTGAACTTCACAGTTGCCGTCTCCCCTCCGCAGACAATGTTGACTCTGAACAGGTACCCGGCTCAGGAAGTCTTCCTTTTACAACAACAACAACAATTTCCAGACATGGTCACGCCTCCGGCAAGTATGCAGCTACTAGAATAAGCAGCTATCCTACCCGCAGTCCTATAAGTCCAATTCCCTCCATACCCTCGGTATCAGGAACGGACATGCAAATTGGCAATAGAACCCCCCCTCTGAGCCCCCCCTCTGAAGCCCTGATTCCGAGGTGAAGACGGGAGGGAAAAGGCAGGAGGCAAGGTCAATCAGTCAGGAACTCGGAGCACGGCTCGCATGCATAGAGAAATGGAAATGGAAGAGGCGTTGAAACACGGCCAATCGCAGCCTAAACCCATAAACGAGAGAGACAACCAAGACCACACGGCCGAGGGGGAGATTCCAGATCAAACGGCCCTGATGAACATGTTGATCAGCACTCGAGGAACGTACAATGTGTACATAAATGGCACAAACAAAACCCATCCTTCTAGAGGTAAGCCATCCCTTCCACGCACGCAAAAAGGATCGAAAAAAGAAGCTCAAAACATCTGGAACCTCTCTTCAATCACGTTCCAGTAACATGTGTTTTGGTTCAGGTTGGAAAAGGAATGAATGTCCCTGGGGAGGAAGAATGGAACCACGACCAAAAAGAATGCTAAATAATGCGCGCAGGACACTGCATTGAGTATCACCATAGCTTCCATAACCAGTTCAGTTGCAGCACTTGTTCTAGAGTTCTTGTTCCTGTCGTATGTAACCGCGATTCTCACAAACCTATCGGCGCGATGGAGGAGGGAACCCAAACGGCCCTGCGTGCCCTCCCACGCTCCCTCTTCATGCACCTCATTTGCGTAGGGCAGCGGATCGGATAGGGACACGCGCTTGGCCAGTCTTGGCTCGTGGCAGCCATTTCCGATGGATGATTATCATGACCACCGTGAATGACCCGGACCTCCATTTGGAAACATCCCGACACCCATTTGGTTACCATCATCCGGACAGAGTTGCTGTTCTCTTTCTTTTCACCGGAGAAACCCCGTCCGCGCAAGATTCGAGACTTCACAAAGTTACACCAGAATGGTCTTGAGGGCATCTCCTGACAGTTCATTTCAGCGCCCCGTGGAGTACGGAGAGAGAGATGTGGTGAATCACCACCGTACCGCGAGGCATTGAACAGTAGGTGTGCTCGGAAATTTTCTGAACATTTCGCCAGAGGGGGGCAGATGGAGATAGGAAAACGGCAGGTTGAACCGGTTTCCGCGGCGGCTGCATGGAGTCGGAATCATGCTAACGATCCCAAACAACATTATGGGGTCCATCCATAGGCAAGCAAACTTCCGCTGACTCAGTTTCAGGTGGCATATACACTACGTACTGTGTACTATTATATGCGATCTTCATAGGGGAGGTCGTGGGGGTCGTCATGCTTTTTGGGCTTTTTTTTTTTTTTTTTTTTTTTTTTTTCCACTGAGAAAGGCAGAGAGAATGATGATGATGATGAAATGGAAAAGGCTTTAGTTCAGCTTCGGTGGTTGGACAAGTCGAACATGGCACCAGAAATGGAAGAGGCCGATATTGGATTCCGATGCTCTTATGGATGTCGCCGATGTCGATCCACCCCTCGTTTTGGTCACTTGTTCCTCTTCCCGTCGCCCGCAAGAGGAAGGCACGCATTGCACTAACAATTAAACACCACACCCTACTGTAAGCGACCTGAAACTGCTGACTTTCAGTTTCCCAACCCGTCCATCTTCAGATTCGATCTTCTCATCTTGTCTTCATTCTTCACTTCAGCTTGCACCGACCCCTCCCACACCCTGAACCACCTACGTACTCCATCATCGCCAAGCGGATAGAAATTGGCTCCCGTTTCGGACGACAGGATGCCCGCTGGGAGCTCCCCAGAGCTAGTGTACATACTTACCCCCCCCCTCCTTGACAGCACTAATCAGCCCTGCCAATCTCTGAAACCCCAGTCCAAATCCGGATTTGAATTAATAGCAGGGGCTGCTATAAGTCGATCAATCAGGGTCATTTATTACATACTACAGTCGAGCCCCCTGAAACTGCATGTAATTCAGACCTGGGATTTCTATGTACTAAGTAGCATTTATGCAGTTTCTATATTTGAGCTAGGCCTAAACAGGCAGCCAACCACTGGCCGAGATACTAAAATCCGACCTTATACTATAGATTTTCCCGCTTAAGACCAAGTCTGTAAGTGTATATGTACCAAAAACTGTCCGAGATTCGTATGCAGTATGCAGTTATACAGTTGTAGCTGGGAATTAATTCAGACTGCCGATTCTTATACTCTAACTGGCGTATATGCAGTATCTGGAGGACGCAGTTTCAGGGGGTTCGACTGTACCTCCACGTACCTAGAGGTACGCCGGGTCGAGCTACGGTCACTTGGGGCCAAATAGTCGCTCTCTCGCGCCACTACCTATGCGCGGTTTATACCTACCCGGGCGAAAGTCCTAACGATCATTCTTGGAGAAACCACACCAAATCTCCGGGAATTCATCCACGGAGTAACTCGCTGGGAAACTCTACCCGTCAGTTCCTGTTCATTCGAGTCATTCGAGGTTGTGTGTGTGGGGGTGTTGTTCGATCTTGTTTACTTCCATATGTCATGTCTGTCGGTTCTTGGCCTCCCCGTACCTGACAGATGCATATCTGCATCCACCGTATCTCTCTCACAGGACCTGGGGTCCAGTCGCTTTACGAGAAACCTCGGGTAAGAAGCAGCAGCGCCTCTACCATTATTCAATTTCAACACTTCCTTGAGCTTGTTTCAAGCAAGACACACTATGGCCTAAAGAGATGAAGATGCTATAAAGATACGACCTAGTAGCACTCCAAGACACTCGAACCGCATAATCACCTGCCCATCTCACATTACAAACCAGACGGGCGTTGATGTTTACGTACGATACGCATGATTAATGTCTGGTGATATATCTATCTCTCTCCGGGACATTCGGACCCCAGACCTCAGCTGTGTTCCTGGATCCCTACCAGGTGATCCCATGCCCACCACCTATTCTACTATGGTATAAGCCTAAGTACACTTGTATCGATACACTACAGCCTACCTACCCCTGAATGGTCAATGCATATCCCGTCGTCCCGTCGTCGATCAATTACTGCCCTAAATAACTATGCTACCCTATGTACGCAGTACCTACCTACATACTTCAAGCTCCATGTTAGCTCGGACTTTACCTACGCCGTGCCTCTACATAGTAGATGCATACATACTTCCTATGTACCTCCATACACCGGAGCATACCTACGTATGTGCAATATGTACCACGCCGTGCACGCATCTTTATACATAGCTAGACGTAGGGTGTTGTGTTGTACCTGGCAGGATATGTACAGTACATACAGGCCTCGGTAGGTATGCGGAACCTGCCGTGGCACCTTACCTGATCTTTGTACACTACATAATCTGTATGTACACTAACCTCTACCTAGAAATAGGGTAGCAAGCAACACCCGTTAGGTCTCCAGGTCCCAAGACCTCGCTTGTGTGTGGATCATCATCCATCATCACAGAGCCGGCGAGCGAGCGACGTACACTAAAGACGGAGATGGATGCTGGACTCCCCGTCAACCGGGCGCGGAACGGTCCATCAATGAACCCCGTGATCTAATATTACAAGCAAGCATACAAGCAGCTACACTAGAGCCTAACTTAACTCCCAAACCGTGGTCCATGTCGCCGATCTCTGGTCAAGGTTCAAGGTTGAGACGAGTATGTAGTGTAGTTCCCCTCTTGTAAGGTAAAGGTAAGGCGAGTAGTGTACATCGTGTAGTGTAGTGTAGTCCACCTAGGGCGGTTAATTCTTTGCTTTGCTTTGCTTTGCTTTTCTTTCATTCCGACTTTCTGTACCGATATGCTCCTAGTTGTGACTAGCACACCACCTAGTAGACAGGTAGAGAGGTAATTGGATTAACTGTCTGCATTTATTCTATTGCCTGCTCTGCCTTGCTAGGTAGGTATGTGCATATGTCATCCCCAAACACATACACCCTTCAGTGCGTCATTACACTTGGTTCGCTGATTTTCGGTTGTTTTGTTTACATCACTTAGAAGTGGGTACCTAGTGGCGTGGTATATCGGAATGAATTCTGATTGATGAACGGGTGCGGATGTGAGCAGTACATACAAAATTATTACTGGCAGTGTTCGTTGGTAAATTGTGAACTGAGTGGTAGCAGTTAGTGGTACGTTTGACTATAATGGATGATAACAAATAAGCAAGATATAAGAGCGGTATGATATCTCTCCCGTCTCTATTGAACCCTGAAGCAATGCAAGAATCTGCTAGTGGAACCTTTTCCAAACACCACCTCCAAGCGTGATTTAAGTACACGCGTAGAGGAAAAAAAAAAAAAAAAAAAAAAAAAAAAAAAAAGGCAAAGCCATGGGCTTTTACAACACCAATAAAAAGAGTGCTCACACTTCATGCCCGCTCAAAATACTTCCACATAACCCTCTAAGCAAAAGGATCCTCCTCCTCCCCTTCACTCTCGTCCTCCCCGGCCACCCTCCTCTCACCCACCTCTCTAATTTTCTCCCCCAATATCCTCCTTCCATACCTTTCCGCAACCTTACCCGCTGCTTCGATCATCCGTCCCGTCCTGTCCTTCATAAGTTTCACCACCTCCAGCGCCCTCATCCCCCTGTCCTCACCCTCGCGGCACTCAATCGCCAGCAGCTGCAGCAGAGTCTTGTCGATATCGAGCTCCAGCCTGGCCAACGCAGCGCGCTGCGAGGCCGTGGACCGGGAGCTTTCGAGCGTGTCCGAAAGTTGCGCGGCGCGCAGGGAGGAGAGAAGGAAGGATTGGGTTAAGGGGAGGGATTCCTTGGTTGTTAGGGGATCGGCGTTGGTTTCGGAATCAGAGTCGTCGGCTTCTGATGCAGAGGAATCGTTGTCCCCCTCGTCTTCACCGTCAACGTCCATTAAATCGTCACCACTGCGCGTCTTCTTTTTCCTGGATTGCTTCTTGGGCTTCGCAGAGGTAAGGGGTACGGCAAAGTCGAATTCGGAAAGCAAGGGGCGAGGGAAATAGGGGTATTGGTCGCCACCCTTGAGGATGATGCAGTGAAATTTGTTGTCGGCGACGGCAATGGGGAAGTAGGATTCTTTTTTGCGGCCGGAGGCGAGACGCGGGAGGAGACGGGTGTCGAGGAGGGGCACCCATACGGCCCGGGAGGGACGGCGCCAGTGAAGGAGCGTGAGGAGGGTGCCGGTTGAGTCGTAAATGCAGGGGTCCTGGACCGAATGTTAGTGGATGGGTAAGATACAAGGGAAGAGGGAGAGAGGGACGAAGACGTACGCCATTGTCAGAAAAGAAGACGCTCTTTACTGTCGCGCCTTCAGGGAGGGCGACGGTGTCTTCGTTCTGACAAACTTCATCCCGCTTGATGTTCTCAATGGTATACAGCAAGCGCGACATACCATCCGCACCCGCAGGCCCGTTGCCCATAGTCAGGACGTAGTCCCTCCAACTAGCGCACGTAACAATCGGTGTGCTCTTGGGCCTGTACACCCTCACGGGGATGCCGAAAAGGGTGTATATCCTCACATAGTTGCCCGTCGTTGTCACGGTAATGTATGAATCACTCAGCGACATGGCCAGCACCGCCTCACCCTTGGGCAGCTGTATGCGCCAATCATTTCTTTGCGTCCAGGTCTCATGGGGGCGGTAAAAGACCACAGCTGGGGAGCCATCCTCTTTGGGTGGGCACGAAAAAAGGCTGCCCTTGTCGTTCAAGCAGGCCTTATCGTAGAGGAAGGTATCGGTAAAGTGGAAGTCTCTGTGGAACTCGTGGTCGTAAAACTCGACGGTTACGGTATTGTGAGAGTCTTGGTCAACGGTCCAGACAAAGCCGATCAGGTTCAAGCAGAGATATTTCCGGTTGCCGCGCCATGGCGTCGATCCAGGTTGGAAGGAGGGATGGTGTTGCGGTTGGACAAAGTTGCTACGCTTGGCAGTGTGGCTCTCGTAGATAGCATCGTCTTCGGCTGGGCGTTTGCGGCCCGCGTTGAGGGTGTATCCTGCGCCGTCATCGTCCACCACGAAATCGTCGTCGTCGCCGTAGTTTTCGTCTAGGAGGTCATCGAGGTCGGCGTCCACGGAGTCTCTGCGTGGGCGAGCGTCGGGCTTAGGACCACTGACTTCTAAGCGACGGGTGTTGTTGGATAGTTCGGTGAGAGGGTCGTGGATAAAGGGGGCGGGCTGCTTCGGTAGCCTGAGAAGAGAGGCGAACTGCTCTGGGACGAAGTCGGGGCTGATGTAAAGCTCTCCGTCGGAGGTTGTGAACGAGGCAAGGTTTTTCGTGGGATGCCAGCAGATATCCGTGACATTGGGATATTCGTATCTTGCGATGACGCTCTGGTCTTTCGTTGACCAGATCAGGAGCTTCTTGTCCTTGCCAGCCGAGGCGAGCAGAGCACCGTTGGGCGACCAAGACAGGGCCGTGATATCTCCATCGTGACCGTTCCTGAAGACCCGCTGCTTTTCCCAGTCGTTCTTGGAAATAACCTGAATGTCTCGTGTAGGAGTCGGTACGGCAAAGGCGCGACCGTCGGGGTGCCAGACCGCCCTTGACGAGGCTTCGGACTCTGTCTCCAGCCTGCCAATGACACCATCCACCTTTCGAATCAGCTCAGGGTGTTCGGCAGTCAGAGAGTAGATGTATATGACGCCGTCGGTACATGATAGCGCGAGCAAGCTGCCCTTGGGATCGAAGGTCAAGTGTTTTGTCGGCTTTCCGTGTTCTTTGAGGGTACGTAGCTGGGTGTTGTCGTGGACTCCAACCAGCCTGACTGTCAGCTCGTCACTGGCAACAGCGCACCACTGGTGGTCTGGGGATATGGCGACATCGCGGACTGGTAGAGAGGTTCGCAGAAGGAAACGGTCGAAGGCATTGGTGTCGAGCGAGTACAAGCTGACGGTACCGTCTTCGGAGCCGGCCACAAAGTAGTTGTTGCTGGTGGCAAGGGCAAGATTCTGTTCCTGACAGTCGTCGATATTCGTGGGTTCGCCTTCATAGCCCGTCTTGTAGAGTCTGGTGGTGTTGTTGGACCCGACCGTCACCAGTCTGGTGCCATCGGGGGTGTAGGCGCAGTATGTTGCTCCCGGGGGATGAGCTGGTCGTGACCGTGGTCGAGATGCGATGAGGGTGGTCATGTTGGGATCTGGTTGAGTGTATCTACCCTGGGAGCATTAACCTGGGGCATTCCCTTCTTCAGTCGCAAAGAAGAAAGAGAGCAGAGAAAAGAGGAAGGGTAAAGTCGTAACGGCGTGTAAGTTACAAGATGGAAAGACGCGTCGAGCGCGTTTTCAATTTACTTGGGCACGCGCTATCAACTTATCGTGCCCCACCATGTCATCCCCACGGCAGCGAGTAGGACCCACTCATTCCACTTGGACCAGTGCTGAACTTCCCCGCCAAATGTTGGATAGGGGTAGCTCCTCCCGCGGCCGTAGGGCTTAACTGTTAAGAATCGCACTTCCTGGACCCGGATTCCTTAACAGACCGCTAACACTACTCATCGCTCCATTTGTCTGAGGTGCCTGTTGACTTCGAATCATGTGGAACACCATTTCCACTCCCGTCATTAGGCGGTCACTTACAAATCAGAGGAAATTGTTATATTCAAGAAGAGGTCACAGTACGAACCATTCACCCAACTCGTCCACCAGAGCAGCCGAACAGAAGAAGTCAATATTACACATCCTCAAGCATCAAAATGCAGTCCTCAGACCCACGCCACTTCTTCGAGACCGAGTAAGTAACCAGGGTTTCCCTCAACGTAAACAAGATGAACTAGAGCCTAACGTCTTGGAGTGCGGAGATCGCAAAGAGAGAGAGGAGGGAAGCCAAGACCAGTAACACCTATGGCAACCCCATCAAGCTCAAGTCCAAGATCCTTGGGGCCGTTGTTGACCCCCGTGCTCCCTCATCGGCCATCTTTGTAGCCGAGTCCGCCGGGTCAGTCCGGAGAGTCCAGGTCGATGGTGAGGGAGACACAAGGACAGTCTACCGCGGCCCCACGACACCCGTCAGTTGTGTAGCTGTTGGTGGCCCCGGAAACAAGACCGTCTTTGCCGGTGCCTGGGACAAGAACATCTGGTCCTGGGACATCGATACCAAGGCTCCGGGCCGCAAATATGCTGGTCACTCGGACTTCGTCAAAGCCATCGTTTGCGCAAAGCTGGGCGGAAAGGATGTTCTGGTCAGTGGTGGTGCTGACAAGAAGATCGTTGTTTGGGACATTGCAACCGGCTCCAAGCTTCATGTGCTACAGGACAGCGTGGTGAACATGCTCAGCATCCAGGACCTGGTCGTCGACCCTGCTTCTTCGTCACCGGATGAGTTGTGTATCATCAGTGCCAGCAGCGACCCGCACATCCGCCGTTGGAAGATTCGTTTAGATGGGTGGGAGCAGTTTGCGGAGCCTGACCCTGCTACCCCGGCAGCAGAGCGACATACCATTCTTGAGCACGAGACGACCGTCTATAAGCTGGTCATTGATCACGACGGCGATGAGGCCGACTTGTGGTCCGCGAGCGGTGACGGATCCGCCAAATGTCTGTCCAGAATCAAGGGCTTCACTGCTGACGACACTTTCGAGCACGGCGACCATGTCCGTGCCGTGGCGGTCACAGATCAATGGGTCATCACCGCCGGACGCGATGAAGACCTCAAGGTCTGGGACCGGACTTCAGGCAAACTTTACTGCTCCCTGGAGGGTCACTATGACGAAGTGACCGAGCTGGTCATTCTTAGGGGCTCCGTCGGATCAAGCGAGCGCGTTTGCAGTGTGAGCATTGATGGTACCATCCGGACGTGGCCCTTGGACAAGGCTAGTCTAGATGCTGCCGTCGAGGAGCAAAAGAAGCCTATCAAGCCTGCAGAGGAGGAGAAACCCGATGGTGAAGGGCTATTGACGGCTGATGAAGAGGCCGAGCTTGCCGCCCTGATGGAGGATGACGCTTAAAAGTGGACCATAACCTATGCATCATCCCATCGTGGGCTTCTGCAGGAAAAATGATAAGGCAGCCGTTTCGACGCTTACCCGTATCTCGATGCCTGACCCTTGGCCGAGTCGGTTGCGCTCCTGTCTGCATTAGCGAGATATTCTTTCTCGTGAACGGGTACACTGCGTCAGTGGTTGTCAGAACCAGACCTCCAAGGACCCCTTTCGCACTCCGTGAGTCCATCAATTTGTGGCAGCCATATGCGGTCACCCGTTCAGCTTTACGGATGCGCGCCCTGGCTGGGGCTGTGGTTGGTTCCAAGGAACATGAACAGGCTCTCGTTTGCGCCGCACGGCATCCAGAAGTTTCGAAACGAACAGGGCAGCCTTGGACCTATGATAGCCGCTTTCTCCTCCATTGCTTGGTTGTCACCGGTCTCTGGCACTTTCAACAAGCTTCAAACTCCTGTCTGGCTGCAGGGAAGCACAATTCTATGCGGCCGACCGCCACGAGGGAGAAACATCGGAGATTGCCACGTTTACACGCTTAGGAGGAGGTGAGAAAACGTGGAAAAGGAGTCACTTGAACCATCGGAGGGAGAAGCCCAGCTACCTGGTGCAACCAACAACAAGACATACCCACCCAAACACACACCGGACCCTTGTAAAGTGAACCCATGAACATGAGAGTGGACAATGCAACTGATAGTAAGCGAGAAAGAGCAGCGAGTTGCAATTTTTTTTTGCTTGCGAATTCGGGGACTTGGTCACGTCTATTGGCCAGTGAGATGAGAGTAGTAAGCAGAAAGGCATAATGCACAGTGAAAAGCATCGCCAACAAGAGGAAAGCTTCTGGGAGCAGACGGCTAGACTTGGCATAGAAGCTCCCTCGCTTCGCTAATTCCCCGTCAGTCAGCCCAGGCAGGCCGATCATTCGAACACAGTACGGGGTACCTGCAGCTTGAAGCATCCCCCTGCTTACTAGCGAGCCTTGCTGCGATCTGGCCACTGACAGAGCTGCGAATCACGGAGCTACACTCCGCCCTAGTTTGGATCCTTGATGACCATGTTGTTGTTGACTTTGTGTCAGTTTTCTTTTTTCGTCCCTTTTCACCTTGTACCGTCTACCGAGAGATCACCCAACGTCGATCAACTCGACAAAAAGACCAACAAGATATGGACCGCCCAATCCTCCACAATTCCCTGAAGCCAACGTGGCATTCATCAACAACCAGAGTTGGCACAAAGGAACCGTGGTTCATTCTTGTCTTGTCTTGGACCCTGGGACCACCTAATATAAAGGGTAATCATCAAGATGCAGGTTCCACCCTCAAAAATCGTGAGCATCCCCCGGATCTGCTAGTATCATGATCTTGATGATCTGGGTTTACCATGCCGCCATCCATGGGGACACCCGAAGAGGTTGTTCTCCTTCCATCCGGCAAGCGGTGATGCCTCTCCGGTCAGTGCTGCAAGGGGTTGTGAATCGGAAATCTTCCACTTCGAATGAAACCTGCTTCTTTCCGGCTTCTGCATTTCCCTTTTTACTCGTCCAAGTTCCCTTCCTCGAACACCATGTCTCTGGTGGGCTTCTCCAACCTGGCTTCATAAGTCTCTGCCGTGTCCGTGAAAGTCCATGCAAGCCACTCTTTCTCTACTCTCTCATCCCATTTGTCCACGCCGATTGTTGATGCAACCCAACGGTCTCACTCTTTTCGTTTACTTCTCACCAAGCCACCGAGAACGTTCACCCCCCGGAACTTGGGAACCGAAAAGCAAAACGCCATTGCCAGAAGAGCTCGCTGTACATATGTCTTGCTGTTCAACAAAACAAAGCTAAAGCCAGCCATCCTGCTGTACGCCCATCACTGCCGTGTTTCGTCTCGGACCTTCTCTAAAAACACAAACCAGCTTCCAGTTGCACACTCGAGTCAAGTGTAGTAACGGGATAATCTCTGACCGGACCGATCCACAGACGCAACCCATACCGCCAGGTCACACGCCCCGTGTTGTTGTTTCATCATCAATTCAAAAACCATCTATTTTCTTCGCATCTAATATGGCCGGCCACAACTCACCAACAGCACCCTCTCAGTCCAGGGAACGACAAAGCGGCAGTGTTATAGCACTGGAAGGTCCAGAAGAGATTGTCGCTACGCAGCTATACCTACTCCCTGCTTCACCCCAGATCATCGTCCTCCCAAAAATCGAGCATTATATACCAACATCTCCGATATCACACGACCAAGAACAGTCACGTCACAAATCCGATCCTCGAAAAATCATATCGACCATTCACAACGCAGCCAAGCGAAGGCATTCGGTGGCTATGGAGTTCCTTCAACACTCCACGGCAGAAAGAAAGCGGGCCGTTTTCCTACAAGGGGGTACATGCGGTGCTAAGCTCATGTGTCTGGATGCTATTGGAAAGGCTTACACGGCAGGCAATCTGGAAAAGGCGGCAGCCATCTTTGACCGACTAATGAGCCAGGGTCTCAAGAGCCTTGAAGACGATGGAGTTGATGTTGACTCGATCATCGACCCGATATCGAGTGACACGTGGGTCGGGAACCCCGATGCCAATAAGAATGTTCGGGCAAACAAGGGTACCACAACCAATGGAAGAGAGGAGGAGGACGACGACGACATGGAAGATCCAATCACAAAAGCCATGCGGGCTGCTGATGCGCTCGATAGGGAAACAGAAAACCTTCAGCCGCCGAACCATGACGCTGGCCTCGGCGTGGACTTCGAATTGATGAGGCCACGAAGCTTAAGCATGTCCGCCGTTGGATTTATGGCTGTCGCTCGCGACATGGTGATCCGTGAGAGGGAAGTCGGTTCGGACATGTCAACGGCCGCAAACACAGACGTATTCCAGTTGCTCCCATCACCACTTCTCTTCCCGTCGAACCCTGCAATCAAAACATCTTCCTTGGTAGTTTCTCCTCCGCACAACACTCAGGGACAGCTTAAGAAAGCTAGATCTTTTCCGCTTCCCGAGAACCTGAAAGACGTCAAATTCAACTTCAAAGTGGATTATGTCGGCAATGCGCAGATGGATTCCGTTGCGTCCAAAGCCTTTGCTCAACCCTGGCATGCAAGGAAGTTGACAGATGACGCAGGTATTGGCGCCGCGACCACGTTGCTGGGATCAGGTCTTGGTACCGAAGATAAAGACCGAGAATGGGACGGCACAGCGAGCGTATCTAATTACTCAACTGCCACCCCTACAGCCCACGATGCAACCCACGATGCAACACGAGATGCAACACGAGAAGCAATCCACGTGGGAAGCCACGCGAGGGTATCTTCCAAACCGCCAGGACTCAACGTCTCGCTTCGAAATTTCGAGAAGAAGCCAAAGGCCCTCGAAGGGCTGGACCATGAGGACAGTGTCATCGGAACCAAAGGTCGAACATCATCAGATGAAACGGCACCTTTTGAGCCCCTTCTACCGTTCAATGAGCATTACGTGATCCACTTGTCAAACGGCAAACCTGATGACCAGTTCGGCTTCGTGTCCGGTCGGTACAAAGACGGCTTCGACTCCATTCACCCACCTCCCACCTCGACCGATTCGCTCAATATTGATGCGACCGCCGTAAGTCCTCGTCCTGAGGAAGAGCTGAAGGACATGACTCCCAGCGGAAACAACATTTATCCCGCTTCCGAGTATGACCCTTATCGGTACGAAGAACAGCTCAGGCCGCAGTCAACCACACCTGGCTATGTCTTCCCCGCCTCCTTTCCGGTCACACCGTCAGCAAGCAGGTTCCATGACCTTTCTACCCACAACAAGACTGCCGTGTGGGTTCAAAACACCATTCGATCGGTCCTTGACGTCCATACCCCAATCGAGGAGATTGACTACCTGTCTCCGGACATTGACTCCCCGGATCCACAGTTGCGCAGTCTCTGGGAGCCTTTAATGTGCGCCGAAACGGATCAGCCAAAGGGGGAGAGGAACGTCGATCTCATCTTGGCGATTGGCGCCGAGGATGGTGTCAAAAAGAACTTCAAGCAAGGAGTTATGGCCAAAATTGAGCAGCTTGGGTTTTCTTCCCATGGTGATGGAATGTCGCGGAGCGGCCGATTGGGTTTGCGGTAAGCTTGATTCCACGATAAGTGTGGTGTGAGGAGAAACTGACCCGATTGCCTACAGATATTTGATTGGAAACGCTATGCAGACCTTTACCTCCCAGCCGCTGACCCAGCAGTCCAAGGAGAACCCATTCTCCAACCCCACACTACTGGCAAGCCTCATCATTCCCCATGTCGACACTTACTTGCGCGGAAACGACAACGTTCGCTTTCTTCTCATCGAATACCCCGTTGAGCACTTGTCTACCATGCTGGCTATGCAGAAGCTTATGGGGAGCCAAGTCATGAAGGTGGCTGGGATTTCCAAGGGGACCGACCAAACAATATTTTCGATGGCCGATTATCGAGTATCGTCCGTGGCATCTGTAGCCGAGGTTTCTGAATGTGTTGAAGCGATCCGGGACACTTTGGCCTTGATCTCGGACTTTTACAAGCCCCAGACGAGTGATGTTGTGCCAACGTCTCCAGCCACCGATGCTGTCCAGAAGGAAAAGGAGATCACAGCGAGGTCCTTGAGCACCAAGAGTAGCAACCTGACGAATCCCAGCATCGCACCTCTACTCCCACCACAACAACACTCACCACGACACAAGCCATCACCGGTTGCTATATCAGCATTTGCCGCCATGTCAACTCCCCCTCCGCCTCTTCTTCCTGCCTCTCCGGCGGACACCTACAATCACACTCACGCCTATATCCATAGTAATTGCCAGAACCATGGCCACGGGCCCGTCCATGCCTACATGCCCACAGCAGCCATTCACCTACCGACCCGCTCCATCTCCCCTCCTCCCTGCTCTCACTGCTCGTCGACTTTCAGCACGTCGATGACTCGAAGCAACACTCTCATAAGCCACGGCACAGTTTCCGTGGCAAGCCCTAGTGTCGTCCTACCACAATCTCCCCATTCCATAACCAGAGCGACTTCCCAACGCCCAAGCATCAGCGGCGGCAGCAAACCGACGCCAGCATCGCCCTCCGGATCCCACACCATCAGTCCGCGGACCAACATCCCAGCCACCATCGGCACAGCTACTACCTGTGTAGTACAGCAAAAGCCACCACCAACTCTCGTGCCCATCGTGACCACATCCTCTGCGACACCGGGCGCAGCAGCGCCGCTGACCACAACGAGACTCCAATCCCCCCTCTCCCTCTCCTCCGGCCCTTTGTCGTCTAGCGCATCCACCTCCTCGCACCTCTCGATCAGAACCGACTTCAACACCGACGACGACAATCCCGATTCTGAAGCCGAAGATGACGACGACGACCAAGTCGGATCCGACGAAGACCCCTTTGACTTCTTCGACATTGACGCTGAAGAGCGTCGACTGATGCCCATGTTTTTGAAATCACAAATCGAGGCCCATGTCGCTGCTTCCGGCGCTGCCACCGGCGGCGGAGCTACCATGGGACATCGGAGCCCCGTGGGTGGGAATAGGGAGTTGGTAGATTTGGAGACGTTGTTGGGTGCCGGAAGGAAGAATTTTGGGGAGAGGTTTGCTAGGTATGTATTTTTTGTCATTTCTTGAGGTTGAGGTTCCATTGGTTTATTTGCTAACGTGTAACGAAAAACAGTGGGCAAGGATTGCAGTTTCCCCTTCCGCCTGACGAAGTCCTTGGTGGTCGTGGCAGCGTGGACAGTGAGAAGAGAATGATCGGCGGCGAGAGACAACATGGTAGCATGGGAAAGAAGCAGCAGCAGCAGCAGCAGCACAAGAAAGGAAGCAAGAAGCCCATCACTGGTAGGAACAGTACCGAGACTGGGTCAGTCATAGGCCTAGGGGCACTGGCGACAGCGCTGGAGGCGGAAGAAGCTTGGAAACCCAGCAAAGGCTTGAAAGAGAGGAGGAAGAACAACAATCCCGCGCCCTTCAGGCCCATGACCCCGAACCCAGGTAATGGCGGCGGAAACAACATGTACACTCGCCCGATGTCAAGGAGAACGACCACATCGATGAATGACCAACGGAAAGGCTCCCTTCATTCTCCGGGAGCGATGACACATATGGGGGGAGAGCAGAGCAAGGCTTTGAAGTGGTTGGGACTGGCTTAGTCCTCTTCACTCATATCATCACAATGGGACTCATGTAGGTATTCTTCTTGTGAATTTGAAGATATGGATTACTAGATCGTATCTCGTTTTACTTATGGCCTATGGAGCAAGGAATGAAGCAGAGGGAGCAGGAACGGAAGATACCCGGGCAGAGACGGAAGTTGAGGGAGATTATGATTTTTCTTTTGTAGGGAAGGATTGAGGATCAACCTTGGTTGGGCCGGGCCAGACCAACTATGCTTGTTCGCAAACATTTTAGTTTACTGTTTTTTAATCGTAGATAATTTCACTCTCGGAGAATTCGAAACGGAATTGTGTTTATGTTATGTTCACCTTCAGATGTGGTTCATGCACGCAAGTTGAAGCGAGGATGAGAAACGGTGGGATTATGGAAACGGAAGAAAGATGATCTTGATGTCCATATTTCCAACAACGACCTTCTCCTATCCCTTCACTCCATCTCCATCCTCCATTCCTTGGTCCCCTTCTTCGCCCTTCCCTGTTCCACTTCCCCATCAAGTTGGCAGATACTATTCTCTTCTTCATCTCCCCGAAACAAAATCACCACCCTTCACTCTCTTCCATTTCCATCACTCGTGATGTATCGACAACCACGTACCTACGGCTACCACGCATCATAAATTAGCTTTGACCCTTGTTTTCTAAATAAATACATCAGATTATCTTACCCTTTTTTGTCCGTTTTGATGTCAGGATCGTAGAACGATGACCGCCGGCATCTGTATGAGGTGCAGTCTCTCTTTAGGTACATGGTGACGGCATGCATTTTGCCGAGGGTCTCGACGATGGTGCGGACTTCTTCTGTTGTGCACCTGCGTTGGTGATGTTGGTTAGACAAGCGAGCACGGATGGCTTGTAAGATGAAAGGGGAATTCGATGATGGAAGGGCAGGGCAGGGCTGGTCATGAAGATGCTTACATGGTTGATCGTTTTGCTTGGATGGCTTGGGTTATGTTGATGTTTGGGATGAATGCTGAGGATGTCCTAGATGATCTTTATTTTATGGGAAACATCGGTAGACTTTATACCTGTTTCTATCCGAGAAAAAGGTCCACTTGGTCGCTATACACCATTGTCTTTTTTCGATTTCTTAGTGAGAAAACTAAGCGCTGGGCCTTGATGGATGATCATGGTCGAGAAGAATCCCGCCCTTGTTCTCGTGCGAGGGCAGCTGACTTCGCGTCGTGGTCAAGGTTCTACGGGGATGGGTTTGATACCAGCCTAGTCTAGACTGGCCGTCTCGTTCTATCGATATGGCCGAGTGTATTTCTGAGACATTTATCAGGGTTTCACAGTATCTTGGAGTGCTTGACGCATCATCATAAGCAATGGATTGGAAGTGTCAACCTTCAACCCTATTTCTTCAGCACGTTGCACTTTCCGCCGAAACCTGAAGACATCTACCTAGATTTCCAGGATGCAACGCCCAGCTTATTCCATGTTATTCTCCTTTTCGTCTCGTCTATATCAAAGCTGTATCTCCTCGGGCTGTTGATAGTTGACGTTGATAACGACGAGGCCCAGTGTCCCGGCGTCAGTCACGACCATCACCACCACCGAGGCGATCAATCGACGTGTATCCATCCAGCTGTCGCGCGCGCATGGTGGTTTGTGACATATATAAAGCAAAGTGCAATGTTCGTCTAACACATACGACCATACCCACTGGAAAACTCGGGATCCCGTCCGCTCTCCCATAGATAAGCCAGTGAGGGCCAGACTAGTAGTTGGGTCGGTGACGACCAGCGAATCCCTGGTGTTGTATGTTCTCTTTTTTTCCTTTTTCTTTTTTTCATCCCCCCCTTTCAGGATGACCAGAACGGGTATCGCCGATCAGTTGTTTCTTTTTCGTTGGTGACGACCTTCTTTGCTTTTTGTTGGGGGGGTAGTTGTCGGGGGGTGGTGAAATTGGTGAAATTGCTTTTTTGAGGGGAAGGGAATGCGCGAATCATGCATTGTTTGCAGTTTGCTTGAATGTCGTGCATCTAGAGAGGAACACATGGTCGAAGCTCCTAGGCTTGTAACTCGACGCCACGGGAAGAGGAACAAAAGAGATTCAAACAAAAATAAAATAAGGAAGATAGAGGGATCAATGATGAAAGGAGTGAATCACAAGACATAACTCTGAAGTGGAAGAAGCCGAGACGAAGAATGAAAATATCACTGCAGCGGGTTGTTCCACTTTACCTTTTCCAGATTTGGGTCGGTTGTCTTGAAACTTGCATACATTTTGCGATCAACATCTCTCATCACAAACACAACAACAGCACATTTCTACCACCATACTTCTACTACCGGAGTTTTGTCTTCAGATCAGCTGTCATCTCTTATGTTCAAGGCCGAGTTCTTGGGACCCCTATTACTACTTCGAGATCGATCCACAACCCCCCCTCCGTCGCGAGTGTTGCCCAGCGGCTAAATTACAGATTCTGGAACAAGCGCTCACTGCCGAGCTTGGAAGCACCGAAGATCAGTTGGGGCCGCACCGTGGCGGCACAAAGCCCGATTGGGTATATCTTACTAGCATCGCCAGAATGGAAAGCTAAAGAGATAGGTAGGGAGGTAGGGTGCCCTGGCGCAACCAACCTCTGACAGCTTTGAAAGTCGATGGTTTTCTCATCCACAGATCTGTCTGGAGGCTCTAGTCTAGGACAGACAAAGATGGGTTACGCCATGCCCTAGGTACATAGCTAGCTATACGACCACCTATGCAAGATTCACACAGCGGCTTTTCCCGACACCCCCACAATAGAGAAACATGCTTTGGTTCAACAACCCTTCTTCTTGTTCACCGGCGGTGTGCTTGGGACGATCTCCGGGACACAATCAAAGACATTGATCGCACCCTCTGCTTATGTGATATGGGTCGGTGATACATACCTACCACTTGTCATATTCTTCAAGTTGTAACAAGTTAGGTAGTGCTGATACTGGACAGCCGGTGAACGTCCACCGGATTGCCCCGAAAACAATTGTGAGACTCGCGACAAAGGGCCGGAGCAGGTCGGAACTTGAGCGGAACACATTGATCACGGCCAACTAGTACGGGACACATGACGTTTGTTGGCTTGGCTGATAATGACAGAAAGTTGTGATGGAGAAGGATGGTACGTAGGTAAGGAGGTTGGTACGGTTAACATGATCGGATTTGGGACTGGAGGGAATAGTGGTAGTTGTCGAAGCAGCAGTAGTAGGAGTAAGAGTGGAGGAGGGGGAGGATGAGGGAACCGACTATTTAGCAAGAGGTCCCAGTACGGGATGTCAGTACGGGTTGTTGGACAGTGCAAGACACCTGGGGTTTGCGGTTGCAGATGCGGAAGGAGTGATTGTGTGCCAAGTATCCGCGAAGGGGGGAGAGGGGATGTTGTAGATTCAAATTCCCGGGTTTTTTTTTTTTTTTTTTTTTTTTTTTTTTTTTTTTTAATCTTATTTTTATTTTATTTTTTATAAATTTCTATTTTTTTTTTCGTTTATTCTGTATACATGTGCAATTACAATGGAGGCCATTGTCTGCTAGGTTGAACTTCACGGAGGATGTCTTTAAGCACCTCTAGATATGTCTTTCGAATTGTCGAGATTGAATGAAGAGGGTTGGAGATTACGTACAGTCAAGCGTCCCATGGTAACAACCAAGTTGACCCAGAACCACATATCTCCACAAGTATATACATCACCTACAAACATTACATATTTCCCGCACGATCTTTCTTTCGCCCAAGATTAGCCCTCATCCTTCGTAATCCCCAACCCAACCAACACTACCGTCGCCACATCCATCACCACTACCAACAGCCACAACAACCACGCCACCCCCGCCGTCACCACATTATTCTTCATATCCACCGTCCCCGTGTCATCATCATCCGCCGGCACCTGCATATACTTGGCTCGGCACGTATACCACACAATCGGAAACGTAATGGGAATCAGTGCAATCGCCAACAGATAATTACACGCCACCAACGCTTTACTCAACCCATCTTTTCCCACCGCCAACGCAATTACCAGCGCCGGAATAATCGCCACGCACCGGGTAATCAGTCTCCGCAAGAAGGGGTTCAGTCGGATATCCAACGCCCCTTCCATGATGATTTGTCCGGACATGGTGGAGACGATGCCCGCGCTGATTCCCGAGAATAAAAGGGAGACGGCGAACATGATGCCTGCTGCGGGGGCGATGGAGTCTCTGAAAAGGGAGTAGAGGGCGTAGAGGTCTTCGGAGATTTCTTCTCCTTCTTCGGAAGGATTTTCGGAGTAGAAGGCCGAGCCGGCTATTACTAGTAAAGCGGAATTGACAAAGATGGCGACGGTGAAGAGGGTGAATGTTAGTTCGGCGATGGAGTAGCCTAGACAAGATTTGATGGCGCGGAGGGAGGGGCGGTACCCGATAGTCTCCGAGCTAGAATTGGGGGACTGTTGCCGGGGAGAGAAAGAGGGAGAGGGGGAGGGGAGGTCATGCTTGCTATCGTAATCATACAACCTTGCGCGAGAGAGCGAGGTGCCGACGTAAAGGGCATGCGGCATTAGCGTGCCGCCCAAGATGGCGCACGAGGCGTATAAACCCGTGTCAACAAAGATCTCGCGTGAGGGGACGTATCCCCGTAGGATTTCGCGGGTGGTGCTGGTGCTGTGGTCTACCATGGAGAGGGCGATGCAGATGGTGACGAAGACGACGACAACGAGGACGGAGACGAAAGCTTCGAAGATGCGTACCCGGCGGAGCTCACCCGTGTCGGTATAAAATAGGAGGACGAGCAGGGTCTCGACCACGGAGATGACGCAGGCAGCGGGGAGCGGGAGCTTGGGGATGAGGATGTTTAGGGCGATGGCAGTGCCGATGACTTGACCGAGATCGGTGGCTATGATGCTTGCTTCGGCAACGACGTAGATGGAGAGGTCTAGCCACCGGGGAAGCCATCGGCGGTTCATTTGGGCCAAGTCCATGCCGGTGACAGTTCCTAACTTGACGCATAGTGACTGGGTCGGGTTAGCAAGAGGCGGGAAGGATCCCGGGGTTGCTGATGAGTCTCACTTGGATATAGATGGCTATTAGGTTCGAGACCAACACCATGAAGAGCAGCTTATACTGGAATTCGGCGCCAGCCGAGATGGCTGTTTGATAGTTATCCGGATCAACATATGCAACGCTGATGACAGCACCTGGGCCTAGAAACTTGAAAAACTTCCAGATCTTGGAGCCTATCGACGCTGACTCTGAAGACGGTGGTGGTCGCGGTTGGTATACCGGTGGGGGAGAATGACGATTTGGCCGCAGTCCGAACCAGGTTCGCAACCCGGCAACCCATGGTCTTTGAGTCTGTTCGCTGTACTCGGAGGGAGACACTTGGGGGATTGCAACTTTCTTTTCGTCCTGCTCGTAATTGTTGACCGTTGGGAATACCGGGGGAGGTCGAACCTCGGTGCTACCAGGGTCTGTCATGGTGGCCATTATAGTGCCTGCCCGGGACAATAATGGAAAGAAACAGGCGGATGAATATCAACACTTGTTGGTATAGACGAGGAGGAGGAAAGACACAGGATATTATACACCACCTTCACCAGTGAGAATGCACGATGGCGGGCTCCCGTCCCTTCATTGCAACCACATCATGCACCGCAAAGCGCGGGAGGCGGGAGGCCAGAGACTGCATACATACTGCCAGAGGCCGAACAGAGGAAGAGAGGGGTCCAGGGCTGAAGATGGAGTTGTTCCTATGAGAACGTTTAGCATCGTGTGGTGGTTGAATGGCGTTTTTGCTGGCAGCTGATTGATGGGTGGAAATGTAGTTAACAGGGGTCCCCAAGCCACTTTGAGATATCGGTGCAGACTGGCTGGCTGGAATGAAGAAGGACGTCAATCTGGCCTTCCAGTCCGTTTGACTCTCTGAATTGATGGTGAAGAGCCAAGGAGTGATAAGCAAAGAAAAAGGGACGATGGGTTGGTCTAGAAGAAGGGCCAAGAGGAAAATATTGAGGAGTGTTCGGGTTTCTGCGTGGCGTGAGAAGGTCTTCTTCTGAAAATGGCTCGAAAGGGAGAGGTTCCAAGAGCTGAGTCGGTTGTTTTTGCCTCGTGAAGGTCGGAATATTCTCATTATCACGGTCCACCACATTGTGGAGGACAAACAGAGGCCTTGGCTGGCCACTGGGATGAATGGTCAGATGCATTTCCCGTAGAGATGGAGGACATGTCTTGCTCGGATCATCCTGCCTGAGGAAGGCAGTTGAGATGTGAAAGTAGCAAAGGAAATCTCATTTAGGGCGATCCCACCAATTCTAGGATTGGTTATCCCATGCTGTGGGAGAAAAGGCATGGCAGAGGTGAAGATGGTGAAGTGGTGAAAGAGTGTGAAAGACGGGGTTTCTGCAGTGGTGACAGCCGTGACAGCTCTATGCGGGTTAGTAACCGCTTGCATCCAGCCCGCCACAGACCGGCCAGCCACTCAATGTTTGCGAGTCCCAAGCAGCTTTGGCGTTAGATGGCGTTGCCCTTAAAGTCGACGTATGTAAGGTAGGTGAAGTACGATCCATCACCACCACGATACAAAAAGTCCTCCGTGGCAGACGCTCGCGTGGAACCGAACTCTGTGAAATCGTGGCAGCTGAGTTTTGCTACCTAACATTCGGTGCGGCAATGTCCCCTGCTTTTACAACGAATCTGGCGGCCAATTTCCATGCATTTAAGGGGGATCTTCCATAGCGGGGTGACATAAGCACAGATCAGCCTAAAGCCGCTACCCACTATGGTACACTATTATGGGGAACCTTGAGCCCCCATACCTGCAAACCCTCTTTTAAGGCCTTACATATCAAGTACAGCTTCCCTCCTCAATATAGGAAATTGATTCCGATACGAGAGTTTCTTACATTCATTCAAACGTCATCTTGTGTTAAGAGATGTTTGTATGCAAGGGATGTTAGTGAAAGCAATCACCACCGTGGCGCAAAATGGGGCGATAAACACCGTTCGCAGTGGAATTAATATTAATTCGGGGAAGGCGACGACGCAATTGGCCTCACGCCGGCGTTCAGCTCTTCACAGCTGAGTGATCATTGACGGGAAGGAAGGCGCCCAACAACCAAAAGTGTCGGAATGCTGAGTGCCGTGAAGAATATGATGCTTCCCTTCCTTTGTTCAACCATCAGACTTGATAAAGACAGCGGTGCTTCCCTTTTCCTATAGAGGAGAGGTAGGTAGGTAGTGCCATCTCACCTCGGTTGGCCCACGACGATGCAGTGAGACAAGACACCATCATTTCAAGTGTTGGACCATTCCGTCCCCTCTTTTAATTTTAATTTTCTGTCCGGATTAACTCCAGTCTTTCTTTAACTCTCAACTACTGTGGAACACATCGATGGCGACCATCGACTCTCTCCTCTTCAACATCTCCTCCTTCATCGCCGGCCTGTTCCTCCTCGAATATGGCGCCGACAAGTTCATCGACCACACGGCCATCGTTGCCAAGAGACTCAATGTCTCGCCCACTCTTGTCGGACTCTTGACCTGCGGCGCCGAATGGGAAGAGCTCGTCGTGATCATCGTCGCTCTGAGCCAAAAGAACTCGAATATGGCCCTGGGCAACTTGATCGGTTCATCCGTTGCCAACATTCTCGCATCCTTTTCGCTGGGATTGCTCTTCATGAAGAAGGCCGAGTTCGATCGCAGCTCCAAGATCTACTCAACTGCTCTTCTCGGCCTGACGACCGTCTTTTTGCTCCTGCTCCTTGCCCTCAAGGGGTCCTCTTTCCAATGGTTTGGCGGTATTCTGCTGATCGTGGCCTTTGTGGTTTACGTTGTCTCTGTGGCGTCTCTCATCTACCGAGGCACGCTCACGGCCCCCGAAGACTCGGACAGCGACAGCGACAGCAGCGACGATGATGGCGATAATGACAGTGACAGCGACAGCGACGACGACGACCGAACGATCAATGCCAATGACAGCGACAGGGGGCGCCCCAGCGACGAAGAGCAAGGATGGAGTTCCGACAAGGGCCATCAGCTCAACCTGCTTAAGCCCGCGCCGAACAAGATGGTCAAGGCCAAGAAGAAGTCCAAGACCGTCAAGGTCATAAACAAACGCCCCAAGGCAATGCGTCATCATGTCTTCCAACTCGCCCTCGGCCTCGCTGCCTTGCTTGTCTCTAGTTACATCATCGCACACAGCGCATCGACTATCGGTCACGAGCTGGCGCTGTCCGGCACCGTCGTCGGCACCACGATTCTTTCGCTCGCCACCACTCTCCCAGAGAAGTTCGTTGCCATTCTCGGAGGTGCCCGACACCAACCAGGCATTATGGTTGCCAATACTGTCGGCTCCAACATCTTCCTGGTCACTCTCTGTGGCGGAGTGCTGTTTATCTGGGGAGATGCCAGTCAGCTGCAGCTCGGGTTCACTCTTTTCGAAGCCACTGTAATGTGGCTATCGGCTGTGGTTATCTTTGGCATTGTGATGATGGGCGGGAGACGGTGGATGGGCGTTGTAATGCTCATTGGCTATGTTGCTTTTTTGGTCGTGGAGATTATGAATGGTCGCGAGCTTGACGATGAATGAACATCCGCGGAAATGCCTTTTTTCTTTTCATCGTTTACTATCATCTTGGCGGGTTGTGTTTGCTTATAGAGGATGATTAGAGATTCCGTGGGAGTAATCCGGGCTTTCCCTACAAGCTTTGTATCTTTATTGACCATGTAGACGATACGCTCGTCTTATGCTTTCACGCCCACCGGATCTCCTTGTTATACTTACCCACGCAGATACAAGGCTTGTCTCTCCTCCCACTTGACAGTCTGCTTCGAGCGTCCGAGTCATCTGCCACATGTCACGTCTGCAACTGTGACCTTCCAAGTCCAGAAACGACCCTGGAAGACGTCGACATCGAACCTATTGAAGTCGGTCCTGCAAGCCAAGCCTCTTGGCTCGAGAAACAAGACTCGTCGATGAAGTTTACCCCAGATTCCTAGATTTTCTTGGCATCACCAGACACAACATGGCGTCGTCGCCAAACCCCCAAATTTTCCTTGACAATCTCACCGTTTCCTAAAAACAAGACAGCGGGGGTTATTCCGCTTTTCCTAACCCACAGAGACGATTATTCCCCACACTTTTGGCTCTCTTTCTTTCTGCGGCGAAATGGAATCTCCCCAGATCCCAAGTGGTCTAGACTCTGGAAGCTGAACGACGACCTCTTTCCTTCCTTTGTGTTTTGAGAAAGTTCCCGATGCTTTTGCTTTTCCTTCTCCAAGCACGGCAAACCCATGTTATAAAGCCAGGAGAGTTGCGCTCGTCATGGACCGACTACTTTCTTCACCTCGGCCCCTTTTGTTTGTGTATCTTCTTCTAATACAGCATATGGCAAGTCGTCCACCGATCCTATCGCGCCGCACGGCCTAATATGGATTACAAAGAGGTCAAACCCCATCCGACAAGAAGCTGGGCATTGTGCAATGTGCCAACGTGAAGTCAATTTAAGCATAGAATACCGCCTGCCGAAGCAACCTATAGCGTGGTCCAACCCCAGCCAACCTATCAGGTGTGCGGGGTTGGGGTAATCACGCCGTGTCACTACATACCACCCTTGGCTTGGAGACGCATCTCTCCCGCCCCTAAGGCCAAGGAGAAGTCTATCCGAGTCTGGAACCTGTGGCTGGCCTGGACTCATCTAATCCCGCCTTTATAGGTTCTCCCTCGCTGCCTACCTACATACCTACCTACCAACCAGTTCCATATGCCCGTGTTTGTTTCATTGTCTCCTAAGATGGATGGTAGCGTTCCTTTCTCCCGGGTTTTCTTGTCGTTTTTGCTTCTTTTCAGTCACTCCAATCATCCATGAGGTCAGCGGATTGTCACTCATTAACTGACCTTTGGCTGGAACCCCAACGATGGCTTCACCAAGATGATAAGGAGTGGCATGGAGAAGTGTCTCACGGGACCCTAGGAGAGTGGTGCCACCATCCTCCCCTTCTTACTCATTCCTCACTTCTTCTACGTACTATATAAATCGCCAAGCCCATCCTTTGTTGGTATCGCATCTCTCATGCCGTACCAGCTGAGAAGCTGATGCAGGACTAAATTGTGCCCATGGGACTCGGCTGGATGCTTGAGAGCATGTGGTTAGACTTGGCGCAGACACGCAGACACTTGCGAGGTATCCATGGTGTGAAGACTCTGGTATTAATGGGGGATGCCTTCCGGTGTTCTCTTTTGTGGTTGTCTTGCAATTCTGCATGTTCTTGTTCATTTTTGCGAATCGCAATCATTACAGCTACGTACTTACGAGTCATCAAAGACGCCTACCATTGACTGGTTGCACAGACGGCTTCATTTCTACCTCTAGATACCTCTAGTCACACGAACCCCTCAAATCATCAGCCATCAGACAAGTCGGTGGAAGCCAAAAACCCTTTCTCGAAAAGATCATCTGAGGGACAGACTAGCAGTCCAGAGAGCACAACAATACATCTCTCAATCAATCATCACTCGTCACAAACTTGACGAAAAAAAATCTCAGTCATCGTTCCCAATACTGAAGCCAAAAATGTCCTGCCCCTGCTCCCGCTGCTACAACAACCCGTCCACTCCTCATCACTCCGAACCATCATCGCCCCCTCCTTATTCCCCGTCATCACCGGGGACAACATCATCGGGAACAACATCAACCACCAACATGAAGAAAAGCAACGGATTCCCATGGTTTAAGAAGAGCACATGCAGCGCAAATCCCCCGCGATACAGCGTGGAGAGCACGGCGTCCGATTTGGTTGGGTTACTGGGTTGAGTGATGGTCGGGATGGTTGGATCGTAGGATGACAGATCGGGATACAGGGGTTGGGTCGGGGGGGTGGATGGTCTAGGAGTGGGGGGGAGGCTGTTGGGAGGTAGAACCATATATGGGTGATATTGACGGGGAGTGAGGGAGATGGGGAAAGGAGTATGGGACTGGGGGGAACGAAGGAGAGTGAGAAGGAGGGGAGAGAAGGAAGGGAAGAAAGGGGCGGGAAAGGAAGGAGCGGGTAAAGAAGGGAAGGATTAGGTATATAGGTACCTACTTGAAGACCGGTTGCGGTTGCATGAGTGAGTGGACTTGATAAAGGATGGAAAGGGGTGAAAATGATGAAGAGCGTTGAAGAGGTGCAAAGAAAGCTTGACAGGGAATGACACTGCGTTTGGGATTGCTATGTGAGATAGCTGTTCAAATAGGTGATAGACTGGCCAGTCTTTAAACCAAGACGTCAAACAAGTCGTGCTTTGGAAAGCGCAGGCAATTGGGTATTGCAGAAAGGGCAGCCATTACATGTAATGAAGCCAACATTGAACGGTGGCCCAAAGCAAGGCATTATTGTGATTCGGGCTTCGGCAGTTATTGTTTTTTTCCCGCAGACTTGTGCAGTAGGTATAGGATGTCTTCTGGCTTCTTGGGTTGAATTTCGAGGTTCTGTAGGTACGTTCCGTCTATACTATGTGTTCTAGCGTTGAGGGTTCGATAGTCAATTATTTTCGCCTCAGTGTCTTTCAAGCTGAAGTCGGGGTGTAGGAGGGCCTCGTTGGAGGAACAGAGCAGGCAAGCCCAACACCTCAACTCACTTCTCCCTTTGAGTGTTTCATGGTCCCACATGAAACACTCGCAAGAACAATGGAAGAAGAACAATATGACGACCGTGAATCCGTCTCTCACTTGCGGCCCTTTCTTTGCATTCTTTTCCGCGAGGTGCTCCCTGTTCCTTTCGTTCAAATGATACAATTTTCGGTAGCTATTTCGGCGCCATGGTCATAAATATATGCATCGTTAGCGGAAAGTATCCCCAATAAAAGAGCATGTGTTAGAAGCGATCAAGCCTCTGTCTATGATAAATCGGGCATGTGTTATTCTCCATACACAGAATGAAGTGACAAGGAAATCCGGAGAGATGGTAGGTTGGAGTTATCGCGTCGCGAACAGCACGATCCTTTGCTAAAGCCGGATGCGTCTTGCCGTATTCTCTCATGTACGCGCGATTCTTTCCCCTCACCCCGGCAGCAACTTTGACCAGAATGAACTCGACGGTTTATTCTCCGACTTGGCCGTGACTAAAGAAAGTTTTAGGTCGACGTGAAACGCTTGAAGGTCTTGTACAAGGCCCGTGTTCATATGGCCTCCTCAGAGAGGTTTACTTGTGCTAGATGCCAGCATTCCGGGCGCAAATGTAAATTTTATCTGAAATGCATTTCATGAAACCTCTACACATTATCGATCTTCACGTCTACCCTCACAGCATCCTGGGCAACGTGGTGCCAAAGGCCTATAATCAAACTCTCAACTCCGTCGCGACTACAAGAGACACCTGAAAAGGGACTCTAACTCCAAGCAAAGACAACGACCTTGGATTTCGTTTTTCGGAGGTGGAATGGGGAATTGCGCGAGTATAGGTGTATGAGTGAGGGTGAATCCGTCCTTGATCATCTTCCGCACGCCTTTGGGAATACTTTTGCTATTGTTTAGCAAGATCCTTGTGGGGTGAGTCGTGCTTGGCTATGATTCGGAGGTCTTCAAGGCTCGTGGCAGAGCAGGTGCACTCGTCTGCTCCCTTGATGTCCCAAGCACGGTTGCCGCAGATCCCCCCCTTACATTGCCGGGCATGGACACACACCCACAAAAGGAGAGCAGACGTTGATCGTTTCCCATTGCTGGGAGAAAAGACAGAAGCAAAGGTTTTCTGAGCCTTCAGTACGCAACAGGAGCAAGAGAAGAGTTCCTGGAGAAGTAAAAAGGTCAGCAAAAAGAATGAGAGGACAAACGGAATCACCGGCTTTCACGACGTGACGATGCCTGTTTATACGGGCGCGCATGCCTTGTGGGACAGCGGTACCGGAGCCAACATAGATGTGATCCGGATGGCCGTCTTTCTCAAAGATGAGGCAGTAGACACCCCACTCCGTTTATCTTGGGTCTCGTTTGTAAGGCGGTTCTTCTAGCATACTACGGACATTACACGTCGAACGAGGGGTGGTCGGTAGATACGTCAAGTGAGTGAAGGCGTATGCACAACCCTCAACCGAGGGTATGCCATCACTCACTATGGAAAACTCGCATCAGCGCCACTCCCATCAAAGCATGCGGACACCATACGAGCTTTGATGATAGCCATCGAAGCCGCTTTCCACTGATTTCTCTGGTCTCGTGTGGTGAATATACAGAAATATTGGAAGGTTGGAAAACTGACGAGTCCAACATAGAAGTAACCGGCCTCTTATCGCCTAACGTGTTGGGTTCGTCATCTCTACTAACCCTGTCTAGCAATAAATGCGCTCCGTCACATCATATATCTCCTTCAAGTCTCGCTGATTTCTCATAAAGACGTGCCGCGTCCTCGTCTGATCTTCATATGAGGAAAGCGATAGCTCAATAACGCCGCAAATTCTTTCATCCCTTTTCCTAATACACCAAAGTCCAAACTCCAAACCAGTACAAGGAGTACAGCCCTTGTTCCATTTCTCGGATGATCGTCATGTTCAAGACGGGGGAAGACCACCAACATGTTGATCGTGAAGACAGCGAGCCAAACTCCGAACATGACGAGCTTGGGCATCACGACGGGCTCGGCGAGGGCCTAGAATGTCTGCCAAACAGACATGTCAGACATGTCGTAAGTGGAAGACGTGATGGGATGAGAGACCAGTGAACGGCCGGTTTCGCGGACCTCGGGCATCGCGAGATCACCCGTTTCGTACCGTACATATTCTGGAGGAGATCGGTCTAGGGCCACTGACATGGCCACGCCGAACCCGCGCTCCGGTCGGGCAAACCGAATGACGTCGGCTATGGCAGACAGCAGCAGCGACGAAGACATAGCGGACTTAGACTCACCTGCCAGCGAAGCGAACAGACGAAAGCAGCGTCGTCGGAACTCAGGAACGCGCCGAGTTTTGTTCGCGGACAATAGCGGTCCCACTGAACCTAAGCCCCTATCTACTAAAATAAATAAGTTTATTAACCGCCTTAATAAGTAATCCGCCTATGCTCGTTAACGATTCCTACCGCCCTCGGGAATAGATTTACTATTACCCTCACCTCTACTATTATTATTTAGGAAAGGGGTTAAAATTTTTACGAAGTACTTTAGTAGTATAAAAGCGAGAACGTCGGGATTAATTTAATATATTAAATATAGTAAGATATTGGGTAGTTGAGAAAGGGATAATAATTACGGTAGGACGCCGAAAATACAAAATATATAATATAAATAGCTAAATAATAAAGAAGAGGAGAATATAGCAATTATCTCTCCTAACCCTAGGAAATATTAAATAACAAATCCTCCTCGCTTAGATCTATATATATTAGGTTATACTGAGCTAGATTCGGCTCAGCGCAGCCTGATATAGTATAGAATAAGTATAGATAATTATAAAAGGATCCGTTATATTAATGGACTCTCTTCTTTAATTAATTATTATTTATAATTAGAAGTTCTTATTTAATAATATTATTTATTAATACAAAATCTAGGTTGCAATTGATTATAGTTCCTCAAAATAAATCCGTCACTCAGTAACAAATCCGCCATGCATCAATCCCTTTGACGAATCCGTTATTTACCGGATTCTTCTTTCAAAACGAATCCGTTAATAATAAATCCGTTACTTAATAGAATAGTGACTACAGTCTCAACTCCCCGTAATACCGTAGCAGTATTAGGCTAAAATATACCAATCTCCTACGCCTTCTAATTGTTATTGGCTATCCGAATATTATTAGGAAGACTAATGCTATAATAGCTTAAGGCTATAAATAATAGATTTAGAAGACCGCCGAAGGGCCCTCTACTTAGGAAAATTAGACTTTAGAAGGGAGGTAGCGGAGGCCGTCCTCCACTATAGGAACTCCTAAAGCTATTAAAATTATTAAAATTATTAAGAATACTAATAATTCCCTATTAAAGCGGTCTTCTATTACCGCAACTACCTCTTCTAAATTTAATTAAGGGAGCCAATAGACTAGTAGGGAAATTGGCCGGGTAATTAAAAATACTTAAATATTTATATAAGCCTATTCCCTATCCTAAGTAAAAGTATATTAAATAATTATAAAATAAATATATAACCCCGTAGGGATAAGTATATTTAAATTATTTTATAATATTATTAAATTACTAAAATCTAAGGAAAAAACTATTAAAAGGGAAATTTAAAGGAATTTTCGGTAATAATATACCTTAATTAACTCTTAGGAGCGTAAAACTACTATAAGTAATAGGGGCTACAAAAATATTTATAAAAACGTTATTCTAATGTCTAATCTTAATATTAGTATTTTTAATGCTTATTCCCGCTAAGTAAATAGCGGATTTACTAACTTTATTTTTAATTTTAAATATAGCCGAATCTATCGACGGTCCGGCTAAAATTTCTCCTTCGAAGTTCATTTTACTAAAAGTATCAAATAATTTATTAGGAATAGTAAAATTATTAAATAAATAATTCTTTATTATAATATTAGAATTACTTCTTTTAATATTAAATATAAAAGTATTAGATTTAATATTATTTTATACTTTAATTTCCTATAGTATTGCTTTAATAGTAGGATAGTAGTATCTACTATTAAAGGATCTAGGAACGCGTATTTCGAATATTCCTATTATAGTAAAAGATAGCGAAATTTAATATTTTACTTAAGTACGTAATAAGAATAATAAAACGGCTAGATTTACCTGGGACCTAATTCTCTAGGCAATTTAATAATTTTTTTTAATATTTTTTGAATAAAACCGGACCCTTAATACAAATTAAATTATTAACGTAAAAACTAAATATACAACCGCTAATATAATATTAATAAGGGATTGAAATACCGGTACTAATATTAAATTCTTCTACATAGTAATAATTAGTAATATTTAGAATACCGTAAGCAACGTTTAGTATAACGCCGGATCCGTCTCCTTCTTAGAATTAAATCCTTTAAAGAAAACTCTCTATATAAATCTTATTATATTTAACCAATTTCAAATACGTATAAAATCCTCTAAGTACCTTCTAACGGATTCGCTAAATTATATAAGATCAACTTACATTTATTTAGTATTAGTAAAATAAATTAGACTACTAGATAGTAAAAAGCTTACCCCTAATTATATCTAAACTTCTTTTCTTTTACCCTTAATATCCTAGGCCTAATTCATTATAGTTAAGTAAAAAGGCTTAATTTAATATAGGGTTAAAGCCGTTTCCCTCGCACTCATTCCAACTATCTCGCCTCTTATACCTTAAATAGTAAAAATTTAATTAATTTACGTATTAATAACGAATTTATTATATTTTGCGAAAATAGAATAAAAATACTTCTTAAATATTTTATAGTTAATAGTCTAATAGAGAAAGCAAATAGAATTATCGCTATCGTCGAAAGGTTTATTATTAATAATATATTTAGTATAATTATTAGGTTAGTACTAAATTTATCTACAATAATCAAAAACTTTAATATCGTAATTATTAATACCTACCTATATTAAATAATAAAAATACCATTCGTATAATCTATAGAAGCTATCGGCTCTCTTAATATCGGCCTCTATCTAAATAAACGCTATTTTACTTTAATATTACAAAACGCAATTCCGGAGGGATAAAGAGATATAGTATAAATAAAGAATAATTTATAAATAATAAAAAAGTAAAAGATCAATTCGATTCTAAAACTATAGAAACCACTTACTATAATATTATAAGGAATTAAGACTATAGTTATTATTCTACTAAATAACGGATTCGTTACTAATGGATTCGTTTTAAGAGAAGAATCCGGTAAGTAACGGATTCGTTAAAGGGATTAATACGTAGCGGATTCGTTATTAAATAACGGATTCGTTTTAAAGAACTACGGTTAATTGCAACCTAGATCTCGTATTAGTGAATAGTATTATTAAATAAGAATTTTTGGTTATAAATAATAATTAATTGAAGAAGAGAGTCCGTTAATGTAACGGATCCTTCTATAATTATTTATACTTGCTCTATACTATATCGGGCTACGCCGAGCCGAATCCGGTTCGGCATAGCCCAGTGTGCATAGACCCAGGCGAGGAGGATTTGTTACCTAATACTAGCGTTTATAAATAAGAAATTAAATAAATTATTAGAATTCGTAAGGGATAACTATAAATAAATAGTATAAAGTAGTATTTACGAATATTATTAATAGGCGTAATAGTATATAGGAATATTCTTCTTAAAATTGTAAATTCTAATTTTATATTAATAATAACGGATATTATTAAAGATTTTTTTGTTTAGGGCAATAATAGAAAATATAAATTATATTTTATTTAATACCTTATTAATATCCTACATTAAATTAAATTACTTTCCCTTCTTATCTTTCGTCCTATTTAGCATTTCTACTTTATATTTCCGCTTTACATTTCTACTTTTGTATTCCTACTTTATACCTTATATTTACATCTTATATTTATATCTTACGTCTCTATTTATATCTCTACTTTATAATTTACATTTATATTTTATATTTCTACTTTATATTTTACATTTACATCTTACATCTACATTTTATATTTATATTTTATATCTATATTTTATATTTGTATTTTACGTTTTATATCTACGTTTTACGTTTACGTTTCACATTTTACGTCTATATTTTACATTTCTATTTTACGGCTTATATTTATATTTTACATTTTTACTTTATATTTTTAAATAATTACTATTTTCCTTTTATTATTTAATTAACCCTTATTAACCTAATAATCGGCCCGCTATTAATATACCACCGTTATATTTCCTTAATTTCGTAATCCTTAAGAAAGTCCGGACAATTTATATCCTTTTATAAAACCTACGAATTTTCGTCGTCCAAATACCCCTTCTATTTAACTTAGAATTAATATTAATAGCCGGATTTACAATACTTTACAATTACTTCAACTTCGTATTAAATATTATCCTCTTCAATATTTATAATTTCCCTTCGTAGTACTACTATAATAGAATTCTTATAATATAGTTCTAATAAAATAATAGGGAATATTAAATAGATTTAATAATATATAGAAAATACAAATCAATATACTATCTTCTTCTCCCTAACAATTTTAATAATTTAGAAGGGTCCTAAAAATTTATCTACTAATTTAGCGCTTAGGCGGCGTTATTTAATATATTTCATATTAAATAGAACTTAACTTTCAATATTAAATTCCTTTAATTTTTAAATTTTATTATACTATTTCGTATACCCCTAATTAATAACTTTTAAAACCGCTACGATTTTTAATTATTTACGAAATAATTTATTAATTTAATTAGTAATTACTATTAGAAGGACCGTCCTCCGCCCTTATTCCGGGTTTATTAATCCCTAAGGATAATACCCGAAGAATAATTCCGAAGGGGACTTTCTAATAATAGTATAAAAATAATTATTATACGTCTATTACACCAATATAATTTTTTCGGCCCAATCGACCTACTCTATATTATAGAAAATTCGAAGGTATAATTCTAAATTTTAATTTTACCTTTCTATTTATCCGTCTATTTAGGGGTATTAAATTATATTAAAGTATTTATAAATATTTAGGAATTTATAGTAAATCTTTTAAAATTAATTTATAAAAAGGCTACCTTTATCTAATATAATTAAATCCGGAAAATTAAATTATTAGAAAACATTCCGCTAAAAAAGGAATATAAATTACTAAGCGTCAATCGTCTTCTATATAGG